CATAAATAAGCTGAAGTAAAATAAAAACAGGCAAACAAATGGGATAATAAATTAAATTATTTATATACAAACATAACAAATAAAATAAAACATAAATCAAAGTAAAATGAAATGAGTTTAAATTAATTAAATTAAATTGAAAAAAAATAATAAAATACCTAAAACCAAATAAATTAAAAGAGTTAGATGAAAAGCAATAAAATAAATAACCAATGAATAGAAAATCAAATTTATGTATACACATGTACACGTATGTATGTAAAATTAATAAATTACTTAAAAGAGCTCAATTGATTTGCCAAGAAAACTAGTACCTACATTCATTTGTATATATGTATACATCTTAATTTCATTTAATTTTGAATATTGAATGCATACGAAATCTAAGCGTATAAATTTTCCCCTCCGTACACCTACATACATATATACACACAACTGTATGTATGTTCGCAGTTTGATGCTGAATGTTTGGAAGAGAAAAATTTCAATGCAAGAATATTCACTTAAATATCAATTTCAAAAACATATGTACTTACATATGTATATACATACATTTAACATATTTATTTTCCATTGACTTGTACTAAAATATGATAACATTGATTGCGCAAATTTCCTGATATATCCACACTTGCAAACATACATATATACATACGTATATGCCAAACATCTCGAATAACAGTTTTCTAATTTTAAAATGACGACCATTTTTTAATTCTTTGTCTTTTTTCAACCCAAGCAATGCCGTCATTTTATTGATATCATACTGCTACCACCACCACACCACCACCACCACCATTTTCTATGGTTTTCCTTTTTCTTTCGCAAAATCGTGAGTCACGACCGCTTTCGTGTGCACTGCTAACAATGTTGGTAGGTTTGCATGCACGTATGCATGTATGTGCGTTTCATTTAAATAAATGGCGAATGAGTGCGTTGCCGATGAGATAGAACAATGAACGCCTTGCATGCGCTGGGCTACATACGGTCGCACCAACACATGCAGACCCGAGCCCAGTTGCTGTTCATTGCTTATAATAACAAAACGCCCACAAACGGTATTCGTAGAGAAACATACAATTAATTTATGAATAAAGGGAGACGACAATAGTTCACATCATAGGTACGTGGGAGTGGTTTCCTCATAGCAAGAGAAATTAAAGTTAACCAACTGTTTATTTACTCTCTCTCTCGCTTTCTTTTTCGACATACTCTCTTCATTTATATCGTTCAAATGTTCAACACTCTTTTTTTTCTCGGTAAAATTCACTAGAATTTGCTATTTTCTACCAGATGGTGAGTTTTTAAAAAAATGTACGAAGAGAGATTAGAGAGAGATTGTGTAAAAATAGCAAATTTAATTATGATTACGTGCTCCTACTCAATTTATGCAAGAATCTTTATTAATAGCTGTTTATGAACCATGCGAAAAATTATAAAGCGAACAATTTTTGCATGAGATTTTAATATTCAAATGTGGACGTTTTTTTTTTTTATTTGGACACTTGGTAAAATTTGATAATTATTTTAATGTAATATTCCACCCACATTACTCCACAGAGGGCTCACTTTAGCCGCTCAACTTCGGTTGCAGTTATAATCGATTTGACTTATTGTCCAACCAACCCATCCAGGGTGTACCAAAGTAAATTGTATCGAATATTAATCAAAGTTGGCTTGTGAAACCAAACATGTTTTAAAAATCCAAAAAAAAAAAAGTTACTACTTTGGTTCGGAGGTCTTGTTGGTAAATTAAAACTAAATTCTCTTTGAGAGCGACTAGGGCGAAACCCTCGCTGTCAATTTGGAGCGTTATGGTCGTTTGATAACAGACTTTTTTTTGGTCTGCAATTGAAGAACACGACTTAAGACAGTTTAAGGTTTCAACAAGATGAGGCCACAAACACGAGTGAATATCGCTTTATTGCAAGAGAAATGTCCTCGCCTACGTTATCTCTTGTCTTTTCGATGTCTATTGGCCGCCGAGATCGGAGAGAAAATTTTCACAGGCCTTTCTTGAGGCCAACTTCTCACCATTAAGCGTGTTCGCCATGAACAGGAAAATATTGTAATCACTTGGTGCCAGGTCCGGACTATAAGGTGGGTGCATTAGGACCTCTCATCCGAGCTCCTGGAGCTTCTGGCGCATCACCAAAGGCATATGAGGTCCGGCGTTGTCCTGATGGAAAACAATTCTCTTCTGGATCAATACTACCTTTAAGCTGTCCATTTGTTGGCATTAGTGGGCCGAATAGAGCATTTGGCCATAGGAAAGTAGCTCGTAGTAGATGATTCCTTGCCAATCCCACCAAACACAGAGCAAAACCTGGCCGTCAATCCGGTCTTGGCCACCGTCTAAACCGCTTCATCGAGCTTTGACCACGACCTTTTGCGCTCGATGTTGTTGTAAGAGACCCATTTTTCATCGCCAGTCACAATCCGCTTCAGAACCGGGTCGATTTTGTTGCGATTCAGCAGCGATTCGGAGATAGAAATTCGGTCCATCGTGTTTTTTTGGGTTAGTTCGTGTGGCATCCAAACATCGAGCTCAAAGCTCAATTCGGCCCTCTACTGCCATTAAATGGACCACTTAAAGGCAGCACTCATTCAAAAGACGCAATCTTTGATCAACAGAGGCTGATTTGTATTCCATCAGGACAACGCCAGGCCACACACGTCTTTGGTCACGCGCCAGAAGTTCCAGGAGCTCGGATGGAAGGTCCTAATGCACCCACCTTATAGTTCGGACTTGGGACCAAGTCATTACCATCTTTTCCTGTCCATGGCGAACGCACTTAATGGTGAAAATTTGGCCTCACCAGAGGCCTGTGAAAATTGGCACTCCGAGTGGCGGATTCGTGGTGAGAGAGGGACTCCGTCGGCGAGGTATTTTTGTAACAACAGTCGGGAAATTCTGCCTGAGGCTAGTCGATATCGTTCGGGCCCGAAATATGGTTTTCTGTTTCCGTACAAGAAAGAACGCTCGTCAACACACATAAGGAAGGTTTATCGCCGAAAAGCTGCAGTCACAACAGACTACCGAACGATTTTCTACTGGACTTGCACATCTGCTCTCTGAGAGCACTCATCAGCAACTCGATGCTCGGTACTTAGAATGTCAAACTCCCTACGTACCGCCTCTTTGGCAGTGCCAAAGCTGAAAAGTTGAAGAATTATGCAAGACGTATTTGTAAGTGAAAGAAGAAAGAGGCCGAAATGTGTGAATATGAAGAACATGAGCTGGTAACCCTCGAAAAATCTATGAAAACATGCAGCGACTAACTATTCTTAGATATCAACACCGAATCAATGTGGAAATCCGATGACAGATATCCAAAGCATGCATGGTGAATGGAATGAGCACTTCTCTAGCCTGCTGCATGACAGTGCAAACGAAATACCCGGAGATGGCGAACCCAAAACACCAATCGATCATGATGGACAAGACAAGACTGACGAGTTACGAATGCTTAAAGAACAATAAAGCGGCTAGAGCCGATGGCTGAATAGATGATAGCTAGACGGACGAACGCATACCCGACGATTGGAGTTTAAGCGTGCCTCCATGCAATCCATAAAAATTACATCACACGATCTACGCCAATTACCGTGAGCTTAGCTTCTTAAATATCGCATATAATGTTTCGATGTGAAAGACTAAGGCCCAACCTCGGCAAGCGGATTGGTCCTTATCAGTATGGCTTTAAACCTGGTAAATATTGAACATTTGTTCATTTTCATTTGAATAGATATTTATCCAGCGGCAAATCTGGAGAAAGTCCCGTGAGAAAAGAATCGATTCCATTACGCTTTTCATCGATTTTATGGCTGCATAGTAAGGAGCTGTCTCCAGGCCGCTACGCCTGAATTTGGTGTTTCAACAAAATACATATATATATATATGTACATATGTACATACGGCTGTGTAAACTCATGCTGGAAAACATCAGAAGCGCATTCGGAAGTTAATTCAGCTTTCGCCAGACTTGATAAAAAAGCGAAGCGAAACGGATAATACGAACGAATGCCCACGATATTTTTGATTCGGCTATAATCGCGTTAGCGGTGCCCACACCATTGAAGAAGAAAGCCTTTCAAATTCATTTCCATGAATAATAAATTTTTTTTAAAAGTACTAAATTAAGTATAAAATTTATTTTGCTTACATATAAAAGTACAATATGTGGACAACACTTGATGAAAATTTCAATGAAAAATAGTTTAAGTTAAGGCGTTGGTAGTGTCGTGAAGTAGACCGTCCACAAGAGGGTGCTTTCGCGGTGGTCATGATAAGTTTTTCAATTTTTATTTGAAATCAAAAATCCAATTTTTTTCTTAAACTAGGTGATTTATCCTTGTCCCTGAACGAAGAAAAATTAAAAATAAATTGAGCATTTAATTTTTTTGATTTTTTTAGAATAAACGTAATTTTTTGCATAAAATTATGCGACAATCAAAGATAAAATAAATTCTTCGCTTAGGGACTACAAAAAAGTGATTAAAAGAAATGTGGAAAATTCAATAGTCTTTGAAAAATTTTGACTACCGATTTCGATAAAGTGGTTTTAAGAAAAACGCGTTTAAAGTGTCGCCATCGGTCAAGCCATGACAAAGACGGCGGGTTATAAAACTCTCTAATTTCTACAGTTTCGTCTCGTTCGACTTGAAACTTGGGGAAAATATTCCTGACACCTTGTACTTTTATACAAAAAACTATCAAAAAAATGAGTTTTTTGAAGTTTCAAGACCTATGTAATCTCTTAAGTAAGAAAAAACAATGTTTTCAAATCCAACTGGATTAATTTTTTAATATTTGTCTGAAGTTTCGCTTTTTTTTAGAATTTTTTTTTTTTTGAACAATTTTGCGCGCGACTGTGTATGCCTAACTAACATTTTTCTGATGCTTATCTATCTAAGCGTTTCGCCAACCAACCGGTTGTTGTTGTCACAAGCTTTTACTAAAAATCAGCTCTCACTCTTCTCTCTCGGCATTTCATTTTTGTTTTGATCGCCTCCGCTGCAGGCAGTCGTTTAAGAGATAATAACTACTCCAAAATCATTTCAAACGTGACGCTGAGGAGTGCGCAAGATATTCGCTGGCGACTGAGAAAAACTAATACCAGCAGTGGTGTAAATAAATAATATTGGATCTTTTACTTTAATAATAGTTTTTAACTAAAAAAAATTGCTAATAAAATTTGTTGAGAAAAGTGCGAGTGAGTAAACAGCAAAATTTGTGAAGAGAAAACGAGTTTGTGTTTGTTTACCTTGTGTTTTGCAAGCTCTGCTGATGTGCGGTAATTGAATTTCGATGATGAATTCAGACGTTTTCGGTTGTTGGAAATCACAATAAAATATATAGAAGTTAAAATGAAACTAAACAATTTAATTTTTAAAATTATAGCTGAAGTTTTTATTTTTCAAAATTAAGTATTTTTAGTATAAGGAACAGCAATATGCATATCTACATACAGTCGTGTGAAAAATAATAGTAGCGCGAAAACATGATATGGAAATAATTTTATTATATTATTTAGGTTAGTTGTCTGGCAACTTGCGTTCATTTTAATGCCTTTTTGGGAAGATTTTATTTGGAAAAAAAATTAATTTCAATCAAATTCATTTTGTACTATATTAAGAATAGTATTTAGAAGTGGAAAAAAAATTAATTAACATTTTTTTTTTAACTTGTTTCGTAGCACTGCAGAGAGCGTCTATAAAAAGGGATGTGGCTTGCTCCTGAATTAGAAAAGTTAAAGAGATTATTGTTCTGTGTTCTTTTCATTCTGGTTGCAAGTAAGGTCGCAGTTCGTCCGAGAGCTATTGATGAGAAGAATAACACATTAAAATTTCGAAAAACCAGCTGAGCGCGTTTTCCTACCAGCAGCTCACGTATAGATGCTATAAATCCGTACGTATTTCGAATATTTTCTAATATTTTTACAGATTATACCCATTGTACTATAGTACCTTCGAAAAAAGTTGATTTTTCCAAGCTAAGTTACTAGACTACTACCTTAGTCTCATTGAACATACGCTTGAAGTAGATTTGCCTCTCCCAAAACAAATTTCAGGTTTTAGTGATGACGTGATTTTCGTACAAGGCATAACAATTGTAGCGGTGTATCAACTTCGAAAAGTTTTCGACTAACAGCAAATCCCACAAATGTTTTATCCATACAATTGTAATTTTTTAGCAGCAAACTTTGTACTCCTAGTATCAACATACTAACAGGAACTCTAGTATTTACCTTCTAACTCTTAAAAAATTTACTCCCAACCCAGTCATTGCTAACTGCAAAAAGTCAAGACGCAAAAGTAGAAAGACCAAAAAATAAGGCATCCGATCCAAAAGTCGTTATGAAGCAAATATACAAAATGTTTGGCTCTAAAAAGGTGTTTTACAATCCTAGCGGAATTAAGAAATACGAAATAAAAGCAAACACGATCAAACCTTAACTTTTAGCACTGCTCAACGAGGTGCAGGCCAATAACAATTCTTGTCAATTATGACTGTATTGAAAACACAATTTTGACTATTTCGTTTGGTGGAGAAGCTTTAAGTTTGTGTTGGGTAAAACTCAGCCATCAAAATCAACCAATTTAATCATAAAATAAAACTTTAAAAAGAAACAAAACTGTCGGATTTTCCCAAGACGTCGTTTTCCGATAAATCTAAATAAAGAACACCAAAATCGGATTCGAACATAAATTCTGAAAGGATCACAGTACATGATACTCAAAACAGTCTAGAAAGTACGAAGACTTTTTACAAACAGTTGTGTTCCCTTACGCAGAATACAACATGTCGCTCAAATTGATTTTCCAAAAATTACAACTCGAGTGAAATTGCAAAAAAAAAATATTAAAAAAAAAAAATGTTTTTCAGTAAATAAACTTTTGTTTTAAGAGCTGAACCGCAATGTTCATCTATTTTCAAAGATAAACCAAAAAATCTATCTGAATTGTGGCAGTTAAGGAACATATTCCTAAAGAAGTCGCGGAACGATGGGGATGCTATTTAGCCAATAAATATTATGCTACAAAATACTAAGGTTTTCCACAGAAGAGGTTAGAAAAATACCACGTGTTAATTTTTTTCTTTTTATTTTGCAGATTTATTTTTTTTATTATACATATATAGTATGTGTGTATATATTTGCTAATTTTTTGATCTCTTGAATATTGGTAGTGCAGTTAACTGCACTGTAACTGTTTTCCATTCAAATGAAAATATATTAATTTCCATCTTTCTTAATTTCAAATGGCGCTACTATTATTTTACACAAAACTGTACATCTGTACATGTAAGTGCATAGAAGCAGAGAGTGAAAGAAAGAATGAGTATTTATTTACACCTTGTGCTTTTATGGCAACGGAGTATTAGAATACATACCCATACATGCATATGTACATATGTATGTGGCAGTCATAAAATTCACCTTGCACGCGAATTTATTCAACAGCGACTGATAATTAGTTGGGTAGCAAATTTATGACATATTTTCATAATAAAATGAATTAAGTAAAGTTACGAGTAATGCTAGCGGTTTTAAAACTAGATAAGTAGGATACATACCTGTAGGTCTTAAACATAAAAAAAATGAAAAAAAGTAAAAAAAAAAAAACATTAAAAAATAAAAAAATTAAAAAACATTAAAAAATAAAAAAAAAATAAAAAATAAAAAAAAAATAATAAATAAAAAAAACAAATAAAAAAAAATAAAAAAAAAATAAAAATAAAAAAAAAATAAAAATAAAAAAAAAAAATAAAAAAATAAAAAAAAAAATAAAAAACATTAAAAAATAAAAAAAGTAAAAAATAAGAAAATTAAAATAAAACAAATAAATAAAAATCAAACAACTATTATTTTTTTGTAGCTACCCACAGACATTGTTTTACTGATTATTAAATTAGTTATCTTTATTTTATATGCAATTTTTATTTGTTTTGGTATTTTGAGTTCATATAAAAATACTTTTATCTCGAAAGTAAATTGTTATTTAAATATGTTTGTTGGTATGATTTATAGTGTAATCTTAATTAAAAAATTATCATAATCACTAAATGACGAAACACTGCCAAATCGAGTACGGAAAGTTTCATACATATACATATACATCTACAAAGCCTCTTGTACTGAATGACGGACGGATCAACCCAGAGCCAAAACCCAACATATCGTAGAGACCTGAAACATGGAGAGTGTGTTCTGTGTATTTGCCGATCTTTTAGTGGAATAATTACAGGACTTTGCCTAAGTTAATATGTACAGATATTTTCTCTCCGGCAGCGATCCATCTGAAAGTATCGATTTACTTGAAATTTGGAATATGGATACGAGGGTTGTCTTTTATATTTCGGTATTAGAGCATAAAAACAAATATTAACAATCCAAAACAGCGTAGTCATCTTCACAGGTTCCTTGTTGAAACAGCCGAGCCCTCAGGAACCGACGACATCTCTTTAAAAATTTCTTTCGGCGCACTTCGTTCTTTTTAAAAGGAATTTAATCACAGGAAGGCGTTCCAAATTGCGAAAAATTTCCAGTTTCTGTTGACATAGTGTTGTTGCTTGTTCCAGGAAAGAAATTTTAAAAACCTAATAAAAAAAAAAGTTACACAACTTTCTTTCTCTAAGAATGAGTCCCGCAATTAGTACTATCAGTAAGGATTGATGGTCGCGAACTCATCAGGCGCCCCTGTTGTTGTTTTTGTTGTTGTTGTTGTAATCGCAAAAATATTCCCCAAAGTACTTTTTGGTGCATGTTGCGGGAGTGACGACAGTCCTTGGCCGGATAAAAATCCGGGTCGTTCCGGTAAAAGGACCCAACTGTCGCGGGAACTATTGTCAGGACTGTACGGTGGATGACTCATCAAGTCAACATTTAGAGTGCGTAGTACTAGTGGTACGGTTGCGAAATGTCCAAAAATGAAAAAAAAAAAAATCTGCCACGATGTCATAAATGTTTTTTCGACTCTGTTTTGGAGTATTGAATCATCGATATCGTACTTTTTTAACATTTCTCTCGACCAATCGACACGAGGCTTTTTTAAGCGATTGACAAATTGTGTGGGATCCAACATAAACAATTTATCTTTACAGACCGCTGGAAAAATCTATAAAAAAATATATTTGAAATGAAAATCGTTTTAAATCTTAATTTTTTAACATAACCTGAAACAACACAACAAAATTAACGAAACTCGAAGATGCTGTGTTACAGGGCTTCATGTCAAATCTGTACATAAAATCAACTAATATTATTTGAAAATTATTATCAAAACTAATATACCATCTTTACTGGCTATAACGGTTTTTTTTCTTTTCATAATATTCTCCAAGAAAAATAATAAAACCTTTATATGTATGTATGTATTTGAGCCAATTCGCGAACCACATTACAACCGCGATTGCGCTATATATGTACATGTGTACGAGCATCCACACATACATACATACGTGTATATCTCATAATATGTGACTTGTATGAATTAATATTTTTTTCAGGAGACGAAAAACGTTTTCTCAAAAATAGTGCAGGTCTGCAATTTAACTTCTATCTTTTCTTTTTTCTTTTTTTTTGCTTAGTAAGCTTACCGACGGCAAAATTTTTTTCATTTAATTTTTATTGAGAATATTTTTTTTAGCTCTCTCTTACCGTTATATCGTCATTGCAAAATGTTTTGTTCAAAAAACTTCTCTTAAAATAAAAAAAAAAATTAAATACAAAAAAATTTGGTGGAGAAAGTGTGTTTTACCGACGGCAAAGCAATGCACACATAAAAACAAAATGATGATTTCACAATATGGTGTATCTGCACATGTATGTATGTATGTAAGTACAAAACGTCCTCCATTTTTAAAAACCTTATAAATACTTTCATATTTTTCCACAATATGTATGCATATGCTCGACTGTACTTGTATACTTACATGCATATGTATCATATGTACATACATACGAAGTGTGTCCCGCCAAAAATGAGTTTTTTCTTTTGTGGAAAACAAACAATGCTAAAAACTAGGCGCCGGAGTTATTTATAAATTTCTTTGAATTCGAATGCTTATTTTAAATATTAAAAAAAAAACATCAACAAAATTTATCTACAGTCGACCAATAAAGTCTATGTACAGGGTACGCCATCTGCAGCGAAAGCAGTTGAAACTTGAAGAATTTCGCCATTTTTTAACGTATTGGCATACATATGTACATGCAAATTTATATAGCGCCATGTTCGATGCGTCATTTCAATATATTTTGTGCTATTAATCAGCTAACACCGATATAACGAGCTCCATCAGGAGCGATGGAGCTTAAAACGGTTGTTTTTCGGCCGTCGGAAATCCTTGTGAGTTATTCAAAAAGTCTCTCCATGATCAAAAAACCGCCAAAAAAAAAATCTGTGGATCGTATTTTTTCGAGAACGAAGCTAACACCACCGTTAAGATCAATGCTGCGCTCTACAGAGTGATGCGGCGTGATTTTGTGTTTCCGGAAATAACTGAAAATGACATGGCTGACTTCTAGTTCCAACAGGACGGAGCCGCGATTTAATAATGCTACTCCGCACGATATTCGACCGACCGACGCATCATACCGAAAAACGGCGATCTCGACTTTTGCCGCTGCGCTCACCCGATTTGACGCCGCCGGACTTCACTAAGTGTGGGTATTTGTAGCGCAAAGTGTACATCGACAAGTCGCAGAGCAAAGATCCAATACTGGCCGGGAAATATCGCTTATTACCACCAAAGCGTTGAAAAAAAATGAAATAAACTAAAAAGAGTTGTTTTAGCCAAACGTTATTAAAGTTTATATGCGCAACAAATGGCGCGCACTGTACGTACTCCTGTAAAGTGCAGTCTTAACCACAGCGACGTTTTGAAGGTGGTTGCCGAGAATGCTCACGCCTCAGCAAAAACAACAATCAATCAGCCGAACTGTAAGGTTACCAAAAATGAAAAAAAGGGCTGAGGGGTAAACAAAAAAAATTTATGGCTGAATATGGAGTGAAGGCGACAGTTTCGGCGAATTTTGAAGATACAGGGAAAACATTTTTTGTAAAGTAAAGATATTTCTTTTTTTTCCACCTTTTCTCCACTCATTCCGCGAGTATTAATATGCGCCTTCGTACTTTTTTTCTCATTAATTTTACAAATCGACCTTATTTTTAGACACATTGCTGTGAAATCTACTGTCTGTAGAAAACTTATTGCTCTGTCTTTGGGTGCACTATAACGATATTCGTGTTTTCAGAAGATATCGCGATTTACTTAGTCCAAACCTCTGAGTTATGTTGAATATCGCCTAAATTTGTCACTTTTCCTGTGGTGATATTTTAGATGGCCGACCGCTCCTCCCCTTGTTTTGTACAGTTTTCCGTCTAGTTATGCTCCCAACCTTGTATCATAATTTAAAAAAAATACAAATATTATATATTTGGTAAGGTAGGTTCTTTCAAAGTCACCAACAATAATTTTTTAGCATTCCTGAACTCCACTTAGCTTGATGGCGCTTTTTCATTGAGGAAATGTCCTGAGCAAATCTCGCACCTTGTTCTTCACGCACAACGCACGAATTTGCCGAAAAGAAATCCAAAAGAGGGTCCAACATTTGTATATTTATTTACACATAACAACACAAAGCCTCATTCATTTATTAGTACTTTATAATTTCGTAATTTCTGGGCTCCAAGAAAGTTCTGCACAACATTTACAAAACAGTTTCACCTTTTTTTAAACAAATTCAAATCACATATTAAATAGTTTAAATCGTTTGTGTCAAAAAATGTCGCCTTTAAGGTGACGGCTCGTAACTTGGGTCTTTTTCTTAAGATATCACGCTGACTTAGGAGAATTACTCACTAGAAACCAGACTTTCTGTTCGACTGCAGTAGGCAGGTTGGCACTATGTGGAATGGGTCTTTTGGCTGAAAACATGTTTGTTCAGTAGATAGTCTCTACTAGGCTACATAAAAGAACAATCACTTATGTACACACTTGATCCTATGGTTTCTTCCAAATAATTGGTATAGCAAATGGCAAATGACTAGGTTGTTGTTTAGCCCAACCTTAAAAGAATTCTTACACACGTTACACAGCTTTACTTATGATGCATAATGGATTGCTAAGAACGGTATTTTACAAGAGGTAGACTTTATTGATTTATATATTCTTGGAAATAATGCCTAAAATGTTTTTTTCGTTTGAAATCGAACAGCTGTCAGTTTTGGTTATTTTTCATTCACAATAGTATACTACAGTTGATTTTCAACAATGTTGACATCGAAATGAAACCTTAATGGAACTGGCCAGAGGCGAAAAATAATTGAAATGCGTTTCAAGTTCTTCATTGCTTCTCTCTCTCCTACATCTTTTTGGCGCTTAAAGCTTAAAACAAATTTCATAACAGTTCACGATTTGTCCCTCAAATCACGGCTTGTCATAATAGACTGACTGTTTAAAGGATTCTTGATTCGACTGAATAATATTTGGGCACTTTTTAATATTGTTACGATTTTACTAAATCAACCTCGATGATTTCCTAAATACTTCGGGTACGATCTCTGCATGGTTAAATAAAACTCGCCAACTTAATTTGCAGTTTCTTTCGTAATAAAGATTTTATCTAATGTCCTTTATTTACTCCGTAATACACAATTCAATCACAAGGCACTTTACTAGCTACAATCACTTGCATAAACTTTCACCATTTACTCTACTTAAATGTAATTCCCAACGCGTTCACTTTACGACTTCACTGATGTTAACGCCAACGAGCTCACTTTGTAACTAACTTCACTTGGCAGCTGAGTGTCCCCTTATATAGCAGTCGGCTGCTCGCAGACGAAAGCGTAGAAGCATCGATTTGTTCGCTATCGAAGATTCTTGTTTTATCGTTTCTAGAATGTACTAGTTATCGGCTTCTCTCTTTCATCTGACATTCGCCTCGCATTTTCGCAACAATATTAACTTGTGATCCCTACAAAATTGAATCAACTGCCAGGCCTCATGATAAGCCTAGAATCTCTTGTAAATTTTATATTTTTTCATATATTTATGTTCGTATTGTGTGTGGCATGTTTAAAAATAGATTTTAGTAAGCAAAAATAGCATATATGTATGTACATTCATATATATATTTAGCTTAAATTATTATTATATTTCGATTTTAATACCAAAAATACATTTTTACAAATAGCAACAGACATAATGACGCTTGGAAGAATAGTCAAGTTTCAAGCATTGCTTGCCAGATCGTTAAGCAGAACTTATTCAGCTGTCGGAATACCAGAGTTAACGCAGGTAAATAAATAATTTAAAATGAATTTGTTATTTATAAGAAATGGTTTTTAATTAAAGTATAAGAGATTTTACGGAATCGGGACATTGAATGTTTTTTTGTCAAGAATAAATAAAACGCATATAAAATATGCTGTTGTTTAATGGCGCCAGCGGTAGCCGAGTGGTTAGCATTGCGTACTGCCATGCGGAAGGCTCAGTTTCAAATCCCCGTGCGACCAACAAAAGTTATAGAAAATTAATTTAAATTAAAAATCAAGCTAAATTTTCTAATTGCGGTCGCCCCTCGGCAGGGAATGTCAACCCCTCCAAGTGAATTTCGGACATGAAAAAAGGCTCCTCGTAAAAGAAACCATCAGCCGTTTGGAGGCTGCTTGGTATATACTGCAAGTCCCTCTATTTGTTGAAAGAACACACGGAAACATCAAGACGCAAACCCACAAATTGGAGGAGGAGCTCGGCCGAAAAATCGCTTCAGCGTTTATAAAGCGCCAATAATATACATATATAATTTAATGTTTTGACCAAGTATTTAGCTTTGTTATAAAGATAAGGGTTCATCATTAAGTTTCCAATAAATTGCAGTAATTGGGGTAAAATAATCTCTGCCAAGCCGTTAATCTTCTCGGGTTTATCTGCGTAGACAAGCGACTTCACATAATATATCTAGTCTAGCGGTATTAAATCGCAGGACCTTGGAGACCACACTATAGTCCCACGACGCAAAATAAGGTCCTCACTAAAACTTTCCTTCAATGTCGTAGTGTCGTCTTATCTGGGAGCCAAAGAACTCCACATTAACATCCTCCAATTTAGGCACGAAAATATCATTATGCATGGCTCTATAGCCGGCTTAATTTGAAGAAATATGAAACCATGATTCCCGCTGCCGATATAACTCAACTCAACATAACTCAACAAAGGTTTGTGGATTATCAGACCATACCTATTCAACTAAAAATTAACTTCACCTTGAACAACATTTTTTTATGACGAGCGGTAGATATTCCTTGTCGAACCACAATTTAATTTTTTTATTAGAAATAATTTTCTATCATTTTTGCTTGTTTGTCAGATCAAAATTTGAACCTTGGCCCACCGAATGACAGTACGCATTACTAACAGCGCGGCTATTGATGACGAAGTAAAGACAACGTCATCTGTGTGTCGAGCTCGGCACTTTCTAACCGATGTGCTGTAAGGCATTTCCTTCTACTCTACAAATTATAAATAGAAAAATTTATTTCTGTGTCGTTAACTTGACTCCTGCCGCATAGAGCATCCATACACTAATTTTTCTGAGCCGATGTGAGCCATCTGATTACGCTTCATGGACGTCAACTAGTGTCAAATGCAGTGAGCTCTTTTATCATCAGAAAAAGACCATCCAAATGTTCGAGCGTTGCCTCGCCGAATCCGTCAGTCGAACCCACAGTTTCTTCTACGCGCTTCCTAAGATTTTTAAGAGGTACTTTTTATTTTATGTCGGTAATACACGTGGAGGGCTAGACTTTCCCTGCCGAGGGGATTTGGGTTTTGGTCACTAAGATTCCATTTATTTCCATAAGCTCAGAGCTTTTCATTTGTTAAAATAAATGGATTAAAGAATGCTTATGAAATGGAATTAAGGCATTTGATGGGCCTGTCCTGAGTAAAGCAAGAGCTTACGAGATGCCGTATGCCCCGGACATCGCAGCACATTAACGGTCAACGAAAACGTAGGAAAAGTGAAAGAAATGGATATGAACGATCATTGAATCACAATTAGAGTTGCCGCTTTGGGTTATCAATTGGATTATGATATGAATTTTCCAATGTTTTGTGTATGTCACGCGCGACAACAAAATTTTCGGCTAATGGAAATTCCTGAGGATTTACTAAATGAAGTCAACGACATCAGAATTCCAAAAAACGCATTATAATAGGTGGCGAAACATGCGTATACGATTATGACGCCGAAAGTATGACTAAGGACTTTCGGCTACCCAACCCCATTTAGCTCAAGTAATTCGAGTCTGAGTACTTCAAGAAAACAACAAGTTGCAGCAGCGTTGTTTCAAACCCTTTTCATGAGGACTGTTGTGGAATCCACAACGACGCGCCACCACTCATACAACTCGATTAGATGCAACCAAAAGTCATCCCAAGACCTTTAGAAGCTTTAAAAACAACAGGGAGTGGACCACGTGTTAAGTGGCTCTATATACTGCCAGTGGCTGTGTCTTTGTACCGCTACCCACTTTGCGTTATCACCCCATAACGGCCAACGAACCGCCATCGGGGTTATCTTAAGAGACATTTACTTAAGCCGAACCTGCATTCGGGTACATCCGGAAGGGAGTACTAGACTAGAATGATTTCATACAGCAATTCACACAATAACAGCTAGAGAAGACGGCGTACCGACGGCCTTTAAGCGGCATACACACCGTCAACCCGTCAACACCTTCACGAGCTCTCTTTCTCACATTGCTGACCAAGTGCTTGCGCTACCTGGAGAGACCCAAGTATTACTGTCATTATCCAGCATTGAACCCGACATACCCAACGTACATGCATACAATAAGACCCCACAGAACAGTAACCACCTCTTTGTATGTCCCCCTAAACTAATCTAAACCCCGTACTCCCTCTGGTCCAAACCCTGGACTTCGCGGTAGATGACCTCGAATATGTCTTAGATTAGTCTCGCCTGCTTCTAAGCGGCGTTGGCGAGCCGTTATAACACCAACAACAACATTTTTTCTTATTATGTTACTCAGTGTCTTGCCATTGGAAGATTTCTCATTTAAGTGATTTTCCAAAAATAAAATATATTAATTTATTAACTTTTTATTACTTCTGAGGGTATTTAACAATAATAATAATAAAAATATGCATATTTATATTACCAGTTCCGCCATAATGTGAAACGAAGCGACTATGCTAATATAGAAGACGCGGACATTACCGTCTTCGAGTCCATTATAGGCAAACGTTACACACTACAGGAAGACTTACAAGCATACAACATGGACTTTTGGCACAGTGTGCGCGGTATGTTTAGCAAAAACGATTGTTTGTATGTATGTATGTAAGTATGTATTATACAAACTATTAAACAGGCAATAGCAAACTGATGTTGAAACCCGGCTCGGCCGAGGAGATATCCGCCATTTTAAAGCATTGCAATGAGCGCAAATTGGCCATATGTCCACAAGGTGGCAACACCGGTGTGGTGGGCGGTTCAGTGCCGGTATTCGATGAAATCATATTGTCACTTGGAAGATTAAATAAAATTCAAAATATCGATGAAATTACTGGCATAGCGGCGTGTGAGGCTGGTTGTATACTGGAAAACTTGGACAATAAGGCGCGTGAATTGGATTTGGTGGTGCCGCTAGATTTGGGCGCCAAGTCTAGTTGTCACATTGGTGGTAATGTCTCAACGAATGCTGGTGGTTTGCGTGTGGTGCGCTATGGTAATCTGCATGGCAGTGTATTGGGTTTGGAAGTGGTGAGTGTTGAATATAAATTCAAAAAACAAAAAAAAAAAAATATTCCGCACATACATATATACATATGTACACTTGTAGGTCTTAGCAAACGGTCAAGTGTTGGATTTAATGTCGGACTTCAAAAAGGACAATACCGGTTATCATCTGAAACATCTCTTCATTGGCGCCGAAGGCACGCTGGGTGTGGTGACTAAAGTTACGCTTTTATGTGCTCCTGCGCCACAAGCACAGAATTTGGCCTTTTTAGGTAATTGTAAAATTATATCTAAATACGCAGAGAAATACATACCGAGGACATATGTGTACGGGGTGTGTTCAACGGAAAAGCTACATTTTGAGTTTCTTTTAAAATTATTTATTTATTCGCGGATATAATACACTTGTGCCAACGCTTTTTCCATACTACGAAGCACGCTTCGGTATGGCCATTAACTCTTTCTTCGATTCTGACTTGATCTCATCAATTGTGCCAAAACGCTTTCCTTCAATAGTGTCTTCACATTTGGGAAGTAGCAGGGAGCCACATCTGGTGCACTGTTGTTGGGCGGAATCCACAATTCTGATCGTTTGAGCCGTATTTCATCAACCAAACGTTGCATAACTTCCTTGTAGTATTCCTTATGAACTGTACGACCTTTTGGCAGGAACTCGGTATGGACCACATCATTATAACCAAAGAAAACAGTGAGCTGAGCAAAACCTTCATATTTGATCGATTGAACTTGGCGTGCCTTTTTCGATTTTGGCTCATCTGACCGCTTGGGTATGATTGGAACCTGATATCGACGATATAACCAAATATCCACGTTTCGCCAAAATGTATAAGGCGTTTAAACAACCCCTTACACTAATGCGACATTGCTTTTGCCCAAAAAATTAGCAATTTCGGAACAAACCTTGCTGCCATAGGTTTCATGCCCAAAACATTCGAGAAAATTTAATGCCATGAGCCAATTGATTCGCCAACATCCTCTACAACTTTCTTAATAGTGATTCGACGATTTCCGGTAACAACTTTTTCACTGTTTCGTTGTTTTCTTTGCCCATTGATGTGGTCGCACCCGTAGGACGCTCATCGTCAACAACATCTCGGCCTGCTGCTAAGCGCTTGTACCACATCTAAACACTTTTTTGAGACCAAATGGACTCACCGAATGCCACAGTCAACATTTCAAGTGCCTTGGAGCACTTTTGTTCAAGAAAAATCCAAATTTACCTTTTCTTTTGAACACACCTCGTATACATATTTAATTTAAATAAATTATATATTTAAATTTTTTCACAATAGGTTTACCAAATTTCGATGCGGTGCTCAAAACATTTAGAAGCGCGAAACGTAATTTGGGTGAGATTTTATCAGCTTGCGAATTGATTGACGCCCCAACACTCCAAGCCAGTCTGGATCATTTCAAACTAAAGTATGTGGAAATTAGCAAAGCTCTCTCAGTTTTTTGTCCTAACTTACGTGTCCACTTCTAGTACACCTATTGAGGGTTTTCCATTTTATATGCTACTCGAAACATCTGGCAGCAATGGCGCACACGATTTGGAGAAAATAAATCATTTTCTGGAGTTGGGCATGGAAAAGGGTGAAATCATTGATGGCACCGTAGCGAGTGAGGCGCGTAAGATGCAAGAAATTTGGAAATTACGTGAATTGGCGCCAATGGCTTTGGGAAAAGATGGTTATTGCTTTTACTATGATCTTTCCTTGCCGCTGCGTGATTTCTATAGTATTGTAGAAGTATTACAGGAGCGTGTAGGAGCACGTGCAACTAGAGTTACGGGTTTTGGGCATTTGGGTAAGTAAAAAATTTTCTAATATTTTTTTTTTTTATTTTTTTAAATTATAGCGTCTCAACATAATTACTTAATTTAATTTGATATAATATTTTATATACTATAATATATTATATAATATACTGTAATACTTAACGCTCTACTTCTCTTTTCGATTATGCCTGGTTTGTTTTCCATTTTGTAAGGCGACTCTAATCTACATTTGAATGTCTCCTGCCCGGCATATACCGACGAGCTCTATCATATAATCGAACCTTTCATATATGAGTATACCCACAAGCTGAAGGGCAGCGTAAGCGCTGAACATGGCATAGGCTTTCTTAAGAAGAACTACCTGAAATACAGCAAATCAACGGACGCGATTGCGATGATGCGTGACGTGAAGCATTTGTTGGACCCTAAGGGTATCTTAAACCCTTATAAAGTGTTAAATTAAGTGGAAAAATCTGTGCATTGCATAGTACATACATACATATACACATATGTACGTATGTACATTTAACAATTATGAGGCGTCAGAAATAAGAAATAAAACAAAATAAAAACATTAAAAAAGAAAACTTTAAAAAAATATATCCGCCTTTTTATCACATTCTTTATTAGGAGGGTAGGTAGGTAAGTGATAAACACCATTTTAATTTGCTGGCGTACCTTTGCACGTACATATGTATATACGAGCATATATCTACATACATATGTACATATGTATGTATATCACTTTTGAATGCTCATTCGCTATCAGAGCCACTTCCGCTCGCAGCGAATAATAGCTTTACAACACCAATGCCACGAACTACAAATACAATTACAAGAAAGAAGAACACAAAACCAACGAATGTCACTTATGCCGTCGCTTGATTCGGTCTCTGAAAGCAGAAATATAGAATATTTAACTATTACACATATCTACACATAAATACATACGATGTACACAGGTACATATAATGGGTGTGGTTTTCGATACTTTCAAAGAGAATATTGTATGAGAAATATTTCTCTTTAAAAATTAATCTACTTTTAGATATTCTCAACAATCGAAACATATAAATTCACCACTAAGAGGTGAGTAAATAGCAAAACTGATTTCTCTAGTCTGAATTCTCTCTGTTCTTGGAGCGCTAAATATTTATGGTATACATATTTGATAATTATGGCCACACGCGCCAGCACTAAAAATCTCTTATTGGATTTTATTTTATTGCAGTGCTGGGATTTATGGCAACAGTGAGGTTGCCAACTGTCACAAAATTGATTTTCTCAAATATCGATTAAAATTTCTAAATATTTTATGAAAAATATTATTTATGAGTAGAAGATTAAGATAGCAGCATTTCAAAACTTTTGTCTCTGTGTGTATGTATATGGAGTTTCGATTTCCTTATACTGAAATATCGATATTTTTTCCACTTTCCATTTCATCTCGACAGTATTATGCTCAAAATTGCATCTAGTTATTCAGTGATATCCATTTTGCGGTTTCGAAAATAAACGTAATTATTTATTTCATATAAAAAAAAAAGAAATTATTTCATTAAATTTGTTTATATTATAAAGTATGAACCTTGGTACATACATACATATACATACATATTTGAAACACGACATCACGGAAATGACCGTCTCGCAAATTTTCGTAAACTTCGATCCGTTTGAGCTAATCTACGACCACTTTTTAGCATTTATTGGCTGTTAACTCAGCCACAACTTTACGATTGTTGGTTTTCAAATGCTCAAGAATTAAAGGTTTATCCGCATAAGCACAGTATTTCGCGTAACCTCACAAAAATATCCAACGGCTTCAAATCGCACAATCTCGATGGCCAATTGACGTCGCCAAGACGAGAGATTAAGCGACCGGGAAAGTTCTCTCGTAATAAAGCCATATTCGCTCTTAATTCTTTGTCTCATTTTTATTTCAAAGTCGTTTTAATCAAATTCACTAGAAATTTAAGTATGCTTCATTTATTTGTCATTTATCAATTAATACATATATCGATTACAATAGCTACTAAGAGATTAGAATGAATTGTTATCGTGAATTACATACTCTCCATTACGAACACGAATTAGCCCATTCACACGTCACACAATTTGACAGTTTTCTGTTTCGCTGGTTTCCTTTTTTCCTTCCATTTGAAAACGCGGGGAAAATGAAATTTTTGAGTAAAAGTTAATTTAATATTGAATTTTATTGGTGTTGTACATAAGTGTCAGTATGAAAAATCCGACAAAAAGTTTCATTAAATCAAAACATCCAATTAAAATTTTAGCCAGTTTAATCAGGGTCTTAAAGAAACCGGCACTGAATTGTTTATTTAACATAATTCTATTTTACTTTTACTTTTGTCGATTCATAATTTGTTTGTATGTAGATTCATGGACCTATGAGTATTTGTAATAGTGCTGGATGTCGGGGAAGGCAAGTTATATAGGCTGTCGTCTATCCCACCTGTGCTCCAACTAGCAACGACAATGACTCAAATATTTTTTTAGCGCGTTTCCCACAATCTCTGTGGTTATAATAGAAATGCCAAAGTCTTTTGAACGGTTGATTTGCTCACGCTGAATAAAATTAGGAATAAGCGAGAATGAAAAGCAGAAGGCTCGTGGTACACCAAGTATATTCCAGGCATTACTGGTTGTACAACCCATAGTTCATGAGTTATATTTTTATTCAATTCCCGCTGGCAAAAAAATTAACACACACACAATTTCGTCAATGATAATTAGGTTTATGTAACACCTAAAATCTACAAAAATTCTATTTCGCAAATGAAACCAATATGCAAGTCAATAATCCGAATGTGCAACCCTTTAAGCAGAATTTTATCGGCTTTAATTCTGAATCTGTAACAACTCTAAATATCTGCTTGTCATTCAAACTTTTTTTTAATAATTTCTACACAAATATATACAAATAGTATCTGGTTTCAAATAAAAGTTGGTGTTTTAGTGTTTTCTTTTATGTGATTGATATTTTCTTCTTGTGATTTGACAGCTGATTTCGATAAATTTCCGATAAAAATCAGAGATGAAAACGATTAAGTCGTAATTCGCAAGATAATTGAGAATGATTTGCCAATTGGACATACGCGCATATACATGCATACATATACATAAATAAACAAACAAATATTTTTTTTTTCATCCACTCTATTCCACTTGTATTTGCCGTTGTTTTTATCACGCGTTCTCGCAGCTACTCTGCTCGAACATACTATCACTCTAATCTATACATGAGTATATTCTAATCATTATTGCATACATAGTATATTTATACACATACGTATATAAATATATCACTAATTTTGCTTGATTTCAACACTTCACAGCAGATACAAACAAATGAATGCGCAAATTTGTCTCTAGTCGTACGCAGACTTCGCACGGTCGGTGTGGTGTGATTTGCTAAATCAAGTTCAAGAGTTTTTCCCCCCGAGTATTTTCAGGTACAAAAATAAACGTAAGCGAGTTTACATGAAAGTAAAGATATTCCAATGCAAAGTGAATTAATTGGTTGTAGAAGAAGAAATCGAGAGAATTCCCTACAAGTGTGATAATTGTGGAATGTATAATAAGTTTTCGACGTGTTTTCGGCTTGTTTGTTTACATGTTACACATACAAAACGTAAAAGATAATCGTGTAAATGGAAGAGATGGAGGGCAAACATAAAACAGTGTTGTTACAATTGTAAAATTTATTAAATAATATAATATAATTTTTATTACTATTCGGTGTTATATTTTACGACCAACAGGTTTCTGTCGAGTTAAATAAATTTACTTTTTTATGTAAATTCACCATTCAGTAAATTTTGTAAATTTCTCATATTCTGAGGTCACTGTCACCCTGTAAGTTTTGTTACACGCGAAATAGGAGATAACAAACAATCTGTTTGAATTTGTGCTGTTAATTTGAGAAAAATAGAAACCAAAATGTACATACAAGCATATTTTACGCGGGGAATTCAACGAAAATTAAGAAAAAAGTGCAAGAAGGCGCACGCTAAAAAGTTTGCGAAAATTAACATTTTTACTTGGAAGATAGCGCAGTCATTCAGAACTTTCGTCTAAACAATGCAATTTGTTTAGAGCTTATAGGACACCATATGAAAAGGAAGTAGATCTTTCTTTTCATATATAATTTGTATATCAAACATTTTTTTAAAACATAAGACATTCTTGCCATTTTATTCGATTTCTCTCAACAATATATGTATTTCTCTTCCAACGGAAATCATCAGGAATTCGTTGGAGGCGATTGTCTAACTGCAAGGAGGCAATCTTCTGTTTTCGAGTCTCTGCACTATTTTTCAAATTTGATTGTCAAAGTAAAAGTCGTGGAAAATTGCTTTCCAACAACAAACGAAATGCAATTATATGTACATATATATGTATATATTCTTCATTTTACTTTACCAACTATCAAAAGTAATTTGACATGGATGAAAAGAGCAGTGCTGCCAAGGTAAACAGTGTAACCCAGTCCGCTAGAATACGAAACTCAAATTTCGGATGTTAAAAAAAAGTAACAACATTTACATCACCAGTAACAGTGAGAGTAGGCATGAAAATATTTTTTTATTATTCAACGATTCCAGTGCATGAACTACATTTTTTTAGGCATAAGAATATTTATTGTTAGAGTTTCTCGCCTCTTCTAGTAGGGAGTGTGTTATTATGTAGTATACTGATTTGAAGCCAACACTTCAACATCTTAGAGTGCCACTTGCTTTAATCCTTAAGTTATATAAATAGCCGCGGATTCATGAAAAGGTGGTTTTAGCTACAAACTTTTGTACATACACGTATGTACGTAGACATGTGATATTGAGTAAAAACAATGATACGATAACAACAATGCAAAGCAATTCAATGTTATCGGAGGCAGTTACAGACATACAAGAAATATATATATGCAGGTTCATAAGTATGCATTTGACTTTTTAATAAATATTTAAATGCCTGCAAAATAAAGAGAAAGTTTCGTAATCTGTGCAGCAGATGTTTGTTCCTTTACTGCATTAATTGCTTTGGATATAATACGGATTTAAATAAAAAAAATCTGCAACACTATGAAAAATAAATGCAATGAAATTTCCATACAAATTTTGAATAGTACATTTTCACAAAAGCCGACGGCAGAGTGTATTACTTTTCAGCTTACGCTTTGGCGATCATTTCGATTTGCGCTGGATATTCTAAACAGCAGTAGATAGGAATGCATGTGTATACACATGTACCTAAAAACTGCTTGAAAATGCTATTGAATTTTCTTATCATATAAAAATTTTGTTTATCGCACAAACACACGCTGACACATCCATATGTATGCACAAAGAGGCCATTGGAAGTCACAAAATTTTTTATGAATTCAACAAAGACACTAATTACACTTTACCGTGACATAAAATCATAAATAAAATACAAACCCTCACTGCGCTAATGTATTTATAATTCAATCAGCCAAATTAAGGTTTATAAAATTTGATGAAACCACCACCAACATCATAAAACACATCAACTGTTGCTTGTTTACCTGCCACAAAAATTTGTTAGTCTGCCAGTTCGGTCAGAACAAGCACATAAATTAAGTCACGAAGTTTACTTACCACAGAAAGAAATGTCTCGCAGGCGATTTTAAAGATATTCAGTTTTTGTTACGAATTTAAAGCTTTTGTTTTACAAATTTGTATTGCATAAAACTTGCTGAAAATTCTTAGAGCACAGAAAGTATTGAAATTGGAGATGAATTAGCGTTGCATTCACTTGAATTTACACCAACACTCTATATACATATGTACATCCAATACACGTACACAACCTAGCGCGTCTCTTTTTCGTTTACAAATGCACTTTAAAACAAATTTTATTTAATTTCTAATCGTACTAAACAGTTTCCTTCGGCGCACCAATCTATTTCCGTTATTATAAATGAATTTAACATATGTTTAACCATTCAAATATTCATTTTTACCCTCATAGTACATTATAATAAATAAAAATGAAGAAAAAGTAATTACAATTGGGCGAAAAAGCGTATAAAGAATAAAACGAAATGTCAACAAACGACGACTGTTGTAAAATTGTATGAAGTTGGCTGCGGTTTTGTGTGGAATTCATTTTTGACAATTCGTTTTAAGCGATTTTCCGGGATTTTTTTTTTTTAAAAATCTTAAATACAGAAGAGCAGCAAAGAGGCAGCTGGCAAGCACTCTTACAATCTCTTAAACTAGAAACTTTCACTTGTTATTGCGGAAAGAGAAAGACAAAATACGTTAACAAATCATCAATTTGTCCTCCTTACACATTGATGGCGGGTTGGTGTAACATCCGAGCGGCGCCCTTTCGAATTCGTTGTTGTTACATAAAATGGCCATTCATGTGCATGCATGTGGCATATTTAAACACACTCATTTTCTTTTCATTTCAGAAAATGTCGGTAAATGGCCTTCTTAAATTGGGACCGAATGTTGTGAGAACGTTTTTTAGAACGTACAAAGCTTCCGGCATTCCAGAATTAACACAGGTTAGTAAACTAAATCGTAAAAGAACAAATTTGAAAAGTATAAAATAAAATAAAACAAATTATAAATAAATTAAGCTACATTTATATGTAAAATTATTGTTATTTTTTTTTGTTGCAAAACTTCAATCAATAATCTCTTCTTACACCTACTCTTATTTGAATGGTCTTCTGTTCTCTAAATAAAAATAATAAATTATATTTATTTGCAAATGATAATAATTAAAACTAAAATAAATTGTAATGAATAAAATTTAGCAATAATTAAAAATAAATAAATATATTAAATAAATATGAAACATAATAAATACAATAAAAATTGCAGTAAAAAATAAAAATAAAATAACATAAAAAAAAAAAATAAAAAATAACTAAATAAGATATATGTATGTACATTAAACGTTATAGAGCGAATTATTTAAATTAATACTATTATCAAAATCAAACAAATTAAAATCATTTCAATTAATATAAAGTCAGAAAAAACTGGACCAAATAAATTAAAAAAGTAAACCGAAATAAAATATATTTAAAAGAGGATATTTTATAAATAAATTACTTAAACATTTGTAACTTGCTATTCTACTCATTTTACTCTTTTTCGAGTTCAAATATTTTCATTTTCAAACAATAAATTAAATAAATTTTATTAAAAAAAAATATAAAATATATAAATAATATAAAACTGCTTAAAATAAGTAAACATAAATTCAAATAAAATAAAAAAACCAAAATAGAATAAAATAAAAAACTAAAAAAAAATAATCTAAAGTAAAATAAAAACAATATAAATAGTTATAAAATAAAACAGAAAAAAAATTATGTAAAATAGAGTAAATTAAAATAAAGTAGACTTGATTAAATTTATTTAAAAATAAAATTAAAAAAATGTATATAGAGTAAACAAATTAAAAATAAATATTATAATATAAAGCAAAATAAAATTGATGTATGGTATTTAGTTGATGCTTTGTAAACACTGAAGCAATTTTCCGCTGAGTTCCTCCTCCAATTTGTGGTTTTGCGTCATGATGTTTTTCCAACAAATGGAATAAATTAAAATAAAATAATCTAATTTCTATTCATATGAAGACAAATTAAATTGATTAATATAAGTATAAATAAAATAATAAGTTAAAAAGTAAAACAAAATAATTATTGTATAGTAAAATTAATGAAATAAAATGAAAATAAAAATGAATAGAACATAATAAAATAAATTAATATGCATTAAAAAAAATTAAGTAATATAAAACAAGATATAAAACAATATAACAAACTAAAAAATACAAATAAAGTAAAAAATTAAATAAAAAAGATTAAAGTTAAATAAAATACATTTATATAAAATAAAAAATATAAATAAAATTGAATAACTCATTTATTTTATATATTCATTTTAATCTAGATTACTTTATTTTATTTACATTAAACATAATTAAAATAAAACAAAAAAATCAATAAAATATATGATAATATGGAGTAAAAGAGATATAACATAAAGGCAAATAGAATAAACTATAATAAAATTAATAAAACCTAAATTAAATAAATCGTGTTCTAGTAAAAAAGAATAAAATAATAAATAATAAATAAAATAAATAGGAAATAAACCAAATAAAAAAAAATGAAATACAATAAGATTAAATTGAATGATATTAAATAAATTAATATAAAGTACTGTATAGTGAAATAAAAAAAAAAAAATTGATATGGAATAAAAAAATGAAATAATGTTACTCAATGTAAAAATAAAAAATAAATTAATGTAGAGTAAAATAAAAAACAAATTAAAATAAAAAAATCAGAAATATTTAAAATAAAATAGAATTAATTAAACAAAATTAAAATCAAGTGAAAATGTTGAATAAAGTAAAACAAAATAAATCAGCATAAAATAAAAATAAAATATTTTAATGAATGAAGTATAATAAAATAAATTAAAATAAAGTTAAATAATATCATTACTTACTTACTTAACTGGCGCAGACACCGTGATTTTGGCCGATTTAAGAACATTGCGCCATTCGTTTCTTATTTTTGCTGCGCCAATTGGAAATACCACAACCATCCGGACCACATAACCTAGCCAGCTTAGCCGCTGCTTCTTAATTCGCTGAACTATATCAATGTCGCCGTATAACTTCGCCGTTGCCAATGCGCAAAAGACCATAAATCTTACGCTAAACCTTTCTCTCGAAAACTCCTATCACCGGCTCATCAGATATTGCCTTCGTCCATGCTTCCGCACCATATAGCAAGACAGGTATGATGAGCGATCTGTAGAGTTTGGGTTTCGTTCGCCGAGAGATGACTTTTATTCAATTGTCTACTGAGTCCGAAGTAGCACCTGTTGGCAAGAATGATTCTGCGCTGGATTTCAATTATTATTGCTGTGGATACTAGTTCCTAGATAGACGAAATTATCTACGACTTCAAAGTTATGACTGTTATGCGAATGCGATGACTGTTTGTGTAATGACAGTAGATATTTCGACTTGCCCTCGTTCGCTACCAGACCCATTTCCTTATAAAAGATTGCACCTTCTCTATTCAGCTCTGCACCTCTTATTATTCTCTCCAGCAACAAATTGAAGCAATCACACACAGGAGTCACCCTGTCTGAAACCTCGTGTATCGAGTATCGAACGGAGAGGTCCTTCCCAATTTTGACTGCGTTTCTGATGTTGGCTAGCGTCAGCTTACACAGCCATATAAGTTTTGCCGGGATACCAAATTCAGACTTAGCGGCAACGAGGCAGCTCCTATTCGTGCTGTCGAAGACCGCTTTAAAATCGACGAAGATGTGGTATGTGTCGATCCTCTTTTCACGGGTGTTTTCCAAGATTTGTCGCATGGTGAATATCTGGTCGATCGTTTACTTACCAGGTCTGAAGCCACACTGATAAGGTCCAATCAGTTTGTTGACGGTGGGCTTCAGTCTTTCACACAATACGCTCGACAGGACCTTATGGGCCATATTAAGGAAGCTTATTCAATGGTAATTGGGACTGTGGGGTCCCCTTTTTTATAGATTGGGCAGAGCACACTTAAATTCCAATCATCGGGCATGGTTTCGTCCGACCATGTTCTGAAAGTAGCTGATACAAGCACCTTCTCAGCTCTTCCCCTCCATATTTGAATAATTCTGCCGGTATTCCGTCAGCTCCCGCCGCTTTGATGTGTTTTAAGCGGGCGATTACTATTCGAACTTCTTCATGGTCAGGTAATGAAACGTCTTTTCCATCGTCATCGATTGGGGTTTCGGGTTCACCATCTCCAGATTCTCCATTTTCATAATGATTCAGCAGGTTGGAGAAGTGTTACCTATATAAATTCAATATACTCTGGGCATCTGTGGCTAGATCAACTCTTTATGTCCTACATGACTCTGCTCCGGTTTTGAAACCTTCAGTAAGTCGTTGTATCATTTCGTAGAATTTTCAAGCGTTACCTATGTCGACGAGCTTCTCAAGCTCTTCATTTTCACGCATCTCGGTCTCTTTCTTTTTTTGTCTGCAAATGCGTCTTGCTTCCCTCTTCATCTCTCCGTATCTATCCCATCCCGCACGTGTTGTGGTCGAACGCAAGGTTGCAAGGTAGGCAGTCTGTTTTCTCTCCACTGCGACACGGCGGTCCTGATCTTACCAGCTGTTTTTGCGACCTTTACGAAATCCAATAGTTTCGTTTGCAGCCGTCCCACAGTTCCCGTATATCGAGTTGCAGATGACTGCTCTCAGAGAGCAGGAGTGCAAGTCGAGTAGAAAATCGTTCACCAGTCTGTTCTGATTCCAGCTTTTCAATGTCGAACTTTCCTTGTATTTGTTGACGGGCGCTCTTCGATCACCCTCAACCCATTAGGGGATGTTTCGTTGTGAAGGTTGAAGTGTCCAACAGTCGTACAAAAGATACCTTTTTTGCCCACTCTGGCATTAAAGTCGCCAAGCACGATTTTCACGTCGTGTCGGGGGCAGCGCTCGTAAATATGCTCTATGCGCTCATAAAAGGTATCTTTGGCCAAATCGTCCTTCTCTTCCGTCGGGACATGGGCGCAAATCAGCGATATGAATTAATAATAATATTAATTAAGATAATATTAAACTGAAATATAACAAAAAACAAAAACGTAAACTAATATTTAATTTTTTGTTTTATAATAAACAATATTAAAATAAAATAAAAATATAACATTAAATATATATATAAATTTCGAAAAAAAAATAAATAAAATAAAGCGAAATGGAATAAAATATATTCAAATTATATAAAATCAATTAAAATTAAATCAAATAAATTGCAAGAAAATAAAATAAAAAATACTGTAAAATTCACCGCTTATTGTTATTAACTTTTTGTCTTTTTTATTTGAGCTTTTTTTTTTAAATATTCATGTTTATGGCCCAGAAATCTAATTAATGAATGAATAATTTCCGATTTGCGTAAGCCTTCCTTATGTGTTGTCGAATTTCTAAAAATAAAATCCTTTTTTCATCAAGGTGCTTAAACGCCGAGTAGAGAGCAGTGTGTACGACCATGTGGAAGGTGATGGGTTCGGGTACAGTCTCGACCAAAAATGAATTTTTCTTAACAGCAGCGAATGACATGGCAATAAAAAAATGCTTCTCATAAAAGTCCTGCAGTTTTTTGGAGGAAGCTTAGAATCGACTGTAGGTTCGGTCCATCCAGAGTAGCTCATTGAAAATCACTTTAGCGGTTATAAAACGCCAAAGACATATATATATGTACATATGTATGTACGAACTGTATGAAGCCCAAATGCCGACTCCGCCTTCTAAATATGTAGATTTGTTGATTTTCTTTACTCTAACACTTTCATTGCTTTTACTGGTGCACCCCTTTTCTAACCGTTTATTACCTTTTCTTACCAAACACACTCACACATGAGTAAAGACAAAGGCCAAGCACCCTCATTTAGGGCGGTTTTCTGCCTATGCTTCTTCGCCGTTAAATCCTCTTTTGATTACTCATTTCATTCATCTTTTCCGTTTTTCAGGTGCGTCACAATGTGAAGCGTGGTAATTATGCCAATTTAGAAGGCAAGGACATTGCATTCTTCGAATCGATAGTTGGGAAAAATCATATTGTGCAAGAGGATCTACAAGGCTACAATGTAGATTTCTTGCGAAGTGTACGCGGTGCGTTAATGAGGGTTGCTGGAGAGTAATAACCGACGGCATTAATATGTATTTTTTTTTCACTTTATTTCTATTCGATGCAGGTGACAGTCAGCTGGTACTGAGACCGAGTTCGGCGCAAGAAATTTCCGCCATACTGAAATATTGTAATGAACGCAAACTGGCTGTGTGTCCGCAGGGTGGTAATACCGGTTTGGTTGGTGGTTCGGTGCCTGTCTGTGATGAAATTGTACTGTCTTTGGCGCGTCTCGATAAGATACTGCACATTGATGAAATAACCGGCATAGCAGCGTGTGAAGCCGGTTGTATATTGGAGAATTTAGATTTGAAAGCACGTGAATTGGGTTTGGTGGTGCCTTTGGATTTGGGTGCCAAGTCTAGTTGTCACATTGGTGGTAATGTGTCGACGAATGCAGGTGGCTTGCGCGTATTGCGTTACGGCAATCTACATGGCAGTGTGTTGGGCGTGGAAGCGGTGTGTATTTCGTGTGCTATAAAATTAGGTTGAGATAAAAATATTTTATTTTTATTTTGTTTCTTATTTAGGTTCTTGCCAATGGCGAAATTCTCGATCTTATGTCTGACTTCAAAAAAGATAACACTGGCTATCATTTGAAGCATCTCTTTATTGGCTCTGAAGGTACTTTGGGTGTGGTGACCAAAGTCTCCATGCTATGTGCGCCACAACCACAAGCTCAGCATGTGGCCTTTTTAGGTAAGATAATATAAAGTACAAATTTTGATTAGTAGTGGGTCTTTACCTTCTCTCAAAGTTATGAGATGGAGAAATAGTGGATGGTGTTTTCCTCGCGAACATGAAGCATTTCGATTCTTCTTAGGCATTGCATTTCCTTTCATTCAGTATTTTGGATCGCTATAGGTTTTGTTGGCGGCCGCAAAATCCGAGTGTCAGTATTGCGTACTGACTTTCGGAAAGCCCGTCTTCGAGCCCTGATTCGGCCAACAACTAAAATAAAAGAAACATAATTTTTCTAATTGTGGTCGCCCCGGACTCTTGACAGGCGATTTCAACCCTTCCGAGTTTATTTCTGACATGAAATAAAAGCTTATCATAAGAATCCATCCATCGTTCGAAGGCGTCTTAGAATAAACTTCAGGTCTCTTTAAGTCTCAGAACCACAAATTTGAAGAGGAGCTCGGCAGAAAATCGCTTTAGCGGATAGAAAGGGCCAATCAGGCAACGAGATTTCCAATGCTTACTGAGGCCAACTCAGCGAGACAGTCGAAGAATTGTCGCCCAAGAAACTTGTGTCGCGCGGATGTCAAGGCTGGACAGTGACAGAGGTAGTGCTGGATGATCTTCTCCTCTTCTTCGTCCCTACCCTAATCCTGCGAAGTCCCATTAAACAGTGTTCAGTTATTATTCCCGTCGCTATGCTAATGGAGAGCCGGTAAAGAAGGATAAGATGTTTAGATTTTTTCACATCCAACTTAGGTTATAGCTGTCTGGCCACGTTACACGTGATCTCGTTCAACCATCGTGCGTCACCTTCCCTAGTGTATGCCAGGATAGAGGTAATCCAGCATCATGTGCGTTTTATAGTAGATAGAAGGGTTCCTTTTCTTGCGAGTTCGTCTGCCATGCAATTGCCTGGGATGTTCCTGTGACCAGGTACCCAAACGGACGGCAGTACTGTACTTCGTTGAGAGTTTGTTGTATATATATGTATATATGTGTATACGATTAACTCGTTTTAGCTCTATGTTTGGTGAGAAATGTCAGTAAAATTTAGAGAGTAACGCAGTCACTTACTGGCTTCTTGCCTCGTCGAACGCGGTTCAGTAAAATTCAGTAACAATCGTTGTTACTGTCCATCTGTTCAAATTAGAGGACTATTGCAATACATAAAGATTACCGTTAAATTAATTGATTAACATATATCCTTGAACTCTTCCAAATATAGGTCTACCCTCCTTCGATGATGTCCTCAAGACGTTCCGCAATTCCAGACAATTCCTGGGCGAGATTCTCTCCTCCTGCGAAATGGTCGATGCTGCATCCTTAGATGCCAGCGTTAATCACTTTAAACTCAAGTAAGAACCACAAACTTTGCAGAAAAAAATACAGGCACTCACACACTCCATCTTCCCAGCTCTCCAATCGAAGGCTATCCTTTCTACATGCTGATTGAGACATCCGGCAGCAATGCTGAACATGATATGGAAAAGTTTAATCGTTTCCTTGAGAACGGCATGGAGAAGGGACAGATTATTGATGGCACCATTACGGGTGAAGTGGGTAAAATGCAAGAGATTTGGAAATTGCGTGAGCTTGTGCCGGTCGCACTAGTGGAGGATGGTTTCTGCTTTAAATATGACATCTCTTTGCCGTTGCGCGAATTCTATCACATTGTCGAGGTGATGCACGAACGTGTGGGCAATTTGGCGACACGCGTTTGCGGTTACGGACATTTGGGTGAGTTTGCATTGTTTTGCTTTGGTCGCCCATGCATTCATTGACCTTTGCTCCTACAGGCGATTCCAATTTACATTTGAATATCTGCTGTCCGGAATTCACACAGGAAATCTACAAATGCATTGAGCCCTTCGTCTATGAGTACACATCACAAGTGAAGGGCAGCATAAGCGCGGAGCATGGCATTGGTTTTTTGAAAAAGAACTATTTGAAGTACAGTAAGAGTCGGGCAGCGATTGAGAAGATGCGTGAGATGAAACAACTTTTAGATCCAAATGGCATATTGAACCCGTACAAAGTGCTTAATTAAGCTTGGGATGCCTTGTGCGTTCTTCTAATGGACTAAATGTAAAACGTTGTATATATGTATGTATGCATGTATGTTTGTATTGTATACATTAGACATGATTAAATTGCTATTAAAATTAAATTTAAATGAAAAAATTTTAAATTTTGCAAAAAAAAAAAATGGGTTTTTGAACTTTTGCTCTCTTGAGAAAGGAAGTCATTTGTGGGGCAGATGGGTTCAGTTGAAGCCCTTCAAATACATTGCTGCTTAAATTGATTTGTTAATCCGTTAAAATAAAGGCGAAAAATAGAATCTTCAGGACCACCCAATACTCGAATACAAGTGTCCTATTTTTGTTGTTGCTGTAGCCGCTAAAGAATTTCCCCAAGTCATTTTGGAGCATGTTGCCGAAATGGTCCTTGGACGGATATAAAAACCCAGGTCTTTCCGATACAAAGACTATCGTCTCTTGAATCTCTTTCCCGCATAATATTGAATTGTATTTTCCTTCTGGATGCAAGATCTGACCAGACCTAGAACCACTCTACAGCGAATGTCAATCAGCAATGGCCAAGGCGCCAGAACGACTGCTTAAGTTCGCCAAGAGAACAGCAATATTCTTCGCAGTTGAGGCACAATAGGAGTGCAGCAGCACAGATTGGTCGTATGTAATGTGAATGGCAACAGTATGAATGTATTTCGTCCGGAACGACCCGGATTTTTATCCGGCCAAGGACTGTCACTCCCGCAACATTCCCCAAAAAGTACTTTGGGGAATAATTTTGCGGTTACAACATCAACAACAAGAGGAAATCCATAGCCTGATAGTAGATTAGATGGATTAATAAAGCAAAAGGGAATATGGACTCAGCGACCACAGTTACTTTAAAAGATATTTCCATTTGGTCATGAAATGAATCCTTATGTGAGCCTTGTGTTCCAGGCTTCAGAGAATGCAGTGTGGGCAAATCATATTTCATATTTAGCTGCGGGAGGATATTAGCTGCCGTCGTTGTAGCAGCTTGTTCACCCAGCTTAGGAGCAGGCAAAGTGCAGTTCATCTAACATGATGCCCAGAAAGCGAGCTGTTTCGATGGGTTCGGGAGAAAGAAAAGGTGAGAGGGATTATTGGGTAAGCAAAGAGGTGATTAGTCTCTTGAAGAGATTCCCGGTCGAATCAGTTTAGATAGGAGCTACAGTGTACCAATATTAACCGGGTCTCACGAGACAGCTCAAGGTCATCACATACTATGGGTAGTGGTTTTGCTTCCGATTGCGTCTTTCACGGGAGCCGAGTTAATCAAGGCGTTGACATACACACTGCGCATGGCGTTTACGGACTGTTGATAACTCATATTGTTCAACGGTGCTGTGATATGTTGCAAAATGGAGTCCGTTTTCTATGGAAACAGGTACTATCTTCCTGATGTGCCTGGGTAGCAGGTATCTCCGGGGATAAGCTCTGTGGTAGGGTCGAGACGGTACCACTTCGTCTAGCTGCTAAAGACGCTTCTCGCAGATTTCGCTGTTGTTGATGATATGTTATCTTTCAGCCAAAGTCATCAATATCCCGGTACAGCAGTCATCAACTTAAGAGTTTGAGAAAGTATTACTTGATGGTGAAGGGAGTTTCTACACATAGGAATCAAGGAGAGCACATAGTAAGGAGAGCACATAACCCTGTGGAGCCTTTCGTTTTATTTTCCGGAGTTTGGTGCTGAAAGGTGCAGTTCTGTCTAGACGGTTAACGCACAGGGCCGATATTGGTTGAGACCATGTGTGGTCTTCCTGTTTATGGCGTTAAGTTAAGATCTGAGTGCGTACTGCTATTCGAAAAACCAGGGTTTAAATCCTCTTGCGATCAACATTGAAAATTTATAGAACAATAATTTAAATAAAAAATTAATTTAAATTTTCTAATTCCGATAGCCCCTCCGCAGATAATGTCCATCCCTCCAAGTGTATTTCAGACATGAAATGTAGGCTTCTCATAAAAAAGTCATCAGCCGTTTGGAGGCGGCTTAGTATAAACTGCGGTTACAAAGCGCTGGAACTTTTCTGATCTGTTTTTGGGCTTAATCGGTGGTTAAAAAGGAAAGCAGTAAGACCTCATGTCTTTCGCTACTAGTAAAAAGATATTCGTCATCATGGTTGGTCTGTCCGATTTAGGAAATTCTGCACCGCACTGGTATTTGGCAGTTTGTCAAGACGGTGGGTGGATCTCCTGCTGTTTCGTTTCATCAACATGCAGGGATGAAGTATGACTCTTAATTCTTTCCCAAGCTCAATAGCAGACCAATTCGTTTTGCATTCTTGCCCGGACTAGAGCAAGCAGAACTAAAGGCGTCGTTTTTAAGCCAATGATGCCAATATCTTTTGAAGAATTTGAAAACCATGATCAGGTCTTTATAACTTGCGAACACAGAAAGGTATATGTATGTATGTGCATGCATATTTCCGTTGAACTTCATGTTTAAGAAATCTTAAAAGCCATCTAACCTCAACATAGAACTCATAGAAGTTTTTTTTTTAAATAACTTACCAAAAACGAACATAAAAGTTTATCACAATTTAATTAAATCCGTTTTTTGTTGCAACCAAAAATATTTTTCTCTTTTAAATAACTACAGATTTCAGACATTTATAGTAATTTAAACAAATTATACTCGCATCAATACACTTTGGAGGCAAAAAATAAAAAAGCACAACGAAAACGCCAAAAGCTCAACCACGAAAAATAAAAAAAGCTCCACATTATCGGCTCCCACTCTTTTATTGTAGTTTTCCTTTTGACATTTGGACTCAACCAGCTACACTAGCCGGCGGCGCGTGTGTATGGGTGAATCGCTACCGCCACACTCGTATGATTTTTCAACACGTTTCGACAGTCAGTTATCGCGCGATTGCCAACAAGTTCGGTACGGGAACTAAAGTGAGCTGTGAAGAAACGAGTGTCTAGAAGCTAGTTTGTTCAAGCGGTGAATAAACTTTGTGCGAAAAAACGTTTGTAGTGATCGACAAAAGTGTGGAATAAAAGGGCAAAGGGAACGTTTTAGAACGTAAAGTAAAGGCATATTTTAGAAATACAAGCAAAGCAATAACAAAATAATCATGTCAGCGTAAGTAAATAGCACATACATAGTTTTGTGTTTAATTTGTATACACTTTTTCTCATATACATATATATATATATATGTGTGTGTGATGCTTAGTTATCACCCCGCCGAGCAGCTCACGCCATAAGTCTCACCATTAATAGTTTGGCCGAATGTGCTTTGCTCCGGTGTGATATGTATACATGTGTGAATGTATATATGTACATATGTATGTATTTCTTTTTTACTTTTGCAATGTAAAATAACACAGAAAATGGCAAAAAAAAATTACATTTTTTTCTTTTAATGCACTTCTTTCATCACAAATATATTCATATATGTATATATACATATATATATCTAGTTACGAATGTGTTTAATTACAGTAAAGCGGATATTGCACTGATCGGTTTGGCCGTTATGGGTCAGAATCTCGTATTGAATATGAATGATAAAGGCTTTGTGGTTTGCGCCTACAATCGCACGGTCGAGAAGGTGAGCATCTAAACGCTTTAAATATGACTATGAAACTCTCAACAATTTGACTTTGCTTTCACATTCATGCTGGTCTGTAGGTCAATCAATTTCTAAAGAACGAGGCCAAGGGTACAAATGTGATCGGTGCCACATCGCTGCAGGATATGGTGAACAAATTGAAGTTGCCACGCAAAATTATGCTTTTGGTCAAGGGTAAGTTGAGTTGGAGAGGGAAGGAAATCCGCTGGCTTTGTGCGTTATATATGTATGTATGTACTTTGCAATGTCACTGTCAATGTCGTTCATCAGATATACACTCATAAATACATACTCATACCAGTGCGCATATGTATGTACATATTATATGTATGTATGTATGTATGTGGACGAACCGGTAACCACTTCACACGTTTGAAGTATGTACCTATGTATGTATGTATGTTTGTATGCATTGAAGTGATTTGCACTATCACTTTGTTGATTTTGATCGCATTGTTTCCAAACGATCTCGAAAAACTTTAGTAATAATTATTGCGAACGGTTGCAAATGATACGTCATTATTGCGTTACGAGTGGAGAGCATCGCGTACGACGGCAGGGCCAAGTGAATGTGAGGTGTTGTATGTACATACATATGTACATATAAACATGCAATATGCATATAACTACATGTGTACGAGTATGTTTAAGCAACACGCTACCAATGTCAGCTGTTCGATATACCAAAGCGAAAAACCGCGAAATCTGCTGAAAGCTCCACTGCGATGCGTGAGTCTGATGAGTTTATCTCATTAACGGTCCTTAAAATTCAAGCACAAATTAAGTACTCTAATACTAATTCAGTGTACTGTGTAGTGAATGAGCATAAAAAAAAATAAAATTAAAAAATATTAATACATAATTCGGTGATGGTTCTTATCACACGAAATCGCGTGTTCGTGCATTTTGTCCAGTATGTGACTATAATCACACATAAGACGCATGTTTAATAGCTGCCCTGTTATCAATGTGTATGTGATAATTTCCAAATTTTATTTCAAAAATTCTTTAAACTCAAGGACATTTAGTTATCTGTGACTCTTATGAGTCATACGTCGAGGGAGCATAGATTTTTCGGAAAAAATAAGGCTTTGTGGGCATTGACTTTATGTAGCTTAGCACATTAATTAATGAATAATTGAACGTTGCGAAAAAGTTGCTATCATCGAAATCTGCTGTGGAGAGATCCACCTTTTTAGGTCATCGAATAACAGGTATACGCAGCAAAAGTGGTTTGGGCAATTGGTATACAGAGAGTTCTTAGTGTGTTTCCCAACTACCGACCGACTTTCACTGTTGTTTTTGTAATAGTAATTTTGGAAATATGCCATACTGATGATTGGGAATATGGTTACAGTGACAGTTCGTTCTCGAATAAAGAGCAAGCCGGTGGGAAGAGTTCGTGAGTGGACGACAGCAAGGAAGTAGGCTTTTTTATCATCCTGCACTACTGATTTCAGTTTTTACTACAAGAATCATCTTTCGAAGCTCGTGAGTTTACCCGAAATTAAAAATAGAGAGGCAATCGTGAAAAATAGAGCTTAAGATTAATCTTTTGAGAAAATCAGTTGCGTGTAATTGAAAAAACTAGCCATACAGTTTTTTCGACCCAACAAATTGACGCCGAACACTTGAGGAAAGAACCTTCTCCTTCTCATTTGTGTAGTGATTGCAAAATTATTCAAATTTTTGGTAAATGTTGTAGTCGTTCCGGTATGAAAGACCCGACTGTAGCGACATCTATTAGATTTTAGTCGATCGATTCTTTGGCTCGTTTAGGAAAAGGGTGGCAGATTTAATTATTGGCTGAAAGGTTTTAGTTTGAATAAAATTACACAATTATGGCTTAGGCACTGTGTCTGACTCAACTTTCACCAGTCCGGACTGGGTCCCGATGTAACTAATGCATCCTATTTAGGTAATTAGGCTCTCTACATCCCTAGCCACCTCTTTACCATCCCACTACAATCCACTCATCTAAATTACCTCTGTCCCTCTGAACCGATCCCCACGGAACTGCTCATTTCCTGGAACTCTCGTTGGATGATCTCGACGACATGAGCTAGCTTCGCCTGCTCCGCTTCAGCGTTACAAAGTGCCAAATACATACATATATATAGTGGATCATAAATTAGACTTCACATCTTATCGTCTTTGCAAATCTTTTTGTTTTTATTTAATTTAAAACTAACATTGCTTTCTCTCCTTCTGCTTAATAGCCGGTAGCGCTGTGGATGATTTCATTCAGCAATTGGTGCCACTATTATCGCCCGGTGATGTTATTATCGATGGTGGTAACTCCGAGTACCAGGATACCGCACGCCGTTGCGATGAATTGCGCGCCAAGAAGATATTGTATGTTGGCTCTGGTGTGAGTGGTGGCGAAGAGGGCGCACGACATGGTCCATCTCTTATGCCTGGTGGTCATCCCGAAGCGTGGCCACTTATCCAACCCATTTTCCAATCTATCTGCGCGAAGGCAGACAAAGAACCCTGCTGTGAGTGGGTGGGTGAAGGCGGCGCCGGACACTTTGTTAAAATGGTACACAATGGCATCGAGTATGGTGATATGCAGTTGATTTGCGAAGCTTATCAAATTATGAAAGCGCTTGGACTCTCACAAGCTGAGATGGCTACTGAGTTTGAGAAATGGAATAGTGAAGAGCTGGATTCATTCCTTATCGAAATCACACGTGATATTCTCAATTATCAAGACGATAGAGGCTACTTGTTGGAACGTATTCGTGATACAGCCGGTCAGAAGGGTACTGGAAAGTGGACCGCAATCTCTGCACTACAATATGGTGTGCCTGTTACGCTAATCGGTGAGGCGGTATTCTCACGTTGTCTCTCCGCATTGAAGGATGAACGTGTAGCGGCTAGCAAACAATTGAAGGGCCCAAATGTTAATGCCAAAGTCGAGGATTTGCCAAAATTCTTGAATCACATTAAACATGCCCTTTACTGCTCGAAAATCGTGTCCTACGCACAAGGTTTCATGCTCATGCGTGAGGCAGCCAAGGAGAACAACTGGAACTTGAATTATGGTGGTATTGCATTGATGTGGCGTGGTGGTTGTATCATTCGCAGGTATGTTGAGTTGGTTCACAACCAAATAATAATTGTTACTTTTGTTTTTGTAACACTTTTATAAATTTCTTTTCATTTTCAGTGTCTTCTTGGGCAACATCAAGGACGCCTACACCCGCAACCCACAACTTTCGAACTTATTGTTGGATGATTTCTTCAAAAAGGCTATCGAGGTTGGACAAAACTCTTGGCGTCAGGTAGTGGCCAATGCATTCCTCTGGGGCATTCCTGTACCAGCTCTCTCAACCGCCCTCTCCTTCTACGATGGCTACCGTACAGAGAAATTACCCGCCAACTTGTTGCAAGCGCAGCGTGATTATTTCGGCGCACACACCTATGAACTCTTAGGTGCTGAGGGCAAATTTGTGCATACCAATTGGACCGGCACTGGTGGCAATGTCTCTGCAAGTACATACCAGGCGTAAGGTCTTTATGTACATAGATACATACAAATCATGAAGAAAATACCGAAAATATTCAGGTTCCCCAAAAGGGCATTCCACTTATTTAGAAATTAATTAGAACTTAATTTTATATTCAAGCGTTTGTGAGTACTTGAAAATATGTACATACGTATGTATATACATATGTAGATATATATAAATGGTGTAAATAAAGCAAATAATTACGCAAATGGGTATTAAACGAATGAAATACTTAACATTTAAACGTAGTTTTTATTTAATTTAAAATTTTTCTCTTTTGCATTTTCAAAATTTTAACCTACTAAACTAAATGCAGCAGCTGCGATATAAACAAAGTCATTGGCGTAGTATTGCTAATTATATATAATATGATGTAGCGAATATAACAATGTGCAACAGTATTTAGTGTATTTCAAAACTATTTCAATTGGATCTTTCATTTCGAGCGACGAAGTGCCTTTTTAGGTTGCTCGATGACAAGTTTCTCGGCTGAGTATAAGTGTCCAATGATTACCTGAAAAATATAAGTGTTGATATTATTAATATATCGACAAAGTAGACATTACGTTGAAGCATATGTTCATATAGAGAATTGATGGCATCACAATTATTTTAAAGATAATGGATAAGATAAAAGTTGGGAGTAAACCAATACATATATATTTACGTTTTTATGTAATATATATGTGTATAATTGTTACTTAATGCAGAAGCATATACACTTCAGCAGTACATATGTACAACACTAACGTTTTCACAAATATTTTTTGGAAAATAATATCTGAAAATGTGGTTAAGCTGCAACTGGCTTTCATAAGATCATTTTTTATTTGTTGTGTATACATTTTCATCTTAAAAGTCAAGCACCAGATGAATTTTATGAAATATTTTCATACAAGATACACACGCAAATTGCATAGGTTTATTAAGTTTGCCTCGTTATGATTTTCGTTATCTCTTAGTAGTGCTTTTTCGTTAGGAAAACTTCTTTTTTTATATAAATATTTGATTTTCTGGGGGTTTAAAGCCTTTTACTTTAATTTTTTTTTACCAATTGCTCTAGTAGTCATTAACGTTTTCAATCAAAATACCCACATAAACATACTATATATGTAAACATATACTGATAGCAGTACATAATATTCTTAACCTCAATTACATGCAATAACACTTGACGGTATAAAAGCTTTTATATTAGTTATAAATTAAGTAATGCAAATTTATATAAAACTGTCTCACCTGTCGCCTTATGAGTTCCAAATTTTGGTTTGCCTCCGCCAACTTTTCATCGATAATCGCGAAATCACTAATACTTTTATTCTCACGGAATGTATCGCGTATTTTACGACCAGCATACATTCTATTTGAAAAATATAAACATTGTAAAATAAGTAAATTAGCCACTTTCAAACAAACATATTGGTTAGGTAAACATTGCATACCTGAAATTGTAGGCAGGTATTTTTTGAGCCTCACGCAAAAGTTGGCGATAAATCGCAATTACTTGCCGTCTTGTAGACATTTTCTGAAGTTTTTGTCAAAGTAAGTATTTATTAGCCGGTTAAAATTCACAACAAACTTGTGAAATTAAAACAAATAGCGGATTTGGCGCAAACGCACTAAATTGGTAATAAAAGACTGCAGCTGTTGTCGAAAAATTTGATAAAATTGTTAAATGTCAAAAACACATGTTAGAGACCAGGATAAAAACAGCTGTTTGCACAACGCATCTACTACAATAGAAGTACAGAGATGATTGTATCTTAGATGCATTAGGACACAATTTTTTTTTATATTTATTATAATAAACTGATTTTGTAAATTAACCACATTGATTTGCCAAGTACCACGGATTTGTTCTGCGTATTATTGCTTACAACATCTTCATTGTAAAGCATATACTCAATTATGAAAACTTCGCCTAATCATCAATCGTTGGAATTAAACAATTCTCTTTTGTACACAATTGATTTTTCTTAACACCAGTGCTGTCACAAACGAGTGCTCTATGCAATTGTAATTGCCACAGTGTATGTGTACACCTTTTTATACCTACCTTGGCACAACTCAGGTCTCGATACTGTAGCAGGTTAAACTCCTACTTATCCAGACTCGACCCCAGCATAACCAAAGTATGCCCTGCATGCCTGCATGCCTTAAGCAAACTCATCTAACTTCCCTCTCCCTTGGGTACAATCCAGTCGAAACAACTCGTTTCCCGGACCTCACATTAGATGACCTCGGCGACTTAGATTAATCAAACCTGTACCTAAGTGGGGTTAGCGAGCCGCTACAACAACAACAACAATCTTCTCATACCCGCCGATTGTCAGAACACATCCCTGGAAAGTTCTTTACGAAATGTTCTCCACAGCGGCCTCTTTTTTTTATTTAACATTCATATTCAGACTATACTCCACCCTCTCAGGCACATTTTTTCCAAGTGCCAATTTTTCGAAATGGATCATATTGTCATTCAAAATTTCTCAACTTTCTCTTGGCTTCAGGGTCAAGTTCTTGGCTGTCAACAATCTAAACTGCTATGGATTGGCGACAACAAACCCAATAGAAAAATTGTTTTATTTCCTCTAGTATATTCTTCATGTCTAGGAGGCCTTCATTCACAGATTCACTGAGTACCAGAAATACATAGGATATGGCGGGTTGGAGTCTGGATAATCAAATGATTAGTGCAACATTATCTAGACTACAATTACAAGAGTATCACGTGGCCTTTCGAACTTCTTATTAAGATATTTTCAAGTACTCTCTCTGCAAATAGTTCTGGCAGAACACCACCATGAGTATATATCAATCAGAGAGTGTTATCGCGCTTTAGAGTTAATTTTTTTTCTATTTTCTTGTAATTGGTTACCCCTCTGGCTCCAGGCACGCACGGCTATTTTGGAAATCTGTATTTTCTACGATACCAATGCATTCTGGAGGTATTTATCTGTTCAAATGAATACTCATAAATTAAAAAAAAAAATATTTAGTTAAAAAATCATCATAAAAATTACCGCGAGCAGGCAACACTACATCCATTTCCGTTCTTCTACTACAATATACCGTAATCAGCAAAAGGGAAATAGCACCATATGTGTTCATAGTACGTTCGTAGTTCTTATCCGAGTACTTATTGTATGGGATCGTTGTGCTAATTGAATAAAATTGATTTTTTCCTCTAAACCTTCTGACTTTGTAATGTGGCAAAATATTTACAACGAAGAGATAAAAATGTTATTAAATTTTCCTTTGTATATGTAGTGTTCACAAAGTGTTTGCTTAAAAGTAATCAAAAATGAATAGTTTACAGAGTGAACAGATGGATGAAAAGTTCGTAAAGGACTTTAGTCTACTTGCAAATTCCACTGCAGGCGACAAAGAGAACACTCTTTGTGCATTTTCACTTGTGGAGGTGGTGAGTAATAAGCACACAGACGTGGGGAGTGACACAGGAGACGAAGGTCAACAACTTGACGAGGAGGAAACGATTTTTCTTGAGCGTCATTGCAATAGTCAATGTAGCGAAAGCAATGCAACTGCTTCTATGGAGGCAAGAAACTCCACCTCCAGTTCCCCCACACCGACCACTACACCTACACTGAATTTCGCACAATCAACCCCATATAAACATGAAACTAATGTTTATGAACGTATGGGAAATGAATTCGATGGAGAGGAAGTGGTTGTGAAAGAAGAAGCAGAGGAAGAGGAAGAGGAGGAAGTGAAAAATAACAAAGTAAAATCAACACGACAAAGCATACTAAATACCGAGCTCGAATTGTTTGAGCAATGCAAAGAAACTAATGGTATGTTTGTCGATGATGTGTTACTGCCACCAGAGCATTTTGAACATACTTCACCACATCCACTTAGTGAACGTTGGTCGCCCTTAGGCGCGAATTATGACGATGCAATGAGCCCCACATCGGAATTACTTAGTCCCGAATCGGAATTGGAACTTTTAAGTTCAGATAGTCAGGATAAACAGGAGCTATTGCGCAATGATCCTAACGAGTTGGGGCGGTTAAGAAGTATGGAAGAGGAACAAGAGTTATTAACGACTTCTCTGATGGCATTGACTTCACATTTCGCACACGTGCAATTGCGGGTACGGCAAATTGTCGAGGCTCCATCACACGAACGTGACCAGTTACTCAAAGATTTAGAGGAGTTTGCTTTTCGTGGCATACCAGAGGTAAGTTAGAGAAACAGACTTGCTTATTAATATTATATATTACTAATATATCAAATCTCTCTGCCGGCAGCCCATAGTACCCACATCAGGTGGCATCAATAACGCTGACTCACCCAACCATCATTCCCAACCGGATGATGAGGCAGTGCGTCAACGTCAATTCGAATTGATCGAACATCTAAAATCCCAACTAAGTGAACTAGAAAAGTTGGCTTACGAATCAGGCGCACCTGTCTTGCCACAACACATACTGTTGGAAAAACAGAAAATCATTATCGACGAACTAAAAAATAAATTAAATTTGCAAGTGGACGAACGTGATTTACCCGAACTTACGTCCGAAGAGTTAAAGAATCAAGTGGACAATGCTATTGGTGAGTTCGTGGGGCCGCTGCGCATGAAGGAGCAATTGGTGGCGCAACTGAAAACTCAAATTACTGATCTCGAACGTTTCATTGCATTCTTGCAATGTGACACCGAGGACTCGAAACTGAAGACTCTCAACGGCAGTGACAAGTTGGATGAACACTACAATAGTTATGCTGCGAAGAAGATGGGCGAAAAAGTACGTAAAAAGCAGACACCACCAAAGTTGGATCCCATCGAGCAGGATAAGCTTAATTCCTTACATCCAAATACCAGCCGGAATGCAGCGCAACAAAGTAATGGTGAGACTTTGAATAGTAAAGCTCATAGTTTGTTGGATAAAGCTTCGTTGCTGATGCAAATGTTTGCTACAACACATTTTGGCGCCAAAGCCGATCAATTTCAGAAGAATACGCTGAAGAAGACGTCTAAGGGCAATCATTGGGGGTAAGTGGATTTTTAGGTTATATTTTTTCAAAACCTTTCTGACATTATTTTATACCAATTTTCCAGCGATTTGCGCGCACAGCTCGAAGTCGACATTCAAGAGGTGGCTTCTCTTGCTGCAACGTTAAGTTTCGACCGCGAAAAGTTGGCCAACATGAAACGAGCGCTTAAAAACTCTAATCGAAATGCAAGCACTTCACTAGCGCTCAACGCACAAAATGGCGCCGTAACTGTACCACCACGTGCACAAAAAGCCAGCATAACAGCCGAAAATCGGAAAGAACTAAAGGCTTATACCGTCTCCTCCGACTCGGATGATGACACTTATGACTGCTACGCCTGGGAACGTAGCTCTTGCCGCAAAACTGCTGTTGCACGCTACAAGGGAGGCGATTCAATCATAACCATCAGCAAAGAGTTAACAACAGCAGTGCGTAAAAACTTTTGCATGACTTTATTGCGTCTCATACAACATGGTTTGCGTGTAGAAACTGAATCGGCCACATCCAGTCTGATTGTACCATTTATGCGCTGCCTCAATCCGTCCCCGGTATTTGCCGCCGAACATGGTTATCGTTCCAGGGATACGTCGAACAGTTCATCTTTCGTCTCATCAGCGGCTTTCTCTTCCACCTACAATGCCAATTACACGAACAATGATTGCGATGAAGAGATCACCAGCGGTTTCTTCGGCACCGGCGGTAGTCGGCCAATGCATGCCTGGGAACTGATTTTGGAATATTACTACTTAAAGAATGGGGATGAGTTCAATAACACGCCGGCTAGAAAGCTTTCACAAAGCTTCAATTTGGACATTGTGGACTCACAAACGGTTACAGCCAAGCAAAGCTTTCTCAGCGCCGTGGGCATGATAATAGCCATGCATCGTCCATACAAGCGCAGCTATAATGCACATTTCAAGGCATTCGTATGTGCGGGTTTGAAGTGAGTAGACGCTGCAGTGGTACTTTGTTTGTTTGCTGCTTTAAATATTTCAATTTGCTTTTTTTTTCTGCTACCTTGCAGCTGCCATCAGCTAGTAGAGTGGTTGAACTTGATGTTCAGTTGCAGTGACTTGGTGGACACATATTACACGCCCAACAGTTATGTGGCACGCACCGGCTTTCGTGATTCACTGCGTTCCATCGATGCTCTAACTAAATATGATTTTGATTTGCCTGTAGATTTGGCAATTAGACATTTTAGAAATCTTTAAATACGAATATATTACTTATTTTACTTTTAAATAAGCATAATAATACACATATGTAGGCGTATGCATGTGCAATGATATATTTACATATACATTTCATCATATTTTTAGGCAATTATTTTCATATCCTAACCTAAAAATCGAGTAATCAAAACCCCGAAAGAAAAAGAAAAAGTCCATTGTACTTATTATTGCAAACTAATCGAATTTCTTCCAAATTAATAAGCGCATTTATTGATGTGTGTGCTCAAGTATTCAAGAAGTTCGAATATTTGTGTATGTCAGTGTGTATATTATAAGTTGTATATTTAATTGTAAAATTTGAAATTTGAATCTAATCAAATCTAGTCTGTCTGCTGCTCTATATATTGTGAAATGTATGTATGTAACTATTTAATATATATAATATATATAAATAATGTCTACAAAAACAGTGCTTTTAAAAATACCTACATACAACTGCAAAGAACTGTCCTAGGCATACTTTGACTTTAGCTGAACTTTTCATTCGGTAAATTTTACTTTTTCATAACAATAATTAAAACATTTTATTTAATTACAGATTATTTTTTTAGCTTCATGGTTTTTGAGAGCAAACTGTCTTGTTTAAATTTATTTATGATTTGAAATTTTTCTTTTATTTTTCAAAAGTAGTTTTGATCTAATTTCGTAATTAAGCCAACAAATGTTATAATGTAATTTTGTAACAACTGTTCTTCTTGCGCCTAAAAGCATACTACTATTTAGGCATAAGGTAAATTTTAATCGTTTATTTTAAAATATCTCTTTAAAGTAATTTTTTTTTTTTGCTAAAAACTATTACATCATTCAGATTAAGGCAGAACTAACAGCCTTTTAACAGTAATATATACATATATATTAATATACAGAAGAACCAATTTAGAGTCTATCACGCCTAGAATGCAATTATTACAGAAAATAACTAAAAGTAATGTACAATACAGCATATATATAAAATTAATAAATAGATACATTAATGTCTTATAATCATACACATAAATATAACATACATACCAATATTTAGTTAATAATATGTAAGCATACAATAAAGTAATCTGATAAACAAACTTATTTAACGAAAAGGATTTCCCGTCTCTAGTTTAAAAAAGGGTTATTTATTTTAAGAAAAAAATAGAAATAAATCAAATAAAATAGACTAAATAAAATAAACTAACAAAATAAAAGAAATAATTATAAAATTTAGCAAATAAAATAATAAAAAATAAAATAATATAAAATTAAATAGAACAAAATAAAATAAAATACAATTAAATAAAATAATAAATAAATAAAATAAAAAATAACAATATAAAATGAAATGAAATGAAATAAAAAAAGAATAAAATAAAATTAAATAAAAAAATATTAAAATGAAAATAATTAAAAATTAAATAAAATAAAAAAAATGAAATAAATAAAACAAAAATAAAAATATAATAAAGTAAAATAAAATATAAAATTAATAATAAATAAATTAAAATAAAACGAATCCCAACGTAAGCCAATTTAAAATAAAACGAAATAAATTTATATATCAAAAGTGAAATAAAATGAAATACAATATATTAAATGAAAAAGAATAATTAAATTAAAATAAAATAACGTTGAATAATATAAAACTTAAAAAAAAATTTAAAAAACAATATAGTAGTGAAATCCATAAAATATCATTAGTTAGAATAAAAATATATAAAAAAAACAATAAATATAATAATAAAATAAAATTTATTTAAAAATATAAAACAAATTAAATTGAAAATAAAAAATTATATGAAAAAGTAATATAAAATTTAGCGAAATAAAATAAAAAACTAAAAAAAAATAAAACAACGTAAAATAATTTATATATTATAAAAAAAATAAAATATATAATACCAATAAAAATCAAATAAACTATTATTAAATAAAATAAAATTATAATTAAATTTTAATTTTTTTTAATAAAAGAAAAAATTAAGCAACATATAATAAAATTAAATAATTTAAAAGGAGTAAAATTATAAAAACAATTTCGTAAAATTTCGGTAAAATAAATCTAATTAATTTATTTCAAATAAATGAGATAAAATAAAAAGATTTAGTTAAATAAATAAGTGAAAATAAAAAAAAAAACAAAGCAGAAATGAAATAAAACAAAAAATGAACTAGACCAAAATGAAGTGAAATAAAATAATAAAAAATGAAATAAAAAACATTAAAAATAATAAAACAACATGAGATTTATGAAAATATACAAAAAAAAAAATTAAATAAATTGATATAAATTATAATAAAATAACATTAAGAATAAAAAAGTAAAACAAAAAGTAAATAGAATAAAATATTAAATAAATAAAATAAACTTAACTAAAATTAAATATAATTAAAATAAACTAAAATAAAATGGAATGAAATAAAATAAAATGAATAAAATATAATAAAATAAAATTGAATCATATAATTATTTCAAATAAAATAAAAGCAAAACTATAATACTAATAGAAAAATAAAATGAAACAAATTAAAATGAAAAAACGTAAACTAAAATAAAAATGTAACAATTCATAAAAGTAAAATGAAATAAAATAATGAATGATATAAAATATATAAAAAAATAAGTCTATTGAAATGGAATAAAGACAATTAAATATGAAATAAAACAAAAATAATAGTAAAATAAAATAAAACAAAAAAAAAGTAAAATAAAAAAATTAAAAAAATATTAAATTAATATGGTGAAATAAAATGGAATAAATAAAATAAATGAAATAAAATAAAATAAAATTTTATAAATACCAAATAAAATAAAAGCAGAAACAAAATACTTAAACAAAAACAAAATAAACCAAATTAAAATGAAATAACGTAAAGTAAAATAAAAATATAACAATTAATAAAAGTAAAATAAAATATCCAAAAATAATGTAAAATAAAATATTAAAAAACTTCAAATATAATATCAAAATATAAAAATAAACTAAATAATAAGAAAAAAATAAAGTAAAAAATAAAATAAAATGAAATGAAATAAAATATAAAAATTAAATAAAAGTACATTAAATAAAATATAATTAAATTAAAAAAAAAATAAAAAAAATGAAGAAAATTAAAAAAAATATAAAAATTAAACTAAGGTAAAATAAAACAAAAAAATAAAATTAAGTAAAAAAAAAATAAAATAAAATAAAGTAAACTAAAGAAAAACAATATAAAAAATAGAAACGAAATAGAATAAAATGCTATTAAACATTACAAAAATAAAGTAAAAAGTATGAAATGAAACATTTAATATACAAAAATTAAAAATAAAATAATAATAAAAAATAAAACAAAAAAAAAATGGAAAGCAAAATTTACTTTAAATAAAACAAAATTAAATAATTTATAGCAAAACAAAATAAGATGAAATAAAAAAGTGCAAAATAAAATAAAGCAAAAAATAAAAATTTTGATTAAGTGAAACAATTTAAATAAAATAAATACAGAAAAGGTTAGTAAACTAAACGAAAGCAATCAAAAATAAATTAAATATTCTTTTAATATTACAAAATCAATTAAAATTAATACAAGTGGTGATATAAAATTAATTACATTTGCAAAAAGATGCCAAATAATCATGATTAAATATTTTAGATTTCAAATAATCACTTAACAAATGGAAGCAAAAAATGATGTCTGCAGCTAAGACAAACGAGTAAGCATAATTGAGTGTCTTTCTGTCTAAGAAGTATCGGAGAATCATTACAACTTGCAGTAATTCGCATTACTGACTTGCGCTTCACAACTTTTACTACAGACAGAAGACCCAGTTTTGATGCAAGAAAGCGCACATATAAAGGTAATGCAAGTCAAGTTTAAAATTTAGTTTCTTGCTTTAGTTCAGTTTCTGTGGTTGTTAAAAGTGAGACTGAGAATTTGATATTTGCTTGATTATGGAAAAATTCTTACAGTTCGCATTTTGTGTGGTGAGTGAAAATAATTTCTGGTGAAACTATTAAATAATTTTTAAATATATTTTTGGATAATTAAAATTTTTATTATAACTAAATTTATAAATTTTCAACTATTTTCTCCTACAGTCACTGCTCACCGTTGGTATTGTTTGCACGCGCAACCGTCATAAACGCAGCATTTACGGCTTAGATTCGACTGGTCCTTACCTACCAGCTCCCTTTGGACCGGTACCATTTGCGCCATTCGGTTTGGGTTCGCCTTACGCGCAACCGCCGTTCGCTTTGCCCTACAGCCCTTATGCACCACCACCTTATGCCACACCACCACATTCCTATCCATTGTCACCATTTTATCCACCGCAACCCTATCACAATCCCATATTTGCACCAGCAGCAGCATCGTTTTTCCGGCCACCACCATTCCCGCCCTTGGTCGCACCTGCCACGCCGGTGGGTCCACCGCCGGCTCCAATTATTGTGCCTGCAAAGACAGCGGCAGCTTTGAGTATTGCTTCAATTATACATGCATTTATTGCACGAAAATTCTATCCACCTGTACTGCCAGTGCCCATTGCTAGACCGATACCATATCCAGTGCCAGAAAGGGTGAGTTGTTGAGGCGGATTCGGATTTTGTAAATATTATTTTACTTATATAAATACAATTTTAATGAAATTTAGTCCTCAATAACATCGACTTCACCGCGTTCAGTTCCGACAGCGATGTTGGGGCCAATGCAAGGTGACGAAGTAATGGAGCAGATGAGTAGTTTACCTGCAAACTCTTGCGCTCAAAAGGTTCCACAGCGTATGATGGAGAATTTTCTTTACGGCGAGATAAAGACGTCAACGGCAATACCTTGGCAACCTACAGTGATCCCGATAAGTGAGTAACCCAGAGGAATATTTGATGGAGCTCAACACTACATTTACTAATACGAGTACAGAAAAATTAATCAATTCAAACAGAAGCAAAAAAAAAAAATAATAAGAAAACATCATTTTTATCCTTTATCACCGTTAAGTACTTTTGGAATATTTTTTCTGATGAATGCGTTACATTTGAATAAAAAACAGCATCTAAGAAAATCTAGCAATCCTTAATTGCGGTGAAAGTAGTAAATTTTGTTGGACCTTTCATTCGAGGTGGCTCCAACGCGGCGTGTCCCAAGCCCGGTGAATAACCTCGACAGGCGAGTAGATTGAAGTTTGTTTATATAGTTTGCCGGTCGTGGCCGTACCTCTGGCGAACAGACGCTGCAGTTAGACTTCCGCGAAACCTTAAACCTAGTGAGTGGCGACACTGAAGTTTTTTCCTCTTTTAGCCGTGACCCAAGGCTCCTCAAGGGTTGGTTATCTCATTTGGGTTGCACCATGTCGGGTAAATGTAGAAATTGAGTATAGACCTGCGGCTGTAACTGCATACCCAAAAGCTTGACTACACTCTATTACACCCCTTGGAATCTAAGAAGGTCTGCGGTAATTACCGTGGAATAAACCTTCTCAATATCATACTGTGTGCCAGCGTATTGTATGAAAGACTAAAACCCCGCTGACAATAATAGGAATTTACCTTATCAGTCTGACTTTAGAATTGGAAAATCTGCAGTTGACCATATATTCACCATGGGTCAAATCTTGACCAAGACCTGTGGCAATAGGATCGACACACTTCATCTTTTCGTCGATTTTAAAAAAGACTTAGGCAGTACAAAACGGAGCTGACACTACGTTGTGGAAACTGCTTTTAAACACTGAAATCCCCGTCCGGATCACGGAGTACCTCTCCGAGCTGTTTGATACCAAACGCGGGTCCCACACGTGGTGACTCTTTATAGAGTGACTTATTTAATTTATTGCTGGAGAAAATACTACAAGCTGCAGAGTTGAATAGAGAAGGTACAATGTTCTATAAGAGTGTACAGCTGATGATCTTGACAGCATTGGCAACAACAATCGCACCGAGAGCTTTGTCTCTTTCAGACTCGATTAGGAAGAGAAGCGTAAGGGCCCAGTAGTGAGGCGAAATATCTCCTGTCTTCAAACAAACAATCATAGCATGAGTGACTCTGTAGTCATGACAGCGAGGTCTAACTTAGAACCAGTATTAACACCAACAACAATGTTAGCCTTGAAAACCAATGCAGAAAAAGGTGCTTTTTATACTAAGTAGTCAATTGACTAAAGTCCGCTCTCGACGAGCAACGATCACACTCTACTGGTAACTCATCAGTTCCGTCCTGCTATATTGTGGTGAAGACTGGACGATGCCTACATGTTATAAGTCGGCATTAGAAGAGAAAGGTTTTATGGAAGATGTATAGCCTTTTGCGCCCGCATGCCACAGAGGGTAAAAATATGAGTTGTATGAGATATACGACGACATAGGTTAACGAACAAAGAGTCTGACTAAGTCATGTAGTCCGAATTGATGGAAAAAACGCCATCAGCAACCGTCGGTGGAAGCAGAGAATTAGAAAGACCTCCACTCCGTTGGAAAGATCAGTTAGAGGGAGACTTGGTTTCAACGAAAGGACCAAATTAAATGAAGATTATCATCATTAGTCTTGAGGAAAGTGCTTCTTACGACCGAGTCCTATTTCCTGGAGGTTAAAGAGTATTATAATAAAGGCAACAGGTTTCAAAGTTGGATTCGGTCATTCTAATTAATATATTGAAGAAAAAATATTATATGCTCCATCATCTCTATTTAATTATCTAATTAATTATGTAAAAAATGTGTGTATATTAACGTGGACACATAGCCTGCTTGCCACCATCGATGGGCACCGTGGCGCCGGTGATGAAAGACGCCTCAGAGCTTGCCAAAAATGCAATTGTATCGGCGACTTCTTTTGTCGTGCCCACACGTCCCAGTGCGTGCGTCTCCTTAGCGCGACGCATATAATCAGCATAATCTTCCTCCGTCATGCCGCTGCGTGCATGAATATCCGTTACGACAACACCAGGATTCACAGCATTCACACGTACGTTTTTCGGCGCCAAATCCAAGGCAATACAACGCGTGAATTGATCAACAGCTGCCTTGGAGGTGCAATAGCTTGAGGTGTTGGGGAATGTGCGCAAACCAGCGACACTGGAGACATTCACAATATTACCCTGGGTCTTAATGAGATGTGGCGCCGACAATTTGGTAAGCAGAAAGACTGCACGTAAATTTGTATTCATCAACGCATCGAATTGCTCCAAGCCTATATCTAAGATACTGCCATAAGCCAAAATACCAGCATTATTGACCAACACATCCAATTGGCCGAACTTCTCCACAGTTGTAGCGATAATGCGCTCAGCGTCCACAGTGACATCGGCGGCGATGAGTAGTAATTCAGCTTTGGGATTAGCTGCTTTACAGGCGGCTTCAGTGGATTTCAAATTCTCGATATTACGTCCGACAAGTGCTACTTTAGCGCCACGTTTGGCAAATGCCTCGGCGGTAGCGGCACCAATGCCCGAACTAGCGCCCGTTACAATCACAACTTTACCCGTAAAATTCATAGCGACGACTGTGTGGAGACGCTGAGTGTTTGAACTATTTAAGTGTGTTAATAATGATCAGTGAATTCATACTCACGGACAGATAAGATAAACAAACGCTTGCATTCAGCGCCCCCGTGGACACTACATGCGAGAGGACTGTAGTGTAATTGAGAAGGTTATCTCTTAGTACTCAGTAAACACATACTATTTCGAGTGACAGAATAGTGAAAATCTGTTCAGCGAAGTACATATGTTTTATTGAGGAAGTGACGCGCACTAGTACATACATACACGTATATCAATATTTAAGCAAAGATCGCCGAAGAAATTCAAAACACTTGAATTAACCAATGATTTTAGATATGAAAGCTTTAGCTTGTCAGGTCCAAGAGAGGATCTCTTCGCTTTGATTTATGTAGCATAAACCCAGTAGCAAATAATAGCGGGGTGACATGTAGAAATGCACTTCTGATTTAAGTTGGGAAGCTAGTGCTCAGCTACCATAATAAAGGGTGTTTTGTTCTTAGATAAGGATAAGGTTCGCCGTTAAGTTTTAAAAATGATCACGGGCTAGTGATCGGCTCGAGTTACAGCCAATTCGCGACCACATTTCGCTGCAATTGGGACCGTATGCCAGCAATTAACGCGCGGAATATTATTTTCCAAGACATCAATCGCCTCGGGCTTATCTGCGTAGACTTCGCGACTTCACACGAGGCGAGATAATCCGTTCACGCAGAGTTGCCTTCAATAAATTAATTGCTTCGTTGGCTATAATGTTAAAGCCGGCTTCCTTTTTGAAGAAATATTAACCAATGATTCCCTCAACCCGTAGATTGAAGCAAACGGTGGCTTTTTGAAGATGTGACAGGAATATCGAACGATATTCGATGCAGCCTTTCGACATGAGCCGCAACAGATCGAAACACACATTTTAAAGAAATACTTGCAAAGAAGATTTTCGACAAGAAAATAGTATTTTGAATAGGTTTTGTTGTTTTTGTAGCGGTTCGCTAACCCCGCTTAGGCACAGCTTTGATCAATCTAAGTCGCCAAGGTCATCTAATGGGAGGTCCAGGAACCGAGATGTTTCGACGGGATTCGACCAAAGGCAGAGGGGGGTTAGATGAGTTGGTTTGAGAGGGCATGTGAAGAGGTGGTTAGTGTCGTACGGAGAATCTCCATATGTAGGGCAAACGTTGGGTATGCCGGGGTCTTGTCTGGATGAGTAGGAGTTTAACCTGCTACAGTATCCAGACCTGAGTTGTGCGGGTCCCTCGAGGCAGCTCAAGCTCGTTGTTAGGTATTGAATAGGTAGCTCATTGAGCACGGTTGTCTGTAGGATGAATTTCAAATTTATTAAGATCCAATGTTCTAAGTAAGATTAAAAAACCAACCAACATAAAAAGTCTCCTGCTATGCTGCTTTTGGGATTACAAATCGGTTTAGATATATTTTTACCCACTATGCATACGAAGCATTCTTCTATTCTTGCAGCGTAAAGGCGAGAATTCACTGTTATCCAGCCTTAATGATTCGCAAAAGGCAATTCCAACCGCTCCGGCAACAGAGACTTTTTTGCTCTTATTGAGATTTCTTTTTTGCTATTTTTTCTTAATGATTTCACAAATAATCGGCTGCAAAGGCTTGCTGAGTGTCTGTTTAGCCCAGCAGTCACGTTTTCATTTATGAAAAATATTTTACGGTTGAAATCCATGAAACAAAGCGAGTTTCTTGTGTTTTTTCTTAACAAAAAATACAAAAGATCGCTGAGGTATTTTTTAGCAGATATTTATACATATATGTATGTATGTAAGTAAACGCTTTAACGGATAGGGGAAGTGCACTAGTTGTGAGCACTCTTCGGTTGCCGGCCACCCACCTAACTTTTGAATGTCAAGCCGATGTAAATCATTGCAATGAAGTGATTGTAATGTGTTTCTGAGCAGTTCATTATGTTTTGTGTTTAAATTTTATGTTTGACCAAAAGCTTGCACTACATTTTTTTTTGGACCCTTGGAAAAATTATTGACATTTCCGGTTGTGGGCGCCTTAATGTAACCGGTTGTGGATACCTTTATTCATTTTTTTTAATATAACAGGTGTACAACTTTGCTTCCGCCGTTCTTTTCCAAAATTAAAAACTTTATTGCGAAGAATCGCTTACAGATATATTATTCAAAATATTGTCCTTCGCTAGCGACAACTTTCTCCCATCTTTCCGACAATTTTCGTATCCCGGCTCGAAAAAAGGAGTCCTCTTTTAACGCTGTCCATGAAGCAATCCATTTTTCCAATTCTTCGAAAGATTGAAAATGTTGATCTGCCAGGCCGTGTGCCATCGAACGGAATAGGTGGAAGTTAGAAGGGGCGACATCTGGGGAATACGGCGGGTGGTGCAAGACTTCCCATTTTAGCGTGTCCAGGTACTTTTTGACCACTTTTGCGACGTGAGGCCGAGCATTGTCGTGTTGGAGGATGACTTTGTCATGTCGCTCTTGATATTGTGGCTGCTTTTCTTTTAGCGTGCGACTAAGGCCCATCAGTTGCGTTCGGTAGCGATTTCCTCTGATGGTTTCACCTGGTTTTAAGAGCTCGTAGTAAATCACACCGAGCGGCTCCCACCAAATACAAATCATAACCTTGTTTGTCTATCACATCCAAATCTCCATTTTTAAAACGTCGAAACCACTCCCGACACATTCTTTCACTCAGAGCAGCATCACCGTAAGCTTCCGAGAGCATTCGATGCGCTTCAGCTGCATTTTTTTTATCGAATTGTAACAGAAAAGTGAAACTTCCCTAAAATGGCGAGAATTAGACACATAAACGGACATTTTCGAGCGTGAATAATACGAAAACAAGAACAACTGTCACTGAAAAGGCGATGACAAATCGTTAGGCACTGTCCACACTCACTTTAAAGGGATTATCATCTATGTATTTCAACCAGCCTCAGCCGGTACAGCCACCTATCGGAAAACGGCGGAAGCAAAGTTGTACACCTGATATGTTTACTTTGGACCACGAAACTGAGTAATGTTCTTAGGATCCTGGTAATTATGCCTTGATGACTTTCCAAATCCTTCGTGTTCGATCATTGGATTGTTAAATAAAAGTCACTCAAACGCTGTATGTACAATTTCTTAGTTGTAAAGAACTGTATCAGCGTTTATTTATTACTCAATAACTAACAAGTCGCTTAACTCTATATGACGATATATTTTACAATTATAAAACTACTATTTTCGCACAGTTCACTAACTATACAACTCTCTATAAACACAGAGTTTATACCGCTGTAATCTATACCGATGTTTATCACAACCGAGTTTACTTTGTAAATGAACCGACGTGCCTTGGCCGCTCTCTTATATCCCAACTGACTTACCAACTGACGGTGCTCGTATTCAGTACTAAAAGTTTCTGCCATGCTCTCAAGGATTCTCTGGTCAGAGAACTTATAAGTGGTGGCATGAATTTGTACCTTCTCGTTATTACAGATTCTCTGTCGCGAGTGTGTTTTCCAGAGTTGAAAATTAGACTTTTGTTGCATAGTTTTTGGCGACTTATTGCTCATTTTAAAAGAGAAGGGGGCTAAAATATGTAGTCCAACCGGCGCACCCTGTAAATGTTTCTTAATTTTTATATAAACCTGGCAGAAAGCCATTTGCACCTGCTCATTATTATAGATCCTCTAACCCAAGGCAGTTAATAATTGAAAAGAAAAAAATGGCAGGGAATCCGGTGAAATTTATAATAACATTTGCAACCCATTTCCTTTATTATATTATAAATATTTTTTTTTAACTATTTTAATGGCAAATAAGAATTTCAGCAAATATTTTTTTAGTTGAGGTTTGATTTTTTATTTCGCATATATGTTTTTTTCAATATAAATTTAAATAAAAAATATTAATTAAATTTGCAACATCACATTTATATATGTACATACATACATATGCATTTCACCACACATTTACATATAACTAACGCGGACACATGGCGTGCTTACCACCATCAACCGGTATTAGTGCACCTGTTATAAAGCTAGCCGCATCACTAGCTAAGAAAATAATTGAATCCGCAACCTCCTTTGGCTGACCAATGCGTCCCAGTGCATGTGTTTTCGCAGATTGTTCAAAGTATTCGACAAGTTGCTGTGGTGACAAGCCTATGCCTGCATGTATATCCGTTGCAATAACACCAGGACTCACAGCATTTACACGCACTTTATGCGGCGCCAAATCCAAGGCAATACAGCGTGTGAACTGATCAAGTGCCGCCTTCGATGTGCCACCAAGCGTGATGCCAGCAAAAGCACGTTGTCCCGCAATACCGGATACATTCACGATATTACCTTGTGTCTTGATCAGGTGCGGTGCAGCGTATTTGGTTAAAAGGAAAACCGCACGCACATTGGTATTGAAAAGTCTATCATATTGATCGACGTCTACGTCCAATATGCCACCAACTTCGAAAATACCCGCATTATTCACCAACACATCCAATTTGCCGAATTTATCAATTGTTTCGTTAATTATACGCTCCGCATCCACTGTGACGTCTGCGGCGATCGGTAATATTTCAGTTTTCTTATGCGCTGCTCTACAGGCTGCAACACTCAGCTGCAATTTTTCTCTATTCCTACCGACGAGCACAACTTTTGCGCCTTGCTTGGCAAATTCCACAGCAGTCGCAGCACCAATACCAGCACTAGCGCCAGTCACAATAACAACTTTTCCAACCAAACTCATAGCAATGATCTGACCCAATTCACGACGTTGAGCGAACTGAAATTGGGTTTGCCTAGAACTGCTTATGTATAGAAATGCTAGCGAAAAATTACTCTCACAAACATTAATTCCTTCAACTCAATTGTATATCGATATTTTTTATACGAGAGAATCAAATATTGATTGTTAGTTTCATGTTTGAAGAGGCTTATATAAGTGCCTTAAGCGATGTGCTGGTTTCCATCGGCTAATAAGATTTAAAATACATATAATATAATATAAAAATGTACGAACATGCAGAAAAGAAATTTGAAAAAAAAAAAATTAATAATAATACAAATTATTATTAAAAAAACGTTTTAATATGTTTTATTATCTAATCGATGATTGTTGATTACTGTTTGTTCATAATTACCGATTACTTTGTCACAATTGAAATATTATTTATTATGTAAGTATATATTAGGTGTAGTAAAAAGAAATACATTATTTTTGCGTATAATTTAATTTTTACTTTACGCATTCAGCCTTATTGAAATGGTGCCAAACTTAAGCTCTTGGGCAATCGAAACAGTGCTTACATGACGGTCGAACTCGAGAATATCCACGATTTTATCGACATTTTCGATAATTGGTCTTTCACACTGTGAAGCGTTTTTTTGCATCAAAATTGTCGGAATGAAATCGAAATTGTGCATGATTGACTGTAACAGCATCAGGACCATGAACTCTATTCGCATTTTCAGCCGACTTGCTTGCTTTTCGCGTGTATCGAAGAAAAACTGTAAAATATAGCGCATTTTCTCTTTCATCTTTGACGCACGCTCAAACAAAATTTAACTAACCAATCACAAAACTGCCAGAAAAACTTCCTAACGCCATCTAGCGGAACTCGATCAGACTTATACAACGCGAGATACAGTTAAATAACGCTATTTATTAGACAAATGATGGATCTCATTTTACTACACCTAATATATACATATATTCTTGTTAAATTAATATATAATTAGTGTATTCGGCGAGCTGTTGGGCAGTAAAAATTGTCATCAACCAAGTTTTATATAAATCTTTGTCCTTTCAGTGGGCTATCGGCGGTTATGAACACGATTAAAGAAACAATTTGACTACATTTTACTGAATTATTTTTGGTGAAAGCTCATTAAGTTTCGCTCGTTGGTAGACTAAAAAAAATCTTACTCTCTCAATTTCTCTACACACAAATTCTTGCTGACATTTCTTACCGAACACAGCTAATGACTTGCATGTCGCTCACTCCAGATACTTAATCCCTTGCTTGATAAAGTATGCGTTAGTATATTTTCATGCTCAGGTCTAATAATTCCTCTCAATAGAAGCTGTTATGAACACGAGTGTTGTCTTATAAGCGCTTAAAAATGCATTGTAAATATTTTACAATTATGTAAGATAATGAATAGAACAACGTCGTATATAAATATACATGCACATACATACGAGTATATAGATTGCAGATTGATAATTAAGAGATGTGACAATTCCCTTCCCCGGCATCCTTCTCCCCTCCATTGATAAATTTGCCGTCGCTCTAGCTTATTTAGTTTGTCTGCTATGTAGTGTGTTCGTGTTGCTTGTCACGAAAATGGATAAACGAAATCAAGAGCAAAAAGTGTAAAACGATCCCACGCTGCTTGATCGAGTTATTACAGGAGATGAGCGCTGGTTTTTTGAATACGACCCAGAAACCAAACGCCAAAGCTCACAATGGTTGTCTACACATGCCTCCCGCCCAAAAAACGGCCGCATGAGCAAGTCTAAGGTGAAAACGATGATTTTTGTATTTTATGATAGCCGTGGAATCGTTCACAAAGAATTTCTTCCACAGGGGGAAACCGTAAATCATGTCTACTATCGCCAAGTACTCGATAGATTGCGAAAACGAGTGAACAGGTTGCGCACAGACATCGCTCGTAACTGAATCTTTTATCACGACAACGCGCCGTGCCACACCGCTCTCATCGTGTCCCAGTATTAAGCGTCTGATTTTTTTTTTTGCTCCCTAGAACAAAATCGGTGGTCAAAGGAGCCCATTTTGAGTCGATTGAGGACATCCAAGCGGCCGTGACGAAGGTACTCGCGGACATTTAAGTCGAAACGCTGCAGAAATGTTATGCAGCTTAGAAAACGCGCTGGAATCGTTGTATAGCTGCCCGAGGGGACTATTTTGAAGGGGATGGCAGAGTTGTAGAATAAATTGAAGATCTTAGTTTTGGCCTGTAAAACAATTTTTTATTAGACTATTCAGCATATCAAATCTACTCTTGGATGTTAATGAACCTTTTGAGGACTAGCAAGTGGCCAATGTTCTCTAGAATAAATGCCCGATCTCTCCAATACTATACCATATCTATATAAGCCAGTCTTATTTTTCAAAAAATCATCGATTTTTGCTGGAAATGAAACTTTGGTGGCTTTGGTTTCCCATCTCGTTTACATTCTACCCATTTGTTCACTCTTTAGAACTTTTATTGTTCTGCCAGTGGAGAACTCGATTCTAACCCATAAGCTTATAAATCAAAGCAAAACCTGGATACTGTAAAAGAGAGTGCTGATGTATCAAAAAAAAAAAAAAAAAAGTGAAAAATATAATGCACATCTAGCCAAATTGAGTTGAGTTGATATAGTAGTGTCCAGGCCACAGCTCTGTGACCCATTGTAATGCCTTCAATTTATTGTCTTTTATGATACTCGTGAGATCGATGACACTTTCTGTTGCTAATTCGAGAGGAAAGTTGAGGTGAAAGCTTTCAAGGAAGCCATGTTGAGCAATTCTGAGATCTGAGCCATCTCAGGGGTAGTGATTGTGAGAAAAATATTTAAAGAAGTAAACCATCATAATTTTGTCATTTTGCCCTTCAAAAAGCGTTGGTTGTAGTGATGATGAAGTACCGGTCGGCTCTGTGTCGCTATATTGTATATAATTGCTCGCGCCACCTCCTATTAGATCTAAGGTCGTCGATAAAAGCTCACATCGTGAAATAACGATTGCAGTTTCGATGCTTGCATTTCTAGCCATCTCATCAGCCGCATAGTTCCATAGACTCAAACCATAACAATTTTACATCTGCTTGAGTGTAGGGCTTACCAGGAACATTGTAGAATTCACTCACCATGAAGGACATCTCTTACTGCAGTAAGTTCTGCGCTATATTGGTCGGACGGTCTTTGGCTTATAATGATTGGCAGTGAAGTGATGATAAGTACTTTAGTTATCGAGCATTGAGACGTGATGCCGAACGCTTCCGAAGTTGGAGTAGAGTATACGACGCTTGCGGCGGCAGCAATAGCCGAGTGATTAGCGTTGTGTAATGCCATTCGGAAGGCCAGGAAATTATTTGAATAAAAAAGTAAGTTAATTTTTCAAATTGCGTTTGTTGCTCAGCAGTGATTGTCAAGCCTATGAGGGCATGAAATCAAAGCTGCTCTTAAAAATCCATCAGCCTCGCTTCGGCGGTTATAAAGCGCCAAAAAATATTGATGAGTGCATAAGTTCGTGCCCGATTTCAAATGCAAACTAAAATTGAAATTTTTTGAAGAAAGCGCTTTTATTAATCAATTATGTATTCGCCATCATGTTCGGCAATCCACTCCCAACGTTCAACCAATTTACGGATGCCTGATTCATAGAAATCGCGCGGTTTCTCGTTGAAAAAGGTGTCAAGGTGGTTTTTGACGTCTTCCACATTTTTAAATTTTTTTCCATTCAAATTGTTCTGCAGCGATCGAAACAAATGATAATCAGAAGGTGCAATGTCGGGTGAATATGGGGGATGCGGCATGATTTCCCAATTCATCTCCTTCAGTTTGGCCAGGGTCGGTTTTGCAACATGTGGCCTGGCGTTGTCATGATGGAAAAGAACTCCTTTGCGATTGGCCAAAATCGGACGTTTTTCATCAATTGCTTTCTTCAATTCGACCAATTGCTGACAATACTTGTTGGCAGTGATCGTTTCTCCAGCTGGCAAGAGCTCAAAATAGATCACGCCTCGGATATCCCACCAAATGCACAGCAGTACCTTCATCGGATGCAATCCACCTTTCGACATCGGTTCCGCCCCTTCGTGTGCCTGTTTCCATGTTCTTTTGCGTTGAACATTGTTGTACAGGATCCATTTTTCATCACCAGTCACGAGCCGATCCAAAAAAGGTTCGTTTTTGATCCGTCGAAGCAAAGAAATTGCTGTTGACATACGGTCCACTTTGTTTTTTTCACTCAACTGATGTGGCACCCATGTATCGAGCTTCAAAGTGTACCCAACCTTTTTTAAACGACGAAACGCAGTTGATTTGTTGACGTTCAATTCACTGGCAACCTCTTCCGTCGAAATACGTGAGTTATTCGCAACTAAAGTCCTTAGAACATCGTCATCAAGCTCAGAAGGCCGTCCACTGCGAGTTTGATCTTTGAAGTTAAAATCTCCAAAACGAAATTTCGCGAACCTTTTCACTAAGCAACTCAAATCAAAATGAAGTTATTTTATGCTTGATTTACAGTTCGGACTGTCACCTTTTCAACGATATAAAATATGTATATATTTCTTTCACGAGCGCCACTCTCAAACGATTCGAACGGCATTCAGCGGAATCGGGCACGAACTTATGCACTCATCGAATATATTATATGTGTGCATATATACCACGGTTCCGCTTAGTTTGAGTTGGACTTATAACGTTTGAAGGGCACCACATAAGCTTAATAGGAGTAGCTAAAGCAGATACTTAAGGACTTGCGTATAACTTGAAGGCAAAACACAAAAGCAATTTGAAATTCGGTCCAGTTCACCAACTCCCACGACAGCCGGTGCTATCTCCCGAAGTTAACTCGGAGTTTATCCGGCCAAAGGCAGTCATCCTTTGGCTGTTTAGGTTATCGGTTAATTCTACTTCAGTCTGCTTGGATTCAAATATAAACTTTACTCGTCTTTTCGACTTTTTCGTACAATTAGGTGGCCATAACTAGGATAATAATCTATTTACATTTAATTATTATCAAAATCAAAAATAAAGCGCCCACCATTTTTCCTTTTCCCTCTGGATGTACCAAATGAAGCTCGGCAGCTCTCCGCTATTGATATTCGTATTAAGAAAGTTAAATATGTAATTTCGAAAATTCGAACGAATGCCAGCCCTACAGAACTAATACCATCGATAACACTTACCTCGGTTGCCTTAGAATACACAAAAATTATTTGAAATCGTTGAAAAAAAGTAATCGTTTAAAGCAATAAAATAAAATTAAGATTATTTTCTTTGCAATGATTTTTTCCAATTTATTTATTTATTAAAATTGTAATTAATTGATTACATTTCAAAAATACTTATACACTACCGCGGACACATGGCATGTTTACCACCATCAATGGGTATAACTGCGCCCGTAATAAAACTGGCATTGTCACTGGCCAAGAAAATGATGGCGTCTGCCACCTCCTTGGGCTCACCCACCCGCCCCAGCGCATGTGTCTGCTTGCAAAGCTCCAAATATTCGGCCACACCCTCAGGTGTTAGACCTCTGCGCGCATGTATATCGGTGACAATAACCCCGGGGCCTACTCCATTGACACGTACTTTATGCGGCGCCAAGTCCAAGGCAATGCAGCGGGTGAAGTGATCAAGTGCTGCTTTCGATGCGCAATACGTTGATAGGCCAGGGAAGGCACGCAGTCCCGTGACACTGGACACATTCACGATATTACCTTGCGTCTTGATCAAGTGTGGTGCAGCGAGTTTAGTTAGAAGAAAGACGGCACGCAAATTGGTATTAAAAATTCTATCGAATTGGTCCACATCTATGTCCAGTATGTTGCCCACTTCGAAAATACCCGCATTATTAACCAACACATCCAATTGACCGTACTTCTCAACGGTTTCGTTTATGATGCGTTTCGCATCCACTGTGATGTCAGCAATGATGGGTAGTAAATCAGCTTTGCTGTTGGCTGCTTTGCAAGACGCTACACTCGCCTTCAAATTTGCCTCATTTCGTCCAACCAGAGTCACTTTAGCTCCATGCTTGGCAAATTCCAGTGCTGTCGCTGCACCAATGCCTGAACTAGCGCCGGTTACAATAACAACTTTGCCCGATAAACTCATTGCGATCTGTTCTCCTATGCACCGTTGAATGAACTAAAAGTGTATTTGATGATTTGAGTATTAGCATATTTACAATATGTATGTACAGTATATATGTATTGTATATGTGTATATATATACTTAAACACATATAAATTTGGAATCCAGGGGGCTTGCAATATTTAATCGATTGCATTCTCTATTCGTTATCACAAGCAAAATATCGGTTATTAGCTTGTTTGGGCTTTATCTTTAAATATTTTGGGTTTGAGAAAATGCTTGGTAGGGATATTGCCCAATATTTCACAAACAGATGCTACAACTTACAGAAGGTTTCAAGACAAACTCTTTTAGGACCCAGAAAGAGACTAAAGCCCACCGTCAACAAACTGATTGGAACTTATCAGTGAGCCTTTATACCCACAAGTCAAAGTAAAGCGAGCTGGAGAGCTGTATAGAGGAAGTACAATCTTCTAATAGTTATAGGAGTATTCTCCAGATTGGATAAGGAAGCGAAGGTTATGGCTGTTTTAATGAACGAGGGCAAAACGAAATATCTCCTGTCATCAAACAAACTGTCACTGTTGACAGTCCTAACTTAGACATTGTAAATAATTTCGTCTTTCTTAGAACCAACATCAACACCAAGAGCAATGACAGCCTTGATATTCAATGTAGAATCACTCTGCCCAACAGTTGCTCGTTTGGACTGACGAAGCAATTAAAAAGTAAGATCCTCTCTTGACGAACAAGGACCAAACTCTACAATTTACTCCTCATTCCCACTCTGACTACATCTGAAAAGTCGGCATAAGGAGTTATCGAGAGAAGGATTTTGATTTATTGTCCTTTGTGCATTGACAAGAACGAAGAAGAACTATGACATAATTCGGCAACTTTGATCCGAATGTTCTCATACATCGATTTTCCGTTAATCGATAAAAGTTCAAATAATAACATTTACCTTCACTCTCAGTTGTTTTTCTTATACATATGTACGTACATACAGATAATTACACTGGTCAACAAAATTGCAAATTTTTGTCACATGAAAACAAATACATTTCAAGTTCTGAATGTATTAGGGCCACCAACCAATAATGTATCAATAAAAAATCTATTTTCAGAAAAAATAAGCTTAGCTAACAATAAATACTTAGGATCTCCGTGATTATTTGGGTTTTGGTTGGTCTGCTAGCTGCTAGCATTCCTGGACTCCAATTAACTTGATAACGTTGTCCCATTATGGAAATGTCCTGATGGAACCTCTCATCTGGTTCGCCACTCACAGCATCCAAATTAGCAGGAAAACATCAAAGGACAGTCCAACAAATGTATTTTCAATAACTTATTATATCCCAAAGCTTTATATGACATTCTAGTTTTCTGCTTTATGCCCAATTATACTTCAAAGGACTGATCCTTTATCAATTGAAGTATTGACAGATCTACAAATATTCGCTCTTTAATTTCTACCTTGAAGTTGACAGCTCATAATTTTGGTCCCTGTCTGATATATCATATTGTGCTGACTTAGTACGAATTCCTTACTAGTATTCGGTCTTTCTGAGCGATTTGTAGATTTTTGGCTCATAACAACCTATTTTTAAACGCGTGGTTTTCAATGAGTCTATACTTTTTTCTTGATGAATAGACCTATTACGGAAAACGGTTCGCGCGGCACAACATGCACTACATCCAATATTCGGTCAACATAATACCCCAGCAGAGTTGGTATTTCGAGTAACCATTGAACGATTTCATACCATCTTTACTCTAATGGATAATGCGTTTCTTCAGAGATGCCGTACGGCATGTGGACCGAATAAGTTTTCACTACTGTGGAGCAAAGTATCGAAGATGACCCGAAGAAGTACATTCGCATCGCGTGCAATATTTGAAGCTGTGCACATGCACTTTATACAAGATTTTGTGGCAAGATCTTGTTTTGCGGGTTTAAAAAATCTAACTCGTACAAGAATTGAAGCCGAACAACTATCAAGCGAGTCGTTCGCTCGGTAAATAAATTCACAAGAAAATTTTGTTCAATGATGTAGCTCACTCTTGTTTGAATGGGCATGTAAATAGACAAAATTGTGATGTTGGGCTGATGATAATCCACAAACCAATGGTGAGACGTCGTTAACGTCCTCAAAAAGCGACTGTTTGGTGTGCTCTATGAAGTCGGCCCATAGTATTACACTCAATGAGGAACTCTCTAAAGCCGTGCCTGAGGACTTTTTCGCGACTGATGTAGAAGATGTTGATATGAACGACCTTTGGTTCTATTAAGACGGCACTAAAAGCCATACAGCCAACGAAACAATTCTTTTATTAGTGGAAACTTTTGGTGAGTGCACTAGCTCGCCGAGTGAGCATATGGCAAAGACTCCAAGATCAAGTTATTTAACACAGCTGAACCATTTTTTGTTTGCGGTCGCTGCTCCACGCAGTTAAGACCGAGGCGATTGAAGGCTTGGGGGAGAGTATTCGGTGCATTATTGCTGACATAGAAAAGTGCTGCTGCGAAAAATTGTCGAAAAATGAGCCTCTAAACTGAAATTCATTCGAGCCAGTTCCGACGCTTTATAATTAAACTAAATTCTTGGTAATGATAATAAATTATGTGCATTTTATTTTTTATTGAAAATCACATATCTAAAACATACACCCTTTATAAAAGGTCCGACATAAATATGTAATTATTAAAAATGTATACTCGGTTACACATGACACAAACAGGAAGTATCGAAAAGTTCGTCTGAGAAAAACCGTGTTGGCCAGTGTTATCTGTTATGTATTGTGGTATGTATTGGCAATTGGAATTCGATAAGCTTGCCGGCTCTCATGTCAAGTTCATTGTTTAATAATATACATACATATTTATATTAGTGCTGTACATCCAAATACAGGGTGATCCGCGTAAGTACCACCCATTTTAGAGAAATGTCTACTGCTGCCGTTATGAGAGACTTACGGTAGCAGCGCTCTCATTTCTCATTTTGACTTTTTAATGAGAAATTTAAATATCCAAGAGCTGAAAATGCGATGAGCTCACGGCGTCAGGAAAAAAATCTTCGTTCTTTCAGAAAATAAACTGCAAGTATAAAAGAAATCGGTTTAATTTGACTCACCCTGTACGTGTAAAGCTATTAATGGAATAATTATTGCATTCATTTTCTGAATTCAAGGCGTGTTTACTGAAATACTGTGCAAAACTATAACAAAAATATAGACAAAATGTTTTCTTTGTGCGAGTATGTATGTACATGCGAACGTTGAGGCTATTTTAAAGTGTTTTGCAAATATAATTCACGCGGAAAATAATCAACTGAAGTGCAGCTCGCAACGAAAGGCTTGTTTTTAGACATATCAATTTATATACCTAACCGTTTGATTTAGAACTGAGGTACTTCAGGTGAACAGAGTGTGCCATAAGTCTTCAGAGAAGCATACAAGGGAATATTTTAGTGAGCTGAGTTGAGTTGCTGCGCCTGCTGATCATAACCAGCACTGTGATGCTCCGTGTGGAGCCTTGGATCACGGCTAATGAGAGAGGAAGCTTCCGTGGAGCTACTCCGACTTATTCGGTTTAAGGGTCTGCTGAAGTCTAATTGCAGCACCAGTTCACCAGAGGTGCGGCTGCGGGTCGGCGTCGGTCTTGATACAAGTGGCTCGCTATATAAATGTGTAAAAAACTTCCTAGCGAGGTTGTGCGCTAGGTTTGGGACCCACCACGTACAAACCAGCTACAATGAAAAACTTAACAATGCCTCGGATGAGATACCCCCTTTCTTGACGACCCCTGCAAACGAATTAACGCAGTTGGTTGATGTCCTTATAAGAATAAAGGCTGACAGCACCGCCGTCCAAGAAGTGCGATGGATGGGACTAGGACGAAAACGAGTAGCTTCTTGTGACATTTACTGAAGCGGCCATATAAAGGAGCGCAAATTTGGTGTTGGATTTGTGGTGGGAGAGAGACTCTATCGTCAAGTACTGGCATTCATCCCGGTGGATGAGTGTGTCGCCATAATACGCATCAAAGCGAAATTTTTCAACATATCGCTGATTGGCACGCACGCCCCGACGGAAGAGAAGGGCGATTTGGCCAAAAAATGCCTTTTATGAGCGCCTAGCGCATACTTACGAGCGCTGCCCCCAACACGATGTGAAAATCGTGCCTGGCGATTTGATCTTTGGCACGACTGTTGGAAAATTCAGCCTTCACAACGAAACATCCCCCTAATGGGTTGAGGCTGATCGACTTCGCCGGGGCCGGAAATATGGTTGTCTGTAGTACTAGGATTCACCCAAAACAAAAACACAAAACCAGATCGATCATATTGTGATACACGGAAGACATGTCTCCAGTATTCATGACGTGCGTACACTTCGAGGACCCAACATCGACTCGGACCATTATCTTGTTGCAGCGAAGACACGCATGCGCCTCTGTGTATCGAAGAACGCCCGTCAACAAACAGAGGGAAAGTTCGACGTTGAAAAGCTGAAATAACAACAGACTGTCGAACGATTTTCTACACGACTTGCACTCCTGACCTCTGAGAGCACTCATCAGCAACTCGGTATACGGGACCTGTGGGATGGCATTTCAAGCTCTTTACGTACAGCTGCAAACGAAACTATTGGATTTCGTAAAGGTCATAAAAACAGCTGGTAAGATGAGGACTGCCGTGTCGCAGTGGAGAGAGAATGGACTGCCTACCGCCACCTTGCGATCGACAACAACACGCGTGGAATGGGATAGATACCGAGAGATGAAGAGGGAAGCAAGACGCATATGTGGACAAAAAAAAAGAGGCTGAGATGCATGAGTAGGAAGAGCTTGAGAAACTGGCCTACAAGGGTAACTCTCGAAAATTCTACGAAATGATACAACGATTTGCGGAAGGTTTCAAGACCGGAGCAGACTCTTACAGGACACAAAGAGTAATCTAGCCACCGATGCCCAGAGTATATTGAATTTACGGAGGGAAAACTTCTCTGACCTGCTGAATAGTAGTGAAAATGGAGAATGCGGATATGGTGAACCCGAAACCCTAATCGATGAGGATGGAAAAGACGTTCCCTTAGCTGACCATGAAGAAGTTCGAATAGTAATCGCCCGCTTAAAAAACAACGAAGCGGCGGGAGCTGACGGCCTACCGGCAGAACTATTCAAACATGGCGGGGAAGAGCTGATAAGGTGCATGCATCAGCTACTTTGAAGAATATGGTTGGATGAAGGCTGAATTTGGTATCCCCGCAAAACTTATACTGCTGTATAAGCTGACGTTAAGCTATAATAAAAGCTCCGTCAGGATCGGGAAAGATCTCTCTGATACCAAACGGGGTTTCAGACAAGGTGATTCCTTATCGTTCGACTTTTTCAACTTATTGAGGGAGAAAATAATACGAGCTGCAGAGTTGAACAGGGAAGGTACAATCTTTTGTAAGAGTGTACAGCTGCTAGCGAAGGATATGGGTCTGGTAGTATACGAGCGCAAGATGAAATATCTCCAGTCATCACACAAACAGTCATCGCATTCGCGACTCGACACCCACGTCTCTGTGGACGGCCGTAACTTTGAAGTCGTAGATAATTTCGTTTATCTAGGAACCAGCGTTAACAGAAATAATTAGCCTTGAAATCCATCGCAGAATCACTCTTGCCTACAGGTGCTACTTTGGACTGAAAAGTAAAGTCCTCTCTCGACGAACGAAAACCAAACTCTACAGGTCCCACATCATTCCCATCCTGCTATATGGTGCGGAAGAATGGACGATGACAACATCTGATGAGTCGGCTTTGGGAGTCTGAGAGAAAAAAGTTTTGTAAACGATTTATGGTCCTTTGTGCATTGGCAACGACGATGGAACGATGAGCGAGTTATAGGGTGACATAGTGCAGCGAGTCGATGCAGTACCCACCGGTGGAAGCAGAGAAAGTGGGAGACCTCCACTACGTTGGAAGGATCAGGTGGAGAGTGCCCTGGCCTCACTTGATATTTCCAACTGGCGCCAAACAGCGCAAAAAAGGGATGAATGGCGCGCTTTAATTAATTCGGCTATAATCGTGTAAGCGGTGACAACGCCAATAAAGAAGAAGAAGAAGTTGACTGGCTCTTCTCTCCGAGAACTGGACCGGGGATTTGCCTATTTAAAAATTCAGGCTATTCCTTTCTTCGAATAGTGGACCAATGTCAATGGTAGTATTGAGTAAATAAAGTTATATATTCAATGAGTACGTGCGACAGCGACAGCGTTGCAGGGTACAGCTAGTAAGTCTTTAATATAATTTTCGAAAAGTATGTTTCGCATTCTTGCGAAATTGAATTGATTGACGTAGACCACGTGAATTAAAATCTATCTTGAGTGCTAGATATGCAACGATACACAGAAGTACTCAAAATTAAATCCAAGATTACGGCTGAAATTCATAAAATACATGTATGTATGTATTATTATTGCATTATCTACCTGATCGTAATCTAAAAGATTTTTATTTTCCACTTTTCATCACACTACTCGTCTTGAAATAAATCTCACTCGTGTCATGTATATTTTTAGGCACTTTCCATATTGAATTTGTCGCATAATATAACGGTGTATATATTAAACGAGGCAGGAACTCTACTGTAGTCGGACAAGAGGCAAAGAGAATTTTTTTGAAACAGAGAATTTTCTATATTTTAAAAATATTCATGTGGCTTGTGAGAAAATGGAAAAATTACCGAATCTACGGTAGTTTCGAATTTTCTTTTGTTACATAACAGAGCTCAATATCATCCATACGTACATATAATCAGGGGTGTTATAGAAACCGGCTTTGAAAATTAATATCTGTTTGAAATGGTGATATGAAACCGGCTTGATTTCGCTTTTTTCGAAGATAAGAAAAACCGATATTCGAATCAGCTGTGATCACACTTTTGCAAAAAAAAACCTGCAATTTAATTTAATTTTTGTACTGGTTTTCACACATTTGTGATTATTAAATTAAAATGTCTTCGGCAGTTTAGCATTTTTGATGATAGAAGGATATCGAGAAATAATCCAGACAATTATTTTTATTTATTATTATTATTACATTTTCATTTGCTGATACAAAATTCATTTGTATATAGATTCAAAGACCAACATCGTCTTAAAAAAGCAGCCTTTGTAACAATGCTAGATGTCATAGCAGACCAGTTGGATAGGCTGACTACTCCACATGTGCTCCAACATGCAGCCACACTGCGGTTTTTGGCAGAAGGCTCCTATTAACGGTCTGTGGGACTCAAGCGTGACCTACAGTCTCTGTGGCAAATACAGAAATGCTAAAGGCTTTTGAGGGCTAATTGATTGCCCACGCTGGATGATTTAAGGAATGAACGCCAATTGAAAACCGAGAGCTCGTAACCATTTTTACATCAAGTACCGTATTCCAGGCATTGCTGTTTGTGAAATCCATTTTTCATGATTTACATTTTTATTAAATTCTCGCTTGCAAAGAAATTAGCACACAATTCTGCAAACGAATAACTGATCGGTTTAATTCTGATATTTAAACCGATAAATCGGTTCGGAAATGAAACCGATATGCAAATCAATAATCGGAATAATAAAACTCGGGCTTACACACCCTTCAACAGAATTTGGTCGAATTCCATTTTCATTCCGACAACTATCTAGTTCTGAAACAATCCTGAATATTTAAAAAAAGACTTTGTCCTCAATGAAAGAGGTATGAATACTCAGCATAAACCTTTCATCGCAGAGAATCTTGAACTGGTTTTCTGTGTATGATATAAGAAAGAGCTTTCCGGGAAGCGGAAGTTTTTCGATTTTGCTCCAATTTAGGTCTAGTGAAAACTGGTCTATTATTATTTTTACTATAATTGAAGATTTTATTTGCTTTACCTAACATTATCAAATACCTGTCAAATATGCTGTTTTGCTCGAAACTTTTCTTGAAGATAAAGTCTTTATGACCCTCTCTTATAAATCCTTATTTACATTGACAGGAAAGTGGGAATTTTTACAGACAGGAATAGATGGTATTCACTTAATGCGAAGTCCGGACTGTAAGGTGGATGCAAAAGTAGCTCCAAAGCAAGCTCTCGGAGCTTCTGGCGACCTACTATCGATGTGGTCTAGGGTTGACCTAATGAAACATCAATTCTTCTCCTGTTGGCCAAAGCTGGGCGCTTTTGGCTGATTGTTTGTTTTAGACCACAGAGTTTGATCCAATCTCATCAAAATCACAACAAAATACTATCAGAGATTGTGGTCTGGCGTGGTTCTGTGATCACCCAGAATTTTTTCCTTCAGACGATCCAATCACTTATAGTAAAATCGGAGTTAAGAGCTCGTTCGTAACGGAGTAGCTCATAGTGGATGACTCCATACCAATCTCACCAAACACACAACCAAATTTTCCTGTCCAACAATCTTTTGATTTTTCTGTAAGTGATCCACTTTTCATCACCAGTTACCATTTGATTCAGAGCTGAGTCGATTTTGTTTCGATTCGGTAGCGATTTGCTGTTGGAATTTCCGGTCTCTGAGGTTTTTTCTCGTAAACTCCAGCCTTTTAGAGTGGTTCCATATTCTGCTGCCTGATTTGTGTTATTTCCCCTTTGCTGGTGCCCATCTATGGCATGCGCTCAAACATTTCTCAGTTAAGTGACCAACACTGAATTACTATAAGCATGATCCCTGCCAAGCTTAGTCGTACGGTCAAAAATTACCTTCTGATTAAATCGATTTTTCGACGAACGTAAATCGATTTGGGGGTATTGGTTCGTGTCTTTTGAAGAAGTCCAAGATGGAGGACTGAAAGGACTTATATTTTGAAGAATTTTAAGCGGGACTTTCCCTTGCTCGTTCGGAATCAGCCTTTTTAGCAGTGAAGTCTGTTATGAGCCGTTGGTCGCCAATTTCTGCAACCTCTTTGTATGATTCTTTGTAACGTGCCTAAAAGAATTCAACTCACGTTAGAATCGTGCAGCTCTCTCGATATTGGGATCGTTTGTGACTAATTGATATCCCAATTTCTTTGCAAATCGAAGTCTTTCTCTGATGAAATTTCCATAAGTTTAACATGTTCTTCGCTGTTCGAACATTCTCCTGAGAAATGTTGAGCCTACTCCATTTCGAATGCGTTCCAATGTTTGAATTTTGGTTTTGTAGTTTTCGACATTTCTCTTTAAAAAAAAAAGTTCAAAATAAAAACTGAATGAAATAGAATTATTTTCAAATTTTGTTCAAACAAATTTAATTATTTTTTTCACGATTTTTTCCAATTAGCTCGCTTCAAAACCTTGTGGTTCATACTAAGCCGCCCATTTTGAGACTTTTACTTTTTGTCTGATTTCGTTACGAGAATACTCAAGCCTGTTTAAAAATAATGACTGCTAAGCGGACATTAATTTTAACATATTTAATTTTTTTTCAACAAGGCACGTTGTGTTCTTTTACCAACAACAGCAGCAGAATCGACTAATAAAAATAACAAATTATAATCACAGTAAAATTTTATTGACGTCAATTTACAAAATCTGTAATTCCATTTATGTTTAACGCGGACACATAGCATGTTTGCCACCATCAACGGGCAGTGTTGCGCCCGTTATAAAACTGGACTTATCGCTGGCCAAGAAAATAATGGTGTCGGCCACTTCCTTCGCCTCACCAACACGGCCGAGTGCGTGAGTTTCCTTACAACGCGCCAAATATTCAGCATACTGCTCCTCTGACATGCCGACACGTTTGTGGAATTCAGTGACGATAACACCAGGATTCACAGCGTTCACGCGCACTTTATGCGGCGCCAAGTCCAAGGCAATACAACGTGTGAACTGATCAATAGCAGCCTTGGAAGTGCAATAGACCGAAACAGCAGGGAATGAACGTAATCCAGCGACACTGGAGACATTCACAATACTACCTTGTGTCTTGATGAGATGTGGCGCGGCGTATTTGGTTAGAAGGAAAACCGAACGTACGTTTGTATTCATTACACGATCGAATTGATCAACGTCAATATCCAAAATATGACCAGATGCACCGGCACCGGCATTATTAACTAAAACATCCAATTTGCCAAACTTATCAACAGCAGTTTTTACAATACGTTCTGCATCCACAGTGACGTCAGCAATGATGGGTAGTAATTCAACTTTGTTGTTGGCTGCCTTGCAGGATACTTCAGTGGCTTTTAGATTTTCCGCATTTCGTCCTACCAATGCTACTTTAGCACCGAGTTTGGCAAAGGCCTCCGCAGTTACAGCACCAATACCCGAACTTGCTCCGGTTACAATTACAACTTTACCGGCTAAACTCATTGCGAACTGTTCTAATTCACGGCGACGTATAAACTAAAGGCCTTTGGCTATTGCAAATATATATATATAAATATGAATTTATTGCACCTATTTCACAATGGAGAGAGGCAATGTAAGTGAGTGAGAGAGTGGCTATATGTGTGATACGAACAAGTATGTATGTACATAAGTGGTCGGCATTATGAGCTCATACTCGTATTAACTGAAGTGTCTAATTTCTAGTGAGCGTGAGAAAGAAATTTATTATTTAATAACAAATTGAATAAAATTTTTTTATTAGTAAATAAATTTTCAAAATGTGAGGGAAAAAATGTACTAATTTTTTTTAATCTTATCTGGAAATGATAGCTTTGAAGAGTACACTCTATGCAGTACACGAAGAAAGATCAAGCAGACTTAATTGGAAGATTTTCAGCTAAGACGACTAGTTAAAGTGAACTGAAATACTTCCTTAAAATTAAAGAAAATAAAGGGTGTTCTTTAGACCTGTGGTTTTTAAGAAGAAACATAACGTATAATATTTAGTGTTTTGGGCAAGAATTTAGCTTTATCATCAAGATAAGGTGGTCCACGGACCGCCGCGACTGACTCGGCGGGTTAGGGGTTCAAGAATTTACCCGCGATCGGGCAAGAGGCGACTAAAATGGAATAATTTTTCACGACAGTCAGGTCTTCATACCGGTATGACCCTAACTTTTATCCGCCCAAGGACTGTCACTACCGCCATATTCCGCTAAAACTACTTTGGGGAATATTTTTGTGGTTACAAAAACAATATCAACAACTGAGTCGAATAAACTACCGCTGAGATGCTCAGTTTCCGTAATTTTTTGTTGCAATTCGTGATGAACGTTAGCAATATCTTCTTCCAACCCTTCAATCGTCTCGGGCTTAACTGAGTAGACAAGTGTCCTAACATAACCTCACAATTTACAGTAGTAGTGTATGTGGTAATGGTTTCGGCTCAACGTTTTCTTCGTCACTATTTTAATGTAATTTTTTGCGATAGACGATTTTTGTGCTGTGGCTCAACTGGACTTATTCAGATATTTCAAACTCTGTCTATGAAAAAAAAACATCTGTAATCTTTATTAATTAAAAAGAAATCAATTAAAATAAAAGAAACAAAATTTGTAATAAATACGAAATTGTATTTTATAACCGAACATACAAACATATATTTAATATAAATATTTAGTTCAAATTTTAAATCTTTCTTATACATATGTACAACAGATTAACGCGGACACATAGCATGCTTTCCACCATCAATGGGCAGTGTTGCGCCCGTTATAAAGCTCGCGCTTTCGCTCGCCAAAAAGAGAATAGCATCAACCACTTCTCTGGGCTGCCCAATGCGACCTAAAGCATGCGTAGTCTTACAATGTTCCAAATATTTGACATAATCTTCATCCTTCATGCCCATACGCCTATGAAAGTCCGTCACAATATCACCTGGATTCACAGCATTTACACGCACTTTATGCGGCGCCAAATCCAGCGCAATACAACGTGTGAACTGATCAACAGCAGCTTTAGCGGTGCAATAACTGGAAACTCCAGGGAATGAACGTAGTCCGGCTACGCTGGAGACATTCACAATATTGCCTTGCGTCTTGATAAGATATGGCGCGGCAAGTTTGGTTAGAAGAAAGACTGCACGTAAATTCGTATTCAAAACGCGATCAAAATGTTCAACATCAACATCTAATATGTTGCCAAGTTCAGCGTAACCGGCATTATTCACTAACACATCTAATTGTCCGAACTGATCGATTGTTGTTTGAATAATGCGCTCCGCATCCACAGTGACGTCAGCAATGATGGGAAGCAGTTCAGCTGTGTCGTTGGCTGTTTTACATGCCGCTTCAGTCTTCTTTAAATTTGCTTCATTGCGTCCGACGAGCACTACTTTAGCACCGAGTTTGGCAAAGTCGACCGCAGTCGCGGCACCAATACCAGAACTAGCGCCGGTTATAATAACAACTTTCCCAGCTAAACTCATTACGAACTTTTCTATTTCACGGCGACGTATAAACTAAAGGTCTTTGATTATTTCAAATATATATATTGTAAATATGAATTTTTGGCAACTATTTCACAATGAAGAGAGGTAACGTGAGTGAGAGAGTAGCTATATGTGTGAGATGTATGTATGTACGTACATAAGTGGTTTTTATGAGCTCATACTCGTATTAACTGAGGCGTCTAATTTCTAGTGAGCGAGAGAAAGAAAGTTTAATTTAATAACAAATTGAATAAAATTGTTTTATAAATAAGTAAAATTTGAGAATGTGAGAGAAAAAAATGTACTAATTTATTTAATTTTATCTGAAATCTATAATTTTCAAAAGTACACTCTACGCAGTACACGAAGAAAGACCGAGCAGACTTGATTGGAAGATTTTTAGTTAAGACGACTAGTTAATTGAACTGAAATTCAAGAAAATAAAGGGTGTTTTTTAGATCTGTGGTTTTTAAGAAGAAACAAAACGTATATAATTTAATTCTCTTGCGTCAAGAATTTCGCTTTAGTGTCAAGATAAGGTGGCCCACTGAAAGCCGCCAGAGGGGTAAGGGGTTCAAGAATTTACCCGCGACCAGGCATTCCTGTCGTAAGAGGCAACTAAACCCCAATAGCCACCGCGACAGTTGGGTCTTTATACCGGAACGATTTTTATATATTTATAACTGAGTTGAATACTTTTCCGCCGAGAGGCTCATTTCACGTAATTATTTGTAGCAATTGGTGCTGAATATTCTCTTCCAACCCTTCAATCGTCTCGCATTTAAATTCCACGATCTTGGAGGCTACACCATAGACCCACGACGCCAGATAATGCGATAATAATCACCCAAAAGTTTCCTTCAAAAAATTTTTGTTTCATTGGTTTTATAGCTTATAGGGCCGTATTGTTGGAACCAAAAGTCGTCCACATCAGCAATCTCCAATTCAGGCACGAACAAGTTATTAAGGATGGCTCTATAGCGTTCCCCATTGCCTTAAACTTTTAGATCCGACTACATTTTTGATGAAATATGCAACGTGGAATTTAAACGTCATTTTGAGGTGTAAAATCGTACAAATGTCGGCGGCGTCGTCTGTCTGGCAACGTTGAGTGGCTATAATACTCGTATGTGTGAGTGAAGTGTGTAGCTCAGTAGAAATAAGGTCGACGTCACTACTATCTAATGAGCTTTTTGACTATCACAGTTAAATTTGTTGGGTACGACTACTAGTTCCATGAAATAGTTTGCACCTGCCCTTGAACATCGAAGAGCGTTCTAAAAAATATGAATTTCAAATGTGTATTAACTTAGTCCATATTCTCCGGAATTTTCCATCGACCATAGCGCGAGTATGTTTTTAGGTAGAGACCAGAAACTTGGATAGTATATTCTGCGTACGACATTTGCTCTCTATATATTATATATGTATATATAGTATATAATTGGCGCTTTGTAACCGCGATTTCCGGCAGGCTCGTGTCGATTGGTCGTGAAAAATATTTAAAAACGCGATAGTGGGACTTCCAGCCACGCCTACGACATCGTGACTGGTTATGAATCTAGGATTTTTGCGTATGAGCACGAAAGAAAACACCAGTCCGCTGTGTGGTTGTTTAAAGATGAGCAGAATCTAACAAAAGTGGTTCACGTTCGAAAGAGTTCCATTGTTTTTTTTTGGAAGATCCGGATCACGGCCATTTGTTTGCCAGTTGGCTTTTAAGAAGTCAGGAAAAATAATCAAACACCGATTTGATGAGTCATCCATCGTACGTGTAGTCCTGACCGTTAAGTAATTATAAGCATATTTTTGAAAATAGTGAGGCAGATTTGTTAGGCTATGCGGGAATCTACCCGAATTTTCTCTACATCGCTCTGCAAAAAATATTAGGGAAAACACGGCTATTTGAAGCCAATTTTAGAGATTGACGGCACTGATAACACGAAAAAAGCTGAGCAAAAAAAATATATTTTTTTTACTATAAAAGCACGATGAATTTCACAATTGATAATAAAAGAGATATGATATCTCGGGTTTTGTGACGTTTCACAACCTCGTGGGGTGATTAGTTTGAAGATATTATTTGAAAAAGAAAATAATACTTACATACATATATGTACATACCCTGCAGAAGAGAGGCAACTAGTATACGAAAATTCTAGTTAAATACTAGTATGTTGAAGATGAAGTAATACCAGTTTGTTATGTGTAAAAAAGTCCACCAGTAACGGGAGAAATAATAATTTCCACCACCGTTTGTTGTTGTTATATCGGCATGCCACGACTGAATTCCATTATCTGCTCTGTTGTATTGTAGTGCGCAAAATGACGGTCATCATTATAAAGTCACGATAGCTGACTGGTTAGAGGCTATCATTGTAACGCGTAAGATCCCCGGTTCGAGTCCGTAAAGAGGTAAACTATTTTTTTAGTTTTATTTTTTTTATTTTTGATGAAACAGAAATTTTCACCACTATGTCATTCGTATGTTGCTGTTGTTTTAGTACGTCATCGCTGAGTTTTATTTCCTAAAAAGTGCGCATATCGCGTTACTCTCTGGAACGTGACGTTAACCTAGTGGTTAGAGGTCTTCGCTGCGGTGTGTGGGGGTCTCTCGGTTCGATTCTCGCAGCCGGCAAGCTCATTTTTATCCTCTACATTTTCTTATTTTTTGGTGAAGTAGAAATTTAACACGTATAAATGAAATAGTATAAAACTAGTATGAAGCTGATGCATAGTAGGACAATTGCGGAGTGTTGGAAATAGAGGGTTGGAGTCCTGGTCTAATCAGCAACCAAAACTGTAAAAATTAATTTCGCAAACTGCAGTTGCCTATGGGCAGAGAATAAATCACAAGCCCTCCGAGTGTATTTCTGACATGAAATAAAAGCTCCTCATAAAAATCCATCGGCCTTTGGGAGGCGGATGAGAAAACACTCTAGGTCCTTCATATGTTGGAAAAACATCAAGACGCATACCACAAATTGGAGAAGGAGCTTCAGAGCGGTTTGTTCTGAATGGCTGAGTGATCAACTCAGAGCCCAAGCAATTGATCGTAGAAACCAAACGTGTGATGTAGGCACCCGATGAGAAAAGATTTTCAGGCATGCGAACCTATTACCCATCTTTTCGAAAAACTCGTAAAATAACAACATTAAACTTGGGATCGATTCGATGTACAACCTTGGACCGATCTTTATCCACATTCCTAAGGCAAAGGTCCACCTTCTGATGGGATTACAAATTATTATTAAATTAAAAAATAATGTCAGAATAATTATATAAGTCGTAAGAGTTGGAAAAAATAGTTACCCAGGAATCGAGATTTCGCGACTTGTTTTAAAATAGTAATAATAATTCAGTTTTTATAATTTATCTTTTATTGTTATTGGCGTATTGCCAAAAACCGTTCATTCCAAATTACAGCACTAATCTGCAGGCTACTTGCGGAAAGCCCAAATTTCCGCTCATTGTTCTCTTTGTCAGATTGGAAAGATCTTGTTTTCACTCCGCTCTACTGATGGGATATCGTCGAAAAGGACGAGTTTGCCATCGAAGCTAGCACGGCATCTTACCACATTTGAATTCGACGCAGTAGCTGCGGGTTATTATGCGGTGAGTCATGAAGCTGAAGCACATCCGGACCAACAATTAATAATTTTAGAGGGCTAATTTATACAACTAATTTTTCAAAAAGACAAATACAGCCAAAAAAAACAAAAAATCCACAGCTTGTTACTCAGTCAAAGTTTTTATTAAAATATAATGCATAAATAAATGAACATAATTCACACAAATGAAATATTTAATTTGCCTCTTAACGCGGGCACATGACATGTCTTCCACCATCAATGGGTAGACTGGCACCCGTTATAAAGCTTGCACTGTCACTCGCCAAGAAAAGAATGGCGTCGGCCACTTCCTTCGCCTCACCAGCGCGACCAAGCGCGTGAGTTTCCTTACTACGCTCCAAATGTTGAGCATACTGCTCCTCTGTCATGCCCATACGTCTCTGGAAGTTAGTGACGATAGTACCAGGATTTACGACATTCACACGCACTTTATGCGGCGCCAAGTCCAAAGCAATACAATGTGTGAACTGATCAAGACCGGCCTTGGCAGTGCAATAGGACGAAACACCAGGGACTGCACGTATTCCGCCGACACTGGAGACATTCACAATACTACCTTGAGTCTTGATGAGATATGGCGCAGCAAGTTTGGTTAGAAGGAAAACCGAACGTAAGTTTGTATTCATTACACGATCGAATTGATCAACGTCAATATCCAGAATATTACCGGCTTCAGCGTAACCAGCATTATTAACTAAAACGTCCAATTTGCCAAACTTATCAACGGTGGTTTTTATAATGCGCTCCGCATCCACAGTGACGTCAGCAATGATGGGTAGTAACTCAGCTTTGTTGTTGGCTGCTTTGCAGGATACTTCAGTGGCTTTTAGATTTGCCTCATTACGTCCTACCAATGCTACTTTAGCACCGACTTTGGCAAACTCCACAGCAGTCGCAGCACCAATACCCGAACTAGCGCCGGTTACAATAACAACTTTATCGGCTAAACTCATAATGAACTGCACAATTTAACAGCGGCGAATGAACTAATTTATGTTTTCGAATGCAAATTCGTATTTATACACAAATAACTACAAAATATAGTATACATAGTCTTTATCATGATACAATAATTGAAAGGTAGTTTCACGCTCTCTTCGCCGACGGCTTCATAGCTAACTGACATTAAACGTGTTCTGGCTTTTTCGTGCTACCATCCTCTCTTAAAAATAAATCTAAAATTGTTAAATAAAAAATATAACGAAAATTTTCATATTTTTTTAAATGTTCAAACATTCAAAAATCGCATATTTTCGAGTGTATGCCTTCAGTAAACTGTAGGAGAGTAACAGGAAGGGAAAATATTCGCCTACCAAAATTTAAATCGAATTCTTGGAGACGAGGGTCTGGCTGGATTTGCTTTATTAACGTTTTACATATTTTTTAAGGATATTGTTTTACCAATTGTTGGGTTCCAAACACTTTCGAATTCAAATTAACCACCGAATACAGTGATATTAGTCAGTGAGTTAGATCAACAGCTTAATCGATCACGCAACCGTGATCTCTTGATGATACCTATGTAGATTCTATGAAGAGAAAGCGTTAACGGATCGCAGAGTTTCCCGGGGCTATGATTATCCCAATCCGGTCAGCTCATCGACCCACAGTTTCCTGGGTGTCCCTATGAATTTTTAAGAACTTTAGGAGTTTTCAAAAAAAAAAAAAAAAAAAAAAAATGCATGAAATCTTTATTTGAAGGTTATTTCATGCAAATGTTGACCGTGACAACGCCTCATATGGTCCATTGGCTTCGTCAAATTATGGCATACTCTTTTCAACATTTCGGCCAGTATTTCACGAATGGATGCTTCAATGCTGTCCTCCAATGCGTCAATTCAAGCGGGCTCGTCTGTATAGACATTGGGTTTAACATAGACCCACAAAATATAGTCTAAAGGCGTTAAATCGCACGATCTAGGCGGCCAATTGACCGGTGCCGCACATGAAATAAAATGTTCACCGAACTCGCCTCTCAATAAGTCCAAAAGTCACGCGCGCTGTGTGGCATGTGGCACCGTCTTATTGAAACGACATGTCATGCAAGTCAAGGTCTTGAATTTTCGGCAAAAACAGTTTGTTAGCGATGCAAAACACGAAGCGTGCGTCAGCTGTTTAAACCAAAGTTGTCGTGGCCAAAAATATAAGAGCCAAACAATCACCCTTTAAATTTTTTTTATCATGGTTGGTATCGTATTTCACAATAAAGAGATATGTATTGTATATACGTATGTATGTACAATGTACATCAATCAGTAACTGGATTTAATAGGTGTATTCACTTGTCTGTATCATAACCATGGTACTGAAATTCTCACTCACTGCTCATTCAAGTATGTATGTGTGTGAACGTATTAGTTTTTACTTTAATCTATTACTGACATACCTAATGCTACAACTACCCATCTTACATAACTTCCATCCATAACACCCGCCTGTAATTGAATATTCAAACACGAGTATATTCTGCGGAATAACCGTCACAGTAACGGCATCGATAAGCGGCTTTACGTTAAAATTGTTTCAATTGTGGTTCAGGATGTAGAAAATTTCATGATCTTCAAGTAATGACAACGATTTTTGATTTCAGTCTACTACAAGAAGCTGTAGGCTTAAAGTTGTTGGGCCATGTTTTTCGCGCAGATGCCGACGGAAAGCGCCATTTTGTAAGGCTGTCATTTTGAAATTCGACAATTTTTTTGCCGTGTTCAAATCTCAAATAATAAACATACATAGTCGGAACCGGTAGATCGTACACCTTTTCATTTTTCCACAAAAAAAAAAAAATACAAACTTTGCACAATATCAGGGGAGAGTCCCCTTTACATAATTGCATTTGTTATCGGGTTTGTTACTTTTCTTCTAGCCGTAAGAAAAAAATATTTCTTCGGTTTGTTTCACGTAAGTGTGATTATCTTTTTCATTATATTATCGGCATGCGATTTATATTTGCTTTTTTAAATTTTCTGTTACCGTATCTGTAATACACGGTGTGTTCTAAAAATAACCGAACTTTATATTTAAATCATACAACATACAGCGCCATCTATTGAAAATTTGCAACATTAAAATCATCCTCTTTCAAACGCATCTAACATCATGTAAGTCGGATGACAGATGTAAAAGTGACAGCCATTTCAATAAAACCAAAAGTGTGCTAATGGTTCAAAAATAAAATGGAACAAAGAGCAAATATAAAATTTTGTGTCAAACTTAAAAAAAAAATTAATGAAAAAAGTTTATTGTGATGATTGTATGAGTCGTACGCAAGTTTATACGTGGTTTACACTATTTAAAAATGGTCGTGAGGATTTAAATGACGACCCTAGAGCAGGACGTCCAGAAACTAGTAATCGTGCTGAACTGGTGGAAAAAGTCCGTGAAACCATTGGTATCGATGCAAATTTTACGACGAGAATGTTGGCTGATGAATTGAATACGAGTAAAAACACTATTTGGAGAACTTTAACTGAAAATTTGGGGAAAAGAAAGATCTGTGCGCGATTTGTTCCACATGAATTAAATGACGACCAAAAAATCGCTCGAATTTTTAATGAAAAAAGAGATTTCTCTCATCGACCATCCTCCGTATTCGCTTGATCTACCACTATGTGACTATTTTTCATTTCCAGAACTGAAAACCAAGATGAAGGGAGCATTTTATGATGATATCCCAGCCATTCAAATGACATAAAAAAATCTATGCATGCGCTGGTTGATCGTTTCAAACGTTGTGTTGAGTCAAATGGAACCAATTTTGAATAAATAATAACTTTCAAAGATAATATAATATGTATTTTATTTTACATCCAAAAAGTTCGGTTATTTTTGGGACACACCGTGTACATCTGTTGTTTAGAACAAACACGTATATAGTATAATACTAGATCTGTTAGTAACCAGCTGTTGGGAATAAATGTATTGCATACCATATCTGTTACCCATCTCTTATTGGAAACAAAAGCTTGTGTTAGCATATCTGTTACCGATGAGTTATTGAAAACAAATGTCTTCGTTACCCATAGGATATTGACCTTTTTTTTTATCTACATTTCCTTCTCTGAATTTAATAAAATCTCTAAAAGCCTTGATCTTGATTTTGCACTCCCGAGATCTCTCTATTCATAAAGTTTCTTATTCTTAGTATACACAGTAGGGTGAGTTCCAAAACGTCAGTTGTAATGCAACCAAACATCGTGACACATTCTTAAATGCAGCTGTGTAAACATTGAAGATGTACTAAGCTCCCAAATGCATCTGTAAAGTTATTGATGCGCAAACACAAGGAAACTGTGCATAGTTAAAGGCCTCTGGAGACGGTAAAATAATTTCGTCAAGCATTGCATACATATGTGTTAGTGAGGCTCACTTGTGTCCTGCCAGCCAGCGTTCAAATAAACACGTCAATCATCATTTTAATTTTGTATTCATCTCATGGTCTTCGGAAGACGATTTCCTCTTATGTTCTAGTTATTTCATTTCAACTGGGAAAACTCTTAAGCTTCCATACGAAGATTCTATTGTCGTTGTTGTGCCTACGAAGCAAACAATAAATTTTTTTAAAGGGTCCGAAAGACATGTATGTATGTATAAATAAATATGATTGTATTAATCACATAAAATACATATAGTGTACGTAAGCGAACGTCTGATTGTTATTGTATACGTGCATTTTCCATACTTCGCTATCAAATATTACAACAAAAATGTGCTTGTTTTTGTCAAGCATAAGTGTAGACGATCAAATTATCGTCCATGAAATTCAAATATCAAAAATTTTTGATTTTCATCAAGCAGGGCCGAAAAGAAATCTGTGTGGCGTACGTGTAGCCGACGAAAGCCGACTACACCAATACACATGCGGATTTTAATGGATTTATTTGACCGTCTCCAGGGCACTTACGGTTTGTGATGCTTTTCTTTATCACAAATTCTTAACAACAATGGCCATGTCGGAGGGGAAGTTTTTGCAATAATTATTTTTTTTAACATTCTATTACTTTTTTATCTGTTTTCTATTTGCAAATTGTTGTTGCTTTGTTGCTCGAAGGGGTTGGCATTTCCGGCCGAAGAGCGACGCTCATACATACATATAATTATATAATATAATGCTCGAAATGTTTATTTCGCAATTTTGCGAAATTAATTTGATTACGTAGATAATGTAAATTGAAATCTATTTTGACTGTAAGATATGCAGTGGTAAGATTCATTACTAGCATATAGATACACAGTAGGTAGTTAAAAGTAAATCCCCGATGATGGATGGTATGTATGTACGTGTATGTATGCACATTGAATTCTGTACCGTTAAAACTTCTATCGTATCTTCTATTTTACATCACACTACTTGTCTTGGAGAAAATCTCACTCGTGTCATGTATATTTTTAGGCACTTTCCATACTGAATTTATCGCATAATATTATATTACGGTGTACAAATAGTCGGAGAAGAGGCAAAGAGAATTTTTTTGAATCAGAGAAATTGCTATATTTTAAAAATATTCATGTGGCTTGTGAGAAAATGAAAAAATGATCGAATCCACGGTAGTTTTGAATTGTCTTTTGTTACATTCCAGAGCTTAAAATCATCTATACGTACATATAATCAGGGGTGTTATAGAAACCGACGCAGAATTGCTTATTTATCGTTTTGAAAATCAATATCTGTTGTGAAACCGGTTTGATTTCGCTTTTTTCGAAGATAAGAAAAACCGATATTCGAATCAGCTGTGATCACACTTTCGCAAAAAAAAATTTAATTTTTGTAGGTGGTTTTAACACATTTGTGATTATTAAAAATAAAATGACTTCGGCAGTTTAACATTTTTATGATGGAAGGATATCGAGAAATAATCCGGAAAATAAAGCAGAAGCTGCCAGGGGCGATGTAAATGCAATTTGCATTCTACTTTTTCATTTGCTGATACAAAATTTGTTTGTATATGGATTCAAAGACCGACATCCTCTTAAAAAAGCAGCCTTTGTAATAGTGCTGGATGGCATAGCAGACCAGTTAGAGAGGCTGACTACTTCACATGCGCTCCAACATGCAGCCACACTGCGGTTTTTGGCAGAAAGCTTCTTCTTATTAACGGTCTAAGGGCCTCAAATATTTCCTTAGCGCGGCTTACAGTCTCTGTGGCTATAACAGAAATGCTGAAGGCTTTTGAACGTTTTAATTGCACACGCTGGATGATTTTAGGAATGAACGACAATTGAAAACCTCTCGGTTTAACCATTTTTACATCAAGTACCGTATTCCAGGCATTGCTGTTTGTGAAATCCATTTTTCATGAATTACATTTTTATTAAATTTTCGCACAATTCTGCAAACGAATAACTGATCGGTTTAATTCTGACATTTAAACCGACAAATCGGTTTCTCTAACACCTAAAATCGACACAAATTCTGTATCGAAAATGAAGACGATATGCAAACCAACAATTGGAATAACAATACTCGGGCTTACACACCCTTCAACAGAATTTAGTCGAATTCCATTTTCATTCCGACAAAAATCTAGTTCTGTAACACCCCTGAATATTTAAAAAGAATGACTCTCGTATGAATACTTAGCATAAACCTTTAATCGTAGAGAATCTTGAACTGGTTTTCTTTGTATGATATAAGAAAGAGTTTTCCGGGAAGTGGATCTGGAACTGATATGTTCGAAAAATTCGCAGTTTTTTCGATTTCGCTCCAATTTAGGTCTAGTAAAAAGTAGTCCATTATTATTTTTACTTTAATTGAAGAATTTATTTGCTTTACCTAACATTATCAAATTCCTGTCAAATATGCTGTTTTGCTCGAAACTTTTCTTGAAGCAGTTCATAATATTGTAGATGTTTTCTCTGATCCAATCCCATCAAAATCACAACAAAATCTTTCTGGGCGTCAATCCTGACTCCTGGTGAGTCATTATCGAAGAGTGTGATCTAGAGTGGTCCTGTTGGCCAATCACCCAGAAATACTTCCTAACCAATCTAACCATTCTTTTACTTAGCAACAACAATATAATCGACTAATTTTCAAGAAGTAATTAAATAATAAAAATAACACATTTTAATCACAATAAAATTTTATTGACATCAATATACAAAATCTGTAATTCTATTTATTTTTAACGTGGACACATAGCATGTTTGCCACCATCAATGGGCAGACTGGCACCCGTTATAAAACTGGACTTATCGCTGGCCAAGAAAAGAATGGCATCGGCCACTTCCTTCGCCTCACCAACACGGCCGAGAGCGTGAGTTTCCTTACAACGTACCAAATATTGAGCATACTCCTCCTCCGTCATGCCCAAGCGTCTTTGGAAGTCAGTGATGATAACACCAGGATTAACGACATTCACACGCACTTTATGAGGCGCCAAATCCAGGGCAATACAACGTGTGAATTGATCAAGAGCAGCCTTGGAAGTGCAATAGACGGAAACACCAGGGAATGAACGTAAACCAGCGACGCTGGAGACATTCACAATACTACCTTGAGTCTTGATGAGATGTGGCGCAGCAAGTTTGGTTAGAAGGAAAACCGAACGTAAGTTTGTATTCATTACACGATCGAATTGATCAACGTCAATATCCAGAATATTACCGGCTTCGCCGTAACCAGCATTATTAACTAAAACATCCAATTTGCCAAACTTCTCAACTGTGGTTTTTATAATGCGCTCCGCATCCACAGTGACGTCAGCAATGATGGGTAGTAACTCAGCTTTGTTGTTGGCTGCCTTGCAGGATACTTCAGTGGCTTTTAGATTTGTCTCATTCCGTCCAACTAGTACGACTTTAGCGCCTTGTTTGGCGAACTCTACTGCGGTTGCTGCACCAATACCTGAACTAGCGCCGGTTACAATAACAACTTTTCCCGCTAAACTCATTGCGAACTGTTCTATTTCACGGCGACGTATAAACTAAAGGCCTTTGGCTATTGCAAATATATATATATAAATATGAATTTATTGCATCTATTTCACAATGGAGAGAGGCAATGTAAGTGAGTGAGAGAGTGGCTATATGTATGATACGAACAGGTATGTATGTACATAAGAGTCATACTCGTATTAACTGAGGCGTCTAATTTCTAGTGAGCGAGAGAAAGAAATGTATTATTTAATAACAAATTGAATAAAATTGTTTTATAAATAAATAAATTTTCAAAATGTGAGGGAAAAAATGTACTAATTTTTTTTAATCTTATCTGTAAATTATATCTATGAAGAGTACACTCTAGACAGTACACGAAGGAAGACCGAGCAGACTTAATTGGAAGATTTTCAGCTAAGACGACTAGTTTAAGTGAACTGAAATACTTCCTTAAAATTAAAGAAAATAAAGGGTGTCCTTTAGATCTGTGGTTTTTAAGAAGAAATTAAAAGTATATAATTTAATTTTCTTGTCCAAAGAATTTCGCTTTATTGTCAAGATCAGGTGGCCCGCTGAACGCCGCCAGGGGGGTTATGTGTTCATGAATTTACCATGAGTTTGTCAGTTGCCTTTCAAGAAGTGAGGAAAAATAATCAAACACGGATTCGATCGTACGTGTAGTGCTGACTTGTCGTACTTAAAAAATAAACTGAGAGCTCAACGCTTTTCGACACCTGAAGAGGCGTTGATGTTTTACATAGATGGAGTGACAAACCATTGATTTAAACGCGTGCAAAAGAGTAAAGATCTTAATGGGGAATATTTGGATAAACAGTAAACTGATTTTCTGATGATTAATACTTTATTTTATTTTCTGTCCTTTTTTCTGGACGACTAATTGTGAGGCGTTAAATAATTATACATTTTTGAAAATAGTGAAAGATTTTAAAATTTTATAAATAATGGCAGATTTATTGAGGTATGCGGAAATCTATCCGACTTTTCTCTATATCGCTCTGCAAAAAATATAAAGGAAAACACGATGAATTTCACAATTGATAATAAAAGATATAAGATATCTCGGGTTTTGTGACGTTTCAAAACCTCGTGGGGTGATTAGTTTGAAGATATTATTTGAAAAAGAAAAAAAATACACATACACATATATGAATATCATACATATGCAGAGAATCTATAATAATTAATTCACTTGGCGCCACAACGCTTACCCTGTCCTTTGCCTAGAAATCAATAGCATTCTCCACTTCGACTGACACCCCAGCGCAGCCAAATGCATATCTAGACCAAGAAGCCGAGCGTTTGCGGCCACAATAGCCGAGTGTTGGAAAAAGAGGGTTCGATCCTGATCTGATTAGCAAGCAAAACTGTAAAAATTAATTTCTCAAACTGCAGTTGCCTATTGGCAGGGAATAAACCACAAACCCTCCGTGTGTATTTCTGACATGAAATAAAAGCTCCTCATAAAAATTCATCGGCCTTTGGGAGGCGGATGAGAAAACACTCTAGGTCCTTCATATGTTAGAGAAACATCAAGACGCATGCCACAAATTGGAGAAGGAGCTTCAGAGCGGTTTGTCCTGAATGGCTGAGTGATCTACTCAAAGCCCAAACCACTGATCGTGGAAACCTGGCGTGTGACGTAGGCATCTGATGAGAAAAGATTTTCAGGCAAGCGAACCTATTACCCATCTTTTCGAAAAACTCGGATTTATTTTTAACTGGATCGTTTTACAATAAACTTGGGATCGATTCGATGTATAACCTTGGACGGATCTATATCCACATATCCACTAAGGCAAAGGTTACCTTTGGAATTTTTCCAATTTTCAACCTTCTAATGGGATTACAAATTTTTATTGAATTAAAAAATAATGTCAGGATAATTATATAAGTCGTTACGAGTTCGATAAAATAGTTAACCAGGAATCGATATTCGGAGACTTGTTTTAAAATAATAATAATAATTCAGTTTCCAGCATGCTCTCATTGTGAGATTAGTCACTCACGCAATGCATAGCGCAAACTACTAGTTGTAGTCGATAATGTTTCGCATCAGATCTGCAGGTCTCCTACTTCTAAAAATTTTGGTTGGCCAGTACGTTCTTTGTCTTCGACGCTAAAATCACCCATTTTGAAGCAAGCAGCTTCCGGGCATGAACTTCCACAAGCCTTAGATGCGCTACACCTGCACTTTACTTTCAATAAAATGTTATTATTTAACACAAATCGGGTCATTTTCGAATAGGCAAAGAAAAAAAATTTGTGTTCGGAAACAGAGCAATCGTTTCCAAGATCGACCACAACTTGCATATGGACCGAATTAATTTGTACCTTCTGAAAGCAAAAAAAGAAGAGAATAGATATCAGCAGAAATGGCGGCCATTGACTTAGTCTTATTTTGATTACCTCACAAAGCTGCGAGCTTTTGCTAGTCTGCGGAGTATTAGAACTAAAGCTATGACTTATTTATGCTCAATCTTTGCTGGGCAAACGAAATATCCATACAACTAAATGGCAAAAAAAAAAATTAGACACACTTATTTACTCAGAATAATTTTTATTAGTTCAAAATACACATACGTATAAACGTATTTATTTGTAATTTATTTGAAGCTTAACGCGGACACATTGCATGTCTTCCACCATCAATGGGCAGTGTTGCGCCCGTTATAAAACTGGACTTATCGCTGGCTAAGAAAAGAATGGAGTCGGCCACCTCCTTGGCCTCGCCTACACGACCGAGTGCATGTGTCGCCTTGCAATCTTCCAAAAATTTGGCATACTGCTCCTTTGTCATGCCCATATGTTTGTAAATATCCGTGATGATAACACCAGGATTAACGGAATTTACACGCACTTTATGTGGCGCCAAATCCAATGCAATACAACGTGTGAACTGATCGAGAGCAGCCTTCGAAGTGCAATAGACGGAAAGATTAGCGAACGAACGTAAACCAGCGACACTGGAGACATTCACAATACTGCCTTGTGTCTTGATGAGATGTGGCGCGGCGTATTTGGTTAGAAGAAAGACTGCACGTAAATTCGTATTCAAAACGCGATCAAAATGTTCAACTTCAATATCCAAGATGTGACCGGTCTCTGCTATGCCCGCATTATTGACCAACACATCCAATTGCCCGAGCTTGTCAACAGTTTCTTTTACAACACGCTCCGCATCCACAGTGACGTCAGCAATGATGGGTAGTAACTCAACTTTATTATTGGCTGCCTTGCAGGATGTTTCAGTAGCTTTTAGATTTGCCTCATTCCGTCCAACTAGTGCGACTTTAGCGCCTTGTTTGGCAAACTCTACTGCGGTTGCTGCACCAATACCCGAACTAGCGCCGGTTACAATAACAACTCTTCCAGCGAAACTCATTGCGAACTGTGCTATTTCACGGCGTAAAATAAACTGATGGGTTGCAAACAATCCAAGTAACTATTTGTATGCTTTGTTCTCTTAGTTTATTGAAAGGGAATAGCGGTGTAAGGCGTTTTTTGCATAAAAAATTTTACGTTATAAGAGAACACAAGAGTAATTTGGGTTTATTTAAAAGGTAATCAAGCTCTCGTGACTTCTGGCGAGTCTTTATGTTGTTGTTGTTGTACCGGTTCGCTAACCCCGCTTAGGCACAGGCTTGAATTAGTCTAAGTCGTCGAGGTCATCTAAAGGTAGGCCCAGGAAACGAGCTGTTTCGATGGGGTTGGACCAAAGGGAGAGGGGGTTAGATGAGTAGGTTTGAGGGGGCATGTGAAGAGGTGGTTAGTGTCGTGCGGGGACTCTCCACATGCCGGGCATACGTTAGGTATGCTGGGGTCTAGTCTGGATAGGTAGCAGGCGAGTCTTTATCGATGTGTTCGGTTAAAGGTTCTCCAGATGAAAAACAATTCCCATCCTGTTGCACATTTACTCGAAATTTGTAGGTATAAAGGTGTGTTTTTTTTATTTGGGGTTACCTAAAATAATTTTTGGATTTTACGGTATATACAAGGTATTGAACGCCAATGGACAATATGTTGGATTGTATTGTAAAAAGTATGCATTTCGAGTAAGGCTTAAGTCGAAACTTTTGCTAATTTTTTCTTACTGGGCCCATTTTACAATCAATATGAAAAATCAATCTAAATGCCTTATTGAATAATATTCATTGTTTTTATCTTATCTTTTCACTAACACCGGTAAGTGCGCTCAGTAGACACCCCAGCCAGGGATCTATATACATACATATAAAACTAGAATAAAATTTCATTTAAACAGTAATTGATTCCTGTCTGTTTTTGAATTACATTTTCATATTCAGGGCTTTAGTAGGATTTTTTTTATCGCCTGCATGTTTTCGAAAATCAAATGGCATTAAAAGAGCAGGACTAAAGAGAGCACTTTTTTGGCTCACTGTGCGGTAAGAGCAATCTTTGTTTTTTTTATTTCGGCTAAGAGCAGTTAGTGATTCCGCTGTCTGGAGTCCATTTTTAACAGTCGGTTGCAGCAATAAATTTTTTCCGTGATGACGCTCGTGAACCGGAAACTCTCTTGAGTACTGTTATATCGATTAACAGTATGTAAGATTTGCAACCACAGACTGGCATCTACATTTTTGCTAAACACGTCTCCACTAATTAATGCTAGCGGTACTAACAATGGAGTATTATCTCACGGAGCTGTCTCAAACTTAGTACGAAATTCTCGTGTCATTCATTCACAATAGAATGTGAAAAAAAAACTACAACGAATTATTATTTGGTGACATTAGAGGTTCCCCGTGCGGTTTGGGGACTTAAGAATTTACCCGTGATAAGGCATGTCTACCGTAAGAGGTGACTATAATCGAATAGTTCCCGCGACACTCGGGTCTTTAAGCAGAACAACTCCGAGGCAAGGTGTGTCGAGCACTAATCTGCGTTCTACCATCTCATACTGCCCTCAATTTCCGCCGCTTGGTCTCATTGTGAGATTAAGGTTACAGTCGGAAAGGTCTTGTTACAGCCAAACAACCGAAAAAAGCTTGTTACACACAATCAAAGTTTTTATTAAAATAGACTGCGCATAATGCATATAATAATAAATAAATAAACATAATTCACACAAATAAAATAATTAATTTGCCACTTAACGCGGGCACATGACATGTCTTCCACCATCAATGGGTAGACTGGCACCCGTTATAAAGCTTGCACTGTCACTCGCCAAGAAAATAATAGCGTCGGCCACTTCCTGCGCCTCACCAGCGCGACCAAGCGCATGAATTTCCTTACAACGCACTAAATGTTGAGCATACTGCTCCTCTGTCATGCCCATACGTCTCTGGAAGTCAGTGATGATAGTACCAGGATCTACGACATTCACACGCACTTTATGTGGCGCCAAATCTAGGGCAATGCAACGTGTGAACTGATCAAGACCGGCCTTGGCAGTGCTATAGACGGAAGCACCAGGGAATGAACGTAAACCAGCGATACTGGAGACATTCACAATACTACCTTGAGTCTTGATGAGATGTGGCGCAGCAAGTTTGGTTAGAAGGAAAACCGAACGTAAGTTTGTATTCATTACACGATCGAATTGATCAACGTCAATATCCAGAATATTACCGGCTTCGCCGTAACCAGCATTATTAACTAAAACATCCAATTTGCCAAACTTCTCAACTGTGGTTTTTATAATGCGCTCCGCATCCACAGTGACGTCAGCAATGATGGGTAGTAACTCAGCTTTGTTGTTGGCTGCTTTGCAGGATACTTCAGTGGCTTTTAGATTTGCCTCACTTCGTCCTACCAATGCTACTTTAGCACCGACTTTGGCAAACTCCACAGCAGTCGCAGCACCAATACCCGAACTAGCGCCGGTTACAATAACAACTTTATCGGCTAAACTCATAATGAACTGCACAATTTAACAGCGGCGGATAAACTACTTTAAGTTTTCGAATGCAAATTCGTATTTATACACAAATAACTACAAAATATGGCATAAATCGTCTGTATCGTATTTCACAATAAATAGATTAAACGTAAAAGTATTGTGAGATCGTAGATGTATGTAGGTACATATGTACTTAAACTAGAAGTTGGTTTTAATAGATCTATTCACTAAATATCTCATATCTAACGAGCGTTTGTGTATAGGAAAGAAGTTGCAAGTCATCACTTTTTAGTAAATAATTATATGAGTACGCGATGTACGGTAAACATGAGAGCATAGTGCATAGTTATTAACTTTATGAGAATTGGAAGAGTGTACATCACGACATGAGATCTATTGAACACTTCACAATTACGACTTTTATGTCACCAAACTGAAATATATATTTTTTTTCAACTTTTCACTTTTTATTTGCATAACTTTGGGCGCTGGTTAATTGCTTCCTGTTATTCGAGTTTTAGCAGAGAACGTTAATACAACGAGAAGGAAAATAATTGAATTAAGAAAGGCACGATTAAAGAGATTGATGTTTCTGCTCTCAAATAGAGTAAGAGCAAATTTAGTTTATTCAGTCTCTTTCTTTGTGTTCAAAAAGGTCGTTTTTTGAAAAAAGTAAATAATACGCGACTATTTTTTTCGTATCTCTATGGCAATTTTCGAATACCATGTCTAAAAAATGCGCCCTCTCTGCCTTCGATTCAATATCTGAGCCATTTTTTTTTTTTTTTTCGTAAAATACCCGAACCGGTGACCCCCCAAATCGTTTTGCATCAATGGTTTTGCCTGGTTTTAGCAGGTCTTTTCCTACAGACATTTTTGGCTAGGATGCTCGATGTCTTCGAAGCTAAAATCACCACTTTTGCGGTATGACTTATCAGTCGTCGCAAATTCAGCATAAATTTCCACAAGAATTCAATTAAAATATAAAATAAAATTTCCTCCCCCCAAAAAGCTGTTCATTTAACACAAATCCGGCCATTTTCGAAGAGGCAAAGACACACTTAATTACTCAGAATAAATTTTTATTAGCACAAAATACACATATACACAAATAAATATGGCAAATATGTATGTATGTATGAAAGTAATCTATGTGACGCTTAACGCGGACACATTGCATGTCTTCCACCATCAATGGGCAGTGTTGCGCCCGTTATAAAACTGGACTTATCGCTGGCTAAGAAAAACCTCCTTGGCCACGCCTACACGACCAAGTGCAATGGTCGCCTTGCAATCTTCCAAAAATTTGGCATACTGCTCCTCCGTCATGCCACTCCGTTTGTGAATATCCGTGATGATAACACCAGGATTAACGGCATTTACACGCACTTTATGTGGCGCCAAATCCAAGGCAATACAACGTGTGAACTGATCGAGAGCAGCCTTGGAAGTGCAATAACTGGAAATACCCGGGAACGAACGTAAACCAGCGACACTGGAGACATTCACAATACTACCTTGTGTTTTGATGAGATGTGGCGCGGCGTATTTGGTTAGAAGAAAGACTGCACGTAAATTCGTATTCAAAACGCGATCAAAATGTTCAACTTCAATATCCAAGATGTGGCCAGCTTCTGCTATGCCCGCATTATTGACCAACACATCCAACTGCCCGAGCTTATCAACTGTTTCTTTTACAACACGTTCCGCATCCACAGTGACGTCAGCAATGATGGGTAGTAACTCAATTTTTTTGTTGGCTGCCTTGCAGGATGTTTCAGTGGCTTTTAAATTTGTCTCATTCCGTCCAACTAGTGCGACTTTGGCGCCTTGTTTGGCAAACTCTACTGCGGTTGCTGCACCAATACCCGAACTAGCGCCGGTTACAATAACAACTTTTCCCGCTAAACTCATTGCGAACTGTTCTATTTCACGGCGTAGAATAAACTGTTGGATTGCGGTGAATTCAAGTATCTATACAGATAGCGATATAAGCCATTATTTGTATAAAAGTATTTTACTTTTAAAGATAACTGAAGATCATATTTGGCTTATTCGCTAATTATATGAGACTTTGAGAATACAAACAACTTCTCAACACTCTCGAAAATAACTCATTCATGACGTTTATCTCACACCCACAATCGAATTGGAGAACTCAGTTGCATATAAAAATAAGAGCTAAGATTTAGTACACAGTACATGGAAGAAAAGAAACGTGGAAAGATTGAGGAGTCAATTAAAGAAGAAAAGGCCATGTAGAATTAAAGAAACGCCTTTGTTCCGTGGTTAGCTGGGCGTTCTACCGTTCGAACGCTCAATGTTCGCGTCTTAGTTCAATTAACATGCTAAGCTGTAGAATAAAATTTTTTCTTATGGCGGTCGCCCCTTAGGAGGGAATATCAATAATGCCTCCTTTTGCATATGGCTCAAGCAGCTAACGACCAAGTATTCTCTGGATAGCCAACAAAATAATCCGTTTGGAGGCGAGCTAAAGTGAGAAGGATTCTCCACGCCGTTGCGTGTAGGGTTTGGAGCCCACCACATGAAAAATAAAATCCAATGAAAAATGTATATCATACTCGGATGAGAGATCCTCCTTTTGATGACGGCCCCGCAAATGTTTTAAGGATTAATTGAAAAGGTGCTGCTGTCCAGCTGGTTGAAGTCTCCATAAAGTTAAATGTTGACACCACCGCCGTCCAAGAAATACGTTGAACGGGACACGGGTGGAGGAAGGTGGGTCCTTGTAAAATTTAGAAGAATAATGCTATACCAAAGGTGCCTCGAGCACATTAATGAGCGCTGCCCAAGCCAAGACGTCAAAATTGAACTTGGCGGCTTCAATGCTAGGGTGGGCAAAGAAGGTATTTTTGGTACAAGTGGAAATTCAACCCGCACGACGAAACATCACCACATGATCTGAGACTAATCGACATCACTGCGGCCCGAAATATGGTTGTTTATAGCACTAGATTGCAGCACAATCCCAAATTCATTAAGCAACTTGGCTGTCCCCTGATCGAGAAACACAAAACCAGATCGATCATGTTGTGATAGACGGAAGACATGCATCTAGTGTTTTATATAGCGCTCTTAAATTTTCGGGAAGTGTACCCAAAACTAACCTATTAGAAAAAACTTGTATGCTCGTTTGCAACGGATGTTCTCCAACAGTTAGATTGCTCCTATGTCCTTGGTATACTTCGAAGGTCGAAGCAATTTTCGGCGGAGCTCTTCCTCCAATTTGAGGTATAACTCTATGCTGTTCTCTTCCGAGGGCGACCACCATTAGAAAACTTAATAGAGGTAGAGTTTTGAATCAATCGTTTCCAAGAATGCTCGATTCGTTGATAAAGAGAAGAAATATGTCATATGAAAAAAAAGAACAGAAATACTAGGCTGAGGCTTAACGAATCACATTAATTTGGCGGAGATATCCATGGAGAATGGATTTCGGGCGTTTATTTTCGAATGAAAGTGACAAACCTGTATTGTTCTTTAAGAATGACGAGATATGGTACTTCCATGGAAGACCACGGCGAACTTTTGAAAATCATTAAACATATATGTATGTATATAAAAATATGTGGTTTCAACAAGACTTCAATTACTGCATTAGATATTTTTATTTTTTTTATATTTTTATCTCATTTCATTTCTTCCATCCAAAGAGTTTGAAGCAGAGATTTTGCCACAATCATTGTTGGTATTTGCATGTGTTTTCAAATTGTTTATTATATACACGGTGTGTTCTAAAAATAACCGAAATTTATATTTAAATCATACAACATACAGCGCCATCTATTGAAAATTTGCAACATTAAAATCATCCTCTTTCAAACGCATCTAACATCATGTAAGTCGGATGACAGATGTAAAAGTGACAGCCATTTCAATAAGATCAAAAGTGTGCTAATGGTTCAAAAATAAAACGGAACAAAGAGCAAATATAAAATTTTGTGTCAAACTTGAAAAAAAAAATTAATGAAAAAAGTTTATTGTGATGATTGTGTGAGTCGTACGCAAGTTTATACGTGGTTTACACTATTTAAAAATGGTCGTGAGGATTTAAATGACGACCCTAGAGCAGGACGTCCAGAAACTAGTAATCGTGCAGAACTGGTGGAAAAAGTCCGTGAAATCATTGGTAGCGATGCAAATTTTACGACGAGAATGTTGGCTGATGAATTGAATACGAGTAAAAACACTATTTGGAGAATTTTAAGTGAAGATTTGGGGAAAAGAAAGATCTGTGCGCGATTTGTTCCACATGAATTAAATGACGACCAAAAAATCGCTCGAATTTTTAATGAAAAAAGAGATTGCTCTCATCGACCATCCTCCGTATTCGCCTGATCTATCACTATGTGACTATTTTTCATTTCCAAAACCAAGATGAAGGGAGCATTTTATGATGATATCCCAGCCATTCAAGCAGCCGTAACCGAGGTACTGAAGAACATTTCTGTAAATGACATAAAAAAATCTATGCATGCGCTGGTTGATCGTTCCAAACGTTGTGTTCAGTCAAATGGAACCTATTTTGAATAAATAATAACTTTCAAAGATAATATAATGTGTATTTTATTTTACATCTGTAATTTTGGATAATTACCTATAACTTTGTTTCATACAGGAAGAGAAGTAGTTCACCGCAGACATTTCAAATTGTTGAACCGATTTCAATAAAATGTTTCTCTTGTGTTCAGATCTGTTTGAGAATGGTGTAGAAAAGTACCTTTCACGGGAAGTTGTCTAAAAATCTACTTTATTTGAAAGAACGCACTTATGGTTCACTTAACTAGAAATTTGGTACACTTTTTCTCTTCAGGTAGTGGATCAGATATCGATCTATGTTTTTGAAGGTAAATTAAGACTTTTAAGAGTTTTTTACAACTGTACAAGATATGAAAATCAGCAATAATATATTGTTCTTGTTGGTGTAGTGGTAAGTCTAATAATGTGTGTACGAAGCTTCTGGTTACTTATGAGTCCTGCATTTTTTTTTTTTGCAAAGCGACAAACTGGTATGAAATTGTCCGCAAAATACTAGTTCATATACTAGAATTTTTGAAAACTAGTCAAGATTTTACCAAAAAATACTAGTATAATTCTAGTGCATGGTAAACTAGTACAGTTTTGTGCTTTAAATAGTGGTATAAGACTGATTTACAAAAAATTACTATGATTTCGTTTTCAATCTATATATTTGTCAAGTAAAAAGTTCGTTCGTTTTTTTTTTATTGATTTTTCAAAATATGATAACTTTGTGTACATTTGTCCGATTTAAATCAAATATGCGCCGTTTTGTTCGTAAACCTGTTGCCAACGAAAAGCCTACTTCATTATACACCTCTTGTAGAAGGCTGCAATTCTCAACCAATTTATTTACGATAAGACAATTTAAAAGATTTGAAATTCAATTTAAATTTGTTTTTTCTTACTTGAATCTCTATTTTAAAAGAAATATAATCAAGATTCCAATTTTTCATATTATTTTTGCACTTTGAGTTCTGTTGTTTTATCTTATCTTCACCGGGATGTGCTTTCAAAAAGAAAGCAGTAGGCAAGCCTCAATCGCTTGAGCAAAATTGCTTTTCAAATTATTTTTAGGAAATGAACATATCGAGCTAGCAGAGAGATGAGATATGTACGCTTTCGTACACTAAATACACAATAAAAACAACATTTTCTTACTCAAAATAAATTTTTATTAGCACAAAATACAAAAATAATTCACAAATATGTATGTACGTATGAAAGTAATTTAATTGAAGCTTAACGCGGACACATTGCATGTCTTCCACCATCAATGGGCAGTGTTGCGCCCGTTATAAAACTGGACTTATCGCTGGCTAAGAAAACAATAGAGTCGGCCACCTCCTTGGCCTCGCCTACACGACCAAGTGCATGTGTCGCCTTGCAATCTTCCAAATATTTGGCATACTGCTCTTCCGTCATGCCCATACGTTTGTGAATGTCAGTGATGATAACACCAGGATTAACGGCATTTACACGCACTTTATGTGGCGCCAAATCCAAGGCAATACAACGTGTGAACTGATCAAGAGCAGCCTTGGAAGTGCAATAACTGGAAATACCCGGGAATGAACGTAGTCCGGCTACGCTGGAGACATTCACAATATTGCCTTGCGTTTTTATTAAGTGTGGCGCGGCGTATTTGGTTAGAAGAAAGACTGCACGTAAATTCGTATTTAAAATACGATCAAATTGTTCAACTTCAATATCCAAGATGTGACCGGTATCTGCTATGCCCGCATTATTGACCAATACATCCAATTGTCCGAGCTTATCAACTGTTTCTTTTACAATACGTTCCGCATCCACAGTGACGTCAGCAATAATGGCAAATATTTCAACTTTGTTGTTGGCTTTTTTACAAGCCTCCTCACTCTCCTTTAAATTTGTCTCATTCCGTCCAACTAGTGCGACTTTAGCGCCTTGTTTGGCGAACTCTACTGCGGTTGCTGCACCAATACCCGAACTAGCGCCGGTTACAATAACAACTTTTCCAGCTAAACTCATTGCGAACTATTCTATTTCACGGCGTAGAATAAACTGATGAGTTACAGAGTATTTATGTATCTTATATTTGCCTTGCTCTCTTAGATTACAAGAGAAATAACATTGAAATGGAAAGATAGCGATGCAAAGTATAAATATCTTTTACGTGTCAAGAGAACTGAAGAGCTTATTTTTTTTTGTTTTTTTCTTTCTTTTAATTTTTGTTAGAAATTGATTGATTGAAATATAAGATATTCTAAAAATTAAAAACGTTTTAAGTATCTACTTTGGGGAATAACTCACTCGTGTGGTTTCCTTCATCTTGTTCCCACATCTGCAATCAGTTTGCGAAATTTTGCTAAATCGAATTATAAAGGTACATACATACATTCATACATACGAGCATGCACAATTTAACGGCCCGTTTTTAACCACTGAAGCGTGTTTGGCCGAGCTCTTCGTTTAGTTTCTGCGCGTGTCTTGCTGTTTTTCCACAAATTGAGTGATCCTCACGGCTGTCTCTGAAAAGTTGATGGATTCTTATGGGGAGGTTATTTTTCATGTCGTAAACACATAAACACACACCGCTGTGCAATAAATGCTGCTAACTTCTCGGCACCGGCGACTGGCAACTTATAAAACCTGTTGCGTGTTTGCAGCTGAGATTTTAAATTTCATGCGTTCTCTAACTTATAATTTGTTGCTCTGGATAGTGCTGTATTCTAAAATGGTTGAAAATGGCTTAGATGATTTCTCATAACCTCTCTTTTGTTGGTGGTATCTAAATGGCAGAGCTTTTTTTCACTTTTAACGGTCACTACGAATCTAATGAAAGAGTTAACATCACTCCGCAACTCCCTTAGGAGAGCTCCACTTCTCGACACTTTCAACTCAATTCTCACACTTTCTAGGAGTGACTGCTGTTTGAGATGGAGTCACGGACGGAGGTACGGTAAGTTCTGAGACCAGCTTAGACGATACTTTCTTTCTTGAGAAAGAACCACCGTCACAATAGTCGAGTGTTTAGCATTGCGTACTGACATTCAGAACCCCATGGTTTGAATCCTGCTGATACGACTCATATCCAAAGCTAATTGCGATCGCCCCTCAGCGGCAGGGAATGCCAAAGAAAATTTCCTCATACAATTGTACCGCCGGTATCGTGTGGGCACTCGTTACATGCGAGACATATGTTAGTCTGTATAGCTAAGCGCTAAATCTGCTACAACATTCAGACTTAAGTTGCGCCTGTGCCAGTGATGCTCAGGCGACATCAGATGGTTTCACTAGCCCCGCTTAGGCACAAGTTTGATAAGTCTAAGTCGCCGAGGTCATCTAATGGTAGGCCCAAGAAACGAGCTGGTTCGGCGGGGTTGGATCAAAGGGAGAGGGGGGGGGTTAGATGAGTTGGTTTGAGAGGGCATGTGAAGAGGTGGTTAGTGTCGTGTGGAGACTCCCCACACACAGGGCATACGTTGGGTATGCTGGGGTCTAGTCTGGATAAGTAGGAGTTTAACCTGCTACAATATCCAGACCTGAGTTATGTCAGGGTTTCTGGTTTCTTCTCAGGGTGGGGTTTTGGCAAGTCCGCAACTTCTTCAACTGCGTCTCGTTTGTCACCGGTACCATGGCTGGCTAATGCTTTGAGGATTTTGTTATGGCTTAAGAGTTTTACGGCATTTGCGGTCGTATGCGGAGTTTTTTGGGTAGTTTATGATCGGAATTTTGAGGCAATCGACTATCACATAGAGATCGAGCTTGCAGTCCCTCGTCCAGCTGGTGAACAGAGTAGCCACAGATTTTTAAGGTTTTAGTCTACATTGTTTTGCAGTGGAAAAGTGGGAAAGGTCGTCTAGGTTAATTTGCTCCCTTCATAACTCAACTATGCGTTAGTGAAAAACTCGCTTGATTTCTTCCACTGAAGCTTATGCTTATCTTAAGCCTAAAGTGCAAATGAAACTGAATTTCTATATTATTAAGCAAAATGGTGAAATAGTGAGAATTGAACAAGATATTTAATAAAAGATTATTTTATGAGTATTTGATAAGAAACAAATTTCTAATTTATTCATGTATTTTTTTAATGCCTTAACAGTCAAGTAAAGAGCAATGCATGCTCTTTAAAGAGACGAGTTTTGTTTTTGTAGTAATCTTTCACTTAACCAAGCGCAACTAACGCGGACACATAACATGCCGTCCACCGTCAATGGGTAATATTGCGCCTGTAATAAAACTGGCAGCTTCACTAGCCAAAAAAGCAATAGATTCCGCCACCTCGTTTGGTTTGCCCACACGCCCCAAAGCATGCGTCTCTTTGGCATGTTCCAAATGTGTGGCATACTGCTCCTCAGACATGCCACCGCGCCGATGTATGTCTGTTATTATCAAACCAGGGTTTACAGAGTTCACGCGTACTTTTTTCGACGCCAAATCCAATGCCATGCATTTGGTGAACTGATCTAAACCCGCCTTGGAGACACAATAGCTTGAACTGTTTGGAAAGCAGCGTGTGCCGGCTAAGCTAGACACATTCACGATATTCCCTTGCGTACGTATCAAATGTGGTGCGGCCAGTTTGGTTAATATGAATACAGCACGTAAATTAGTATTCATTATACGATCGAATTGCTCCACGTCAATATCCAATATATTTCCACCAGCCAAAATACCTGCATTGTTAACTAAAACATCCAGCTGGCCAAATTTTTCAATTGTTTTATTGATAATGCGCTCAGCATCTACAGTTATATCAGCTTTGACCACTAACAACTCCGCTTTATCATTTGCTGTCCGGCAAGCTGTCTCGGTTGCTTTAAGATTCTCCTCATTGCGCCCGACGAGCACCACTTTAGCGTCTAATTTGGCAAAATACTCTGCCGTGGCGGCTCCAATGCCTGAACTAGCGCCAGTTACAATAACTACTTTGCCGGCAAAAGTCATATTCTATAGAAATATTTTCTTAAAAATAGCAAACAATTAGTTTTTAATTAAATACACTTGTTGCTAGCTAACACGCCACTGAAAGAGAGAACAACTAGAAAACTTTCATAAACACGACCACAAAGCATAGTTTGCTCTTAAAGTTTGACAAAACAGTGCTGCCAGTTATTTTTTTTTTTTTTAAAAAAGGGAACAAAAAAAATTTTTTAAGAACTTTGAGTAACGAAATAGTTTGCTCCAAACAGCAGTGGAATTTTTATGAAACAAACGATTGACAAGTACTGAGAGCTAAGTTTCAGCGTAGCAGAGTTGTACTTCCTTGTGAATAGAACCTAAACCTTTTTGTCAGTGTTAACTTAAAGTCCTGCTGTCCTAAGACCAGCTATTGATGCTTCCAGGTGCCTGATTCGCCAGAGATATGAGTTGTTAGACACTTGCCGCTAATGGTCTCAAACACCATCCGTCGTCAGCATAGACTGTAATCATAGCAACTTAATCTCCTGTCTTGAACAGCAATTTATTGACCGCAAGAGCCCAAAGCAGAGCTAAAAACGCTCCACCTTGTGGTATTCTTCTGTGCACATTCCGCGTTATCACATCTAGTCCCTATCGTGCTTGGATCTTCTTGCAACTTATAGTATCGAGTCCCTGAGAATAGGGTAACACCTGTTGATTCTAGCCTATCTATTGAGGAATGTTTGAAAACGTTACTAAAGTATTGTTAGTTAAGGTTACCTGGAAATTAATTTTCCAGCATGATTTTCCTACGTTATATTCACCATTTTAAGAACAGCCGGTAGAATAAGCTTTTCTGTAATGGTATGAAGCTTTTAGCTTTTAACCACTCGGTATACGACCATCGCTACTTTCTACGGCGCACACTTATGACCCCAGGGTCCTGTTGTTTTGCCGGCTCCTTACCTCTGCAATAAATAACAACGATGGAATTCTGGCCTTGGTGTATTACTTTTGAATGATACAGATATGTATGCATGTGTGTATTTTTACTAGCTCTCATTCTTTAAAATATATTAACTAAGTTAAGTCACATACCTCACAGATTTTTATTCGACAACTTTCCCAATTAACTTTTTATTTTCAATTTCAGTTTTGATTGGCGCTCTATAACGGCTTAAGAGATTTTCGGTGTGCGTTTCGATGTTTTTCCAACGTTTAATATACTTAAGTTGTCTCCGAGCAGGCAATGGATTTTTATGAGAAGCTTTTTTAACTTTCTGGCACTTTGATTTATTAGTTATTTTTCCTTTGCAATCTTGTTAAATCTCTTTTTGAAAGGCACACAATCTCGTAGCCAAAGCTTTGTTCGCTTTGCTGCCTGAGCAGCTGTTAGTACAACAGCTGACTGCACAGTGCGCTGCCATATGTTTTTGCTTAATGCGCTGCCATTTCTTTTATGAGTTGATAAGAAAACTTTAGAAACTTTTTTGGTTTAACATTAAAGTTTTGTTTTAAAAGTAACAGTATCAAGTAACTGTTTGAAAAAATTGTAAATATTTTACCTATTTTTAAAATAACATATTTAGTTTTATTACAGAAAATTATCCCTCCTAAATATATAAATGCCATTTCGTATTTATTTCCACAAAACCGAACATTTAATTTCAAATATGTGAAAAATATATGTATGTATGTATATGTAATTCAATGTGTGTATGTATGTATGTATGTAAATCCAAAACCTAGCAGAATTATAAAAGAAATAGACGACTTAATGCCATCTATGTTGCTTTTGCCTTGGGTTTGGGCTGCCTCGGCTGTAAGCGTACACGGAAGCCCTCTTCACGTTTCAATATAATATCGGCTTGAAGCTTAAAATCGGCCTCGGTCAAATCGGAGTGGACACGATAGTTTCGTAGAATGGTGGATAGAAGTATTTTCAGTTTGAGCATGGCGTATTTGCGACCTGAGGGAGGAAGAAAATTATAACAAATATTGATAATAAAAATGTAAGTTCAAAAATACCATAAGTCGCCGTCAACACGAACACTTACCAACACAACTCCGCGGACCCGCTGAGAACGGCACAAAAGCATAGTAATGCCTATTGGCTTGACGTTCCGGCAAAAAATTATCTGGATTGAAAATGCTGGGGTTTTCATAAATTTTCGGATTGCGATGCAATTTATAAGTGGCCACAGTAACGGTAGCACCACGTGGTATAACATATGGACCCGATGCCAATTTTAAGTCTTCCTGCAATTCACGTGCTATCAACGGCACCGGTGGATACATGCGGAGCGTTTCCATCAAACAACGTTCCATATATTTCATTTCCAAAGTATCTTGAAATGTAGCCGGTCTATCGGAATCACCGAATATTTCATCCAATTCGGCAATCACACGATCCTGTATATGCTGATGTATGCCCATCAAAGAGAGAAAGAATGACGAACCGGCTGCGGTTGTGTCGTGTCCCTCAAACATAATCGTATCCACTTGTTCTTTAATTTCGGTATCACTGAGTAGTGCACCCTTTTGCGCACTCTCCAAAAGTAAATCGAGAAAGGCCAAACGTTTCTTCTCGCCCACATCATTCTCCTCCACATCCAAATCATCCTTCAAGCCCTCCGCCTGACCAAATGACAAACCCTCTACGGATGTTTCTTTTTCAGGCGATACTGCTGCTGCGGCTGCCGCTGCGGATGTGGTGGGTGTTGGTGGTGGCGTAATCTTCTTGCTTACCCTTTCCTGCTGTGCCAATGAACCACGTGTACCGTTAGCGAATGCAGCTTTCTTGAATTTAATCACTTTGGTTGTGAGTCCATGTATGATATTGAGCAATTTGCCTTGCTCCTGATAATATTTAGTGAGTGTGAAGAGGAACTCATTGCGTAGGAGTATACTTCGTGAACGTAAATGCAGTATGTCGCACATTTTCATAACGGCCAAGGCGTACTCGTAACCGGATTTATCTTGCGTCTCCTTCGAAACACCCATAGCGGTTTCTAAAAATATTTTGAATTGAAAAAAAATTAGTTAGATGAAAAAAAGATCGGGGCGGTAATAAAAATGGAACAAAACACGCTGCAACAAACTTTTGAAATTATTAAAATTCACCCCAAGAATGATGATGAATTCTGGCAGAGAGGAATCGTAAAACTAACCCATTTTTCAGTCGTCGTTAAAACACCGAATTTCGCATGAAGACTTGGGCTTTAAGGCTTACAACGCTCAGTTAACACCAGAACTCAAGGCGGCCGATCATTAACAATGTCGCATTATTGCTGTTTGGGTCCTTGTAATCCATAAAAATGATCTGGAACTTCATCGAGAAATCATCTTGACTGATGACACCCATTTGCACCTCGATGGCTACGTCAATATGCAAAGCTGTAGTATATGGGGCGCGGAAAACCCAAGATTTATTGTTGAGAAGCCTGCCCATCCTCAACGTGTAACTGTTTGGTACGGCTTATGATCGGGCGGGGTCAATGGACCTCTCTTTTTTAAAAATGAATGGATTACGCTATCAAGAGAAGATTAATGAATTATGACCGGAATTGGCTGGATTACGATCTAGATAACGTTCACTTTCACAAGATGGCGCTACGTGCCACACAAGCCACAAAACCATCGATCTTTTAAGAGAAAAGTTCGTACTGACGATTCTATTTGAAATTTTCGTTCACGGACTTTTTCAGCGTAAATGTACGCAGAAGAGTCTCTCCTCATCCATGGCTCTAACTATAAAGCATGTGTCTCAGAGAAACTTTAGAAAGCCAACTTGAGGGACCTCATTGTTTTTACAGAGAGCCTCTCAAGATTTCAAACAAATCTCTTGTAATCTTGGACTTATAGAATGTCGGTAAGACGTTATAGAAGGGAAAAGAGTTTAATTGGAAATTCTCTACCGATTTGACGTAGCTGCATGCACGAGAGACTTCCTTACTTTCAAAAGGTTTCCGAATTTCCTTCGCTCTGCCGACCCAGCTGTTGCTGTTACCCAATCGGAAATGGTATCAAATTCATCTGCTTCCTCACCCATTGATTAAAAAATTCGATCTATTTATTGTACACACTCTTTCTTTAACAGTTTCACAAACACACAAACACACACACACACACACACACACACACACATATACTCAATCACCAGCGAGTCTGCTTTCTACCAGCTGTATCGTTTTTCCGCAAGCAGCACTTGAGCGAATTTCCATTTCTATTGTGTTTCAGACAGTTTTTATGAATGCAAGTCCATGGAACCGACTTGGCGAGCAGGTGAACCACATACATTATTACTCCATCAGCGCCTGGCGTCTCCTTATGTTAATCACCTAAACTATTTTCTTTGGCTTACACTTTCGGCCATTAGCGAGAGAGAGAGAGAGAGAGAGAGAGAGAAAGAAAATAGAGAGAAAGGGGAATAGAGGTACTGAGGGAGAGAAACACCTGTTATTAGCTTTTGCAATACATAAGTCGTTGGTAACTCGCCGCTCACCGCTGCTCGCTCGTTGCTCATCGATCGTTCACTATGCTGATGATGTAAGTTGGGGAGTTTTCAGTCTTTGTGGCTATTTGCTTTCCTTTTACTATGGCTTTCTTCTCTATCTTTTCGCGAATTAAATAATCGGTGGCTTGATTACCGGTTTTTGTATGTTATTAGATTAGGTATTGCATGCAGATGGAAAATTTTCCAGGTTAATTTCCTTTTGTCTACTATTAGTATGAAATATTTGTTGTAATAAGAAAATGGAAATTTAAAAATAAAAATATTAAAATGCATTAAAAGTTGTTTTGGTTTTGATTTGAGGGCTCTTGAGTTGATTTATTAGTCTGTTTACAAATATACGTATAGACATACATATACATTCAGAAATGCATGTATGTATGTGTATTTATTGTATACCGCGAGCAACGTTTAATGAGTAATTACTACACGGGAGGTCACTAAGAGCTATTCGCCAGGTCTCCTGAATAAATATTACAAGAAAGATCTCTGTCTACGGCCGTAAAATTAATCATTGAATTTTGGTATGCGTGACCTTAGCTCTCACCTTCTGCAAGCTTTCAGAAATAAGCTGACGTTTATTTTCATCTCTTTCCAATGAATGTCAATGGACTATACATTTGCCCCACCCATTTACGACGAAGTTTGGATTGGATTGCATGTTTGCAAAGGGTGACGTATTGACATAATCGCTCAGCCGGTAATTCAAGCAGCCAAGTTTACTACGAAGATGTCATTACGAAGATGTCATTACTGCTGTGGAGCAGAGTATGGAAGATGACCCGAAACAGTCTACCCGCTATCGCACGCAACAACTGAAGCTGCGCTCTCGGCTTGCGGGCTTACAAAATCGAAATCGTGCTAGAATTAAAGCCGAATGACCATCAAGTCACACACAGGTTCGGTAAATGATCACAAAACGAGATGACCATTGACCCCGATTTTCACAAGAAAATTTTGTTAAGCGATAATATCCGCACGCCATTGCTGAGATACCGTTATATATAATTGGCGCTCTGTAACCGCTTAAGCGATTTTCGGCCAAGCTCCTCCTCCAATTTGTGCTTATGCGTCTTGATGTTTGCCCAACAAATGCAGGAACCTACAGTTCATACTAAGCCGCCTCCGAACGGTTGTTGGTTATTTTATGACCAGCTTGATTTCATGTCAGAAATACACTCAGAGGGGTTGTCATTCTCTGCCGAGGAAGAAAGTTTTATTTAAATTAATTTTCCATAACTTTTGTTAGTTAGTCGCACGGGTATTTGAGCCCGAGCCTTCCGAATGGCAATATGCAATGATAACCACTCGACTAACACGGCCGCCTGAGGCTCCGTCACATACTCAAAAAGTCACTGTTCGGTGTGCTCTGCGAGCATTTCTTTAAAAATGAAGCTGGCCAATGTTGCAGCTATAAATCCAAGATAAATGAATTTTTCGTGCCTAAATTGGTGGATGTTGATATGGAGGGTCTTTGGATCCAACAAGACGGCGCCATATGCCATACAGCCAGATTGGGTAAGGTTAAGCTGGTTAACCCATTGAGTCTCACATAGACGATAGTTTTGTACATCCATAGTGTTGACAGGCATACTACAATAAATGCGACCAAGCTGTACTGCTACACTCTCTATTGTGTCTGTAGTTTGAAGAACATTGCTATTCTTTTCCCGAAATCATGTAATCAGTTTGCAATGTTGTCACCGTTGATTGTCTCAGAACTTTCAGGGCCTTCAAACTTTGTGTGAAGCACTGAACCATGGAGGAGCACTTAAGGTTCTGTAACACTCCCATCGTAGGACGTACCACCCAGTTATTGTGAGGCAGTGTAAATTGTAGATAGAAAAAACTTTATTAACTTTATGCAAACGATAACTTAGTATAATGACGGGGTATCACCCTCTGAGATATCATCTCCACCAGACTGGTAAAATGGAATCGGCTGAATCTAGAGCATGCACAGAATATGACAAAACGCTGGAGCATTGTCTTAGCGAGTGTTCGGCCTTCAGACGATTGAGACGTCATATCTTTCACGGTGCCCCTAGATCCAGTTGTACGGAGGTGGACACATATGGCGGGAAGGAATTGAATAAATAAGGTTATGCGGGGAAGCACAATAAGCCTACTCTATGATTTAAGACTGGCCGCTGCGATTTATGAACGACTTGGTGGTATCTATCGGATAATAGTTTTAGGTTGAGTAAAAAAAAAATTCCTTCTCAGTAGCGTCTTCGGTCTGCACTGTACGCTGCCTCTAAGGATGTGCATTATCTATTAGAGTAAATCCGACAACAGTCAACACATCCAGACTGCCACTGAATAAATTTATTTTTACTTTTCAATGAATTAATGTATTTTTATATCAAATTTCCACACCTTTAAAATCACATTTGATGGGATTGCAGCAAGTTGAATGTCCTAAACTAACCTCACGTTCCAACTAGACTAATTCTAATGCAACACACATGGCTGGGAACGTGGATATGGGCTGAGGGCTAAGGGCTCAACTAATTAAAATGCGACAAGTGTACATTTAGATATGTATGGATGTATGTATGTATGTATGTAGATTTTCGATACGCATAAATATTAATAAGAAAATACTCTTTCCAGCAAAATTTATCCTGTGCACGTAGCAACAACAACAACAACACTTCTCAGGGAGTTATACAACCAGTCAATCATAGCTCAGCACGCAACATTGGAAGTCATTGAACTTTAGAAAATTTAAATAAAAGACAAATTCTGACAACAAATTTGATTGACAATATTTATAAGGTAATCTAAAGTTACATGCGCCCACATGTACATACATATGTACATATATATGTAAGCATGTACGAACTTACTACAAGCCTATTTATTGCAGAATTTGATTTTGTGTTGTCTAAAGCTTATTGCCATCGGTGGCGTAGTCGCCAAGCTGAATGCGAATTGAGTAGAAAAAAATAGCGCCAAAGAAAAGTCGGTTAGAGGAAAGCAAGTAAAACTCCAAAACTGGTTGGCATGCCGTTTGCGATTGGCATGAAAGCGTGTCTTATGGGCGTCCGTCCGTGCCTGCATGCGGGCTTGTTTGATTGTTGGTTGCAAGAAAGAAGGAAAAGAAAAGAGTTCAATTTTTTTTTAATTTCTACGAAAGCCGGTGCAAGTGGCAAGCTAACATTGTTATGTAATACGCTCATTCACTTACACAGGCGCATAAATTATGCACACGCACATGAGTGAATTTTAATTTTTGCTTCTCCATTGCAAGTCTCTGTGGCTGCAATTTCTATGCAATGAAGTTGGCTAAAATCAAGTGTATCGCAGGGAAATCGTTCTTGCATGGGTACAGTGTTGCAAAAAATTATACGTGCGGCAGTAGATCTGCTGCGGTTTGCGGTGAAAAATAAAATTTACAGCTAAGGTCGAAATTCTACTCTTCTGCAGTTGTTCTACGATATGAAAGACCATTTAACGACAATGTAATGTAGATAAACTAATGGAAAACATCCACTCTGGCCGTCCTTCGAGTGTTGTTTCGATTGCCCAGGAGCTAAGTTTTGCACAAAAAACAGCTTGGAACCAGTTAAAAAAGGCTGGGTGACATATGAGTTGACGAGAAAAATCCTCATCGATCAAAGTTCCAGCTGGCAAGCGCTGCTCAATATTGACATAATCGATCTACTTCTGAAGCGAATGGTGACTGGTGATAACTTAAAACAACTTTAAGCGAAAATTGTACTGGTCGAAGGGCAGTGAGTCGGATTGGAATGTCATTGAATCATCCAATATGAGCCGCTGCCCTACGATGAAACTCTTAATTCGGCCTGTACTGTCAGCAATTGCACCGTCTGAAGGAAGCAATCGTCCAAAAGCATGTTTCATCATATAGATCACACACATCGATAGGGACTCCCCAGAGGCAGGAAGAGCTTGGTTGGGAGTTCTTATACATCCACATTTTAGTACGGTCCTCGCACCAAGTGATTCATCTCTGTTCCTGTGTATGGGGAAGAGGAGCCTGTTCCTTGCAAAAATACTAGATAACGAGTTACTTGATCTCATATTTTTTTCTTCGAAAATTCTCTTCATAAAAGTTATTTATAATTTTTTTTTTATATACATATGTACGTACGTATGTACGAGGGAATTAAAAAGTTCGGTCATTTGGTGGCTTTCAATTTATTTTTGTTAAATCCTTTCCTTTCAAATTTTAGAACCATCGGCTCAAATGGAGACGAGAAAACGCAAGATAGCTGAGCATAGGTCAGACGAAGCTCGCCTAGAGATTCTCTGCTAGTGTCGTCGTAATTTACAGCCAATACAAAAATTCAGTGAATGCCAAATTGCATGTGGAAGGATTGTACCGTATTTAAAGACCATTTCTAAGTGGTTCCGAAGGTTCTAGAGCGGACATTTTTCTCTAGAGTACGAGAGCCGCGAGGAGGTCAATCAAAACAAACGCGAATCATCTGGCGTAACGGCCGACAGAAGTGACTGTATGCTGACATGGTTAAGTCTATCATACATCTTGGGATATTGGTCTCATGAAGAGCGTTGTAGAAAACAACACTAACTTAAACCTGGAGCTCATCATGCAACGGTCAACGCTCATTATATCAAAGGGTCGTTAGAAACCAACCAAATGTCACGTTTGGCCCAACCGTTTATTAACAACGCTGGCAAATCTGACGATGCGAAAACTGTGTCAAAGCCTTAGAGACGAGCTTAAGACGAGAATTAATAATAATGGGTGCAAAGACTGTACGTGTCCGAGCTCTAGATGGCCTCTTCAATGTGATAGGGGTGAATGAGTTTTCTGTCAAGAACTCGTAATCGGTACTGGACCTCGGCGTTTATTATAATATTATAGAAGTGCCATTTTTGTTAACGACTGTTGCACTGAAGTCGTGTATCGTGGGATTTCGAAGTATCTATTAGCATTCAGCTCTCATCGATGTATAGGCAGTGAGGTCAATGCAACCCGAGTTGCATTTTAGGATCTTGACTGCCCAGCTTTTTGGGTCTAAGTCTTCAAGCGTGTTGGCTCTCATCTTTTCAAAAACTTTTTGAGCCAACGCATGGCAGGTCTTTTAGAATCTCGACTGCAAAGCTTTTTGGGTCTGAGCCTTCAAGCGTGTTGGCTCTTATCACTTTAAAAACTTTGTGAGCTATAGCGCCGCAGGTCTTTTAGGATCTTAACTGCCCAGCTTTCTGGGTCTAAGTCTTCAAGCATGTTGGCTCTCATCTTTTTAAAAACTTTGTGAGCCAACGCATGGCAGGTCTTTACGGATTTTCTTTTTAGAATTGTCAGCCTTACTCAATCACCGCGGGATCCCGAAATTTTTATATGAAATCCGTGATACTTGGTTGTCAAGAGCACACACTTTTCCAGAGTCTCTCACCTACACTTGTGGTGGTGATGAATGAAATTAAGTCAATACAGTAAAGCAACTGTATGAACTCACGGCGACAACACCCAATATCCGTCGAATCTATTACTCAATGAGAGCAGTGCTGACTATGTATGCACGCTTGTGTATATGTGGTGGTAGGCAACAGACTCATTGCATTTGGCACGTTGACGATTTTTGTTTTTGGCGTGTGCTATGGCAAATATCACACTGAATTCATACATATGTACATATGTATATTACTGCCAACCTGCTGTGCAGGCATCAATTTCAGTTACCAATTGAGTTACTGCAATGTCATTAACATATTTCTTTAATTACAACATTTTTTTTCGTTTTTTCGTTTTTACATTTGGAGTTTTGTAATATTATTTATGTATTCTCTAAAAACGGCCATAATGGACTCGAGCCGATAATTCAATGAGAGGCTTTGTTGGCGTATTTGCAAAGCCAATGGCTACATTAGTTTTCATTAGTGAGGTTATGTAAGACGAAAATTAGTCACACACAAGTCGATAACATGATTGGGTTGTGAAATTGTTGAAAATATGCAATATTTTATACACTCTGTGAATATCCCTGCCGCTACAGTAACAGACAAAATACAAGCAAATTTAGTTAGAAGCTGCTATTAATATACTCATGTTGTTTATTTACCGTTAAATATTTTTAATGCATTTTTTAAATGAACGCATGGACTCATTCATAAGTGTTCGGTTGTGTTAAAAATAGCTCATTGTAGAAGAAAGCCGTTTTAAATGCATTTATTATGGCATATGTACATATGTATGTCATGTGATCAGTTGAGTGATTCGCCGCTGTCTGTCTCTGTGACGGCGACTTTTGTTAAGTCAGGTATTTTGATGGAAATTTTTCTTCGACAAATAGATTAGATGAAATGCTTTATTACACTGGTCAACAGACTATTTTAAGTCGCAAAACGTACTGTAATATTACAAGTTACTCTTAAAGGAAATTAGAAGGAAATAAAATTAAAAAGAAAAAAATATATATATTAATTTAATTATTATATTTAAGAAAGAGTAAAATAAAAAAATGACTTGAGAAGTAATTACAATACTAGAAAAACTGAAAAACTGTGGTTGGAATATCGAAGCAACATAGAATTTTTTCAAATTAATATTAAAAATTCCCGGTCAAAAGGGTTTTCCAAGAAGAGGCGTTCTTTTGATATTTCAAATAAAAATGACATTTTTTGAGATAAGTGATCGGATGTTTATTTTTTCAATATTCAGAGGAATACAACACCGTGTCCTTTTTGCGAAACTTTCCAAATGGCAAATGGCTGCTGTATGCCTTGAATAACTTCACGTATACCATCTTTGCGGTTATGAATCGACTGTGCTTTAAAGGAAGAAGCTGCAAGCTGTTAAATCGCAGAATCTTGGCGGTCAGTTCGCGACACAACTCGGTCCGTAAACTATTCCCTCAAAAGAGCCAAGGTTTCGTTGCTTCTGTGGCACATAGCGATGTCTTGTTGAAAGTGAACATTGTGCTGAACAATAAGAATTCCGGCAGTAATTAGACAGCTCTCGAAAGCGTAATCCATTCACCGCAACTATTGCTCCAGCCTCATTAACGAAATAATAAGGTTGCCCGTCGTACCATAAACCGCACCGAAACGTTACACTTTGAGGACGGAGAGATTCTCTGTAATAAATCTTGGATTTTTCGCGCCCTTGATGCAACAGCTTTGCTTAGTGACATAGTCATCGTAGTGTAAATGGGCTTTAACAGTCAATATGAATTTTCTATGAAACTCCGCATCATTTTCATGCAATTCAAGAATCCATTCAGAGCAATGACACGCCGCTGTTGATGATCGGCCGACTTGAGTTCTTGTGCTAACTGAACTCTATAAGACTTAAAAGCCAAGAATCTATGCATGATACGGTGTAACGCCGTTTGTGGAATGTGGAAGGGGCGACAAACCTGCACCAATTTCTCCACGAATCTCTGCATTCCAGTCCGACAAAAAAAAAAAAAAAATTGGTCTAGTTCTACGAACCAGCTCAGCCAAGTCTTCACCATTTTTATAGCGAATTTTAATAATTTCAATGTGCTGTCCCACCATAATTCAGAAAGTTCAAGAATTAATATTAGAAATTAAAAAAAAAAATATAAAATAAAATCATACAACAACAACGGCATTTGACAAAAACCTAGCAAAACAAAGTAGCAGTAAAAATGCTAATGCGTGACACAATGTAAATACAATGACTGACAAATTCTGTCAACTGTCATATAAAATAGTGACTTGTGGATGGTGAATTCATTTAATTTGTTGCCATTTGTGCAACAGCGTGCATATTTAATGTGAGAAATTTTGCGTTGTGCATAGAAATTTCTTTGCATCTGTCAAATGCTTGTTGCAGTCAAGGCTGTTCAATCAAGGCTGATTTTGAAAAGCTTAAAGCACAAGACGTTGCAATTAATTTTCTTAAAATTAAATGTAGTTCCAGAGACAACATTGAGCGCAGTTCAATTTATTTTTATTTTTATTTTTCTTTCAATTTTTATTTTATTTACTGTTTTTTACTACTTACCCAGTAGGATCTCCACCGTCGCCTCGCTCATATAATCATGACAATCGAATGTCTTTTCACCCTCCGCACGCAATTTACGTACAACATGTTGTGAGTTCTCGTTGAATAGATCGATGAAACTCTTCAGAACATTCAAATGGAATGTCGGAGCGATTAGTTTGCGATGCGCACGCCATTTGGCACCTGTTGTGTGTAAGTAAAATTATAGAGAGGGGGAGAGAAATAGATACAAGTTAATTACTCATTGCCATTAATATTAATTATTCTTAATTTACTTAATATAAATTTTCCTTTTAAAGGGGGGAACCTGCTTTGGAGCGTCAAAAAAATTAATTTTTTTTAATTATCCCATTCGTACCGCAGATATGGCCTCTGAGGGACAATGTGCTCAGGAGACTGATAAACGGGCGCGAGTACTTTGAACGCGATTTTCTCAAAACAGTGTTATTTTGTTTTGTGCACACGATTAAAAAAGTTGTAATTGTCGCATTTTCATAAGTATACCTTTTTTTACAGCAAATAGTGTAGGCTTCTTATGTGAACCTAAAAAATCACATCACATTTTTATTAACTTTTTTCAATAAATTATCTTGAAATTTCTTCAGAAGAACGCAAAATTATAAACAGTCATAAAAAATAAATAATTTTATACATTTCTTCGAATATCTTAGGTTCACATAGAAGCGTAACTCCTCAGCTAAAAAAAGTTTTCATTTTTATGTTTCAGTTGAAAACTACGATCGCTATCGTGTTCACAAAATAGACTCTCCGAGCGAGAAAAGCCACAAATAAATACGAATTGTTATTGCTTAACTGTATCAAATAAAGTGAAAGTAAATTTTTTTTGCAAGATTTGTGTATCTATGACCTATTTCAAAAGTACTTGAAACATTTCATACGTAAGGCAACCTAAAACACTGTGCTGAATATCATGCAATTTTCAGCGCTCTAAACCAGGTTCCCCCCCTTAATTAATTGAAATCAAATATTTATTCATAGCAAATTATTATTATTATTTTTTAATTTCATATTATTTTAGAATAATATTTCTCGTTTTTATTATTTTTTTATAAGTTATTCTCAACCCTAACTGCCACAAGTAATTATTTTTTTTTTTTTAAATATTTTTTAATATTGAAAACCTTAAAATCTCAGCAAGTTTATTTAACACTTTAAAATATTTTCAATAATTAACAAAAATTTTGATAAATTTTGAAAATAAAAAATTTTAATATACCAAATATGTATTTTTCTTTTTTAAATTGTACTTTCTGTTATACTATCAAAATATATGTATTAATTACAATAGTTTTAATTTTGGTTATGCCTCATTTTTCTTTAATAAAAATTTGCAAATGGTTAATTAATGCTTTTTAATTACATTTAATTCTTTTGTAAATTTTTAATATTATAAATGTTGATATTTTTAAAATTTGCAAATATGAATGGTTAATTTTCAAACTAACCATTAATATTAATTGTTAATTATTGTTAATTTACTTTATATTCATTTTTCCTTTAATTAACTTAAATAAAATATTTATTCATAGCAAATTCATAATTATTGTTAATTTACTTGATATTAATTTTTCTTTTAATTATTTTAAATAAAATATTAATTCATAGCAAATTTTTATTATTATTTTTTTATTTCATATTTTTTTTTAATTTCATATTTTTTTTTAATTTCGTATTATTTCAATATAACATTTCTCGTTTTAATTTTTATTTTTTAATTATAAATAATATTTCTTTAATATATTTGTTTTTAATTTTTTATTAAAAATTATTGAGTTACTACTTTATAAAATTTGTAAATTAAATATTTATTTATAGTTTGTTATTATTTTTCAAATAAAAATTTTATTTAAGTTTTTTATTATAATTTTTTGGTTTTTAATAAAATTAATTTTTTAAAATATTTTTTGATAATTAGTAGTGTTGAAACATTTTTCGGTTGTTATTTTTTTGAACACCTGTGACAATCTAATTATATTTTTTTTGACAGTTATACGCTTTCGAAAATGACGAGGCTATAAAATCGCACTTGGTTCAGTTTTTCTTTTAGAAAAACCGATTTCTTTGGAGTTAGTTATAGAGAAAATCATTATTTTTGCAATAGATGACTTTAGGGGTCGTCATCTTGCGCTCAATAAGTGCGATTGGAATAGATACCGAGAGCTGAAGAGGGAAGCAAAAATTCAGAGGCAATTTATTTTTCGGATGATTTCGCTCTGACTTGAGAGAGCGCGAAGAAGTTTCTCCGCTTAGCCAAGTTCTAAAGAATATGTTTTATGACGAGAAAATATTAACCATTGATCAATCCGTCAACTCTCAAAACGATGAGGATTTACTTGACCGACCGTTCATACAAGAATTTGATTCATCGATTGGCCACCAGGAGGCAGCACCCGCAACATATATGCGCCATTGTAAGCGCAGATGGGCGTTCTCAAATCGTTTTTATTGTGCCTGGCGTAAAGGTAAATTTATTATGGAAGTTGCTTTGAAGCCATTGGCAGACAAACATCTCGGTGGTAGACCACATACGCATCAACAGTACTCACCACCGTCTCATAAAGCTCGAGTGAACCAAGAAAGGCTGAAGAACAATGGCTCTCAAATTCACCAGACGCTAATCTGATGGATTATACTTTATGAGCCAAGATACACCAGTCTCGAGGTGCTGAAGAAATCTGCTTATCCGCGAGTGGACCAAAATACCTGCAAGTCACATTCGGGCAGCTTGCGACACATTTTTGGGCCATCTCAAGGCCATAATCAAGGCGAAAGTTGGTCATATCAAGCAAAAGCAAATTGTTTCCGAATTTTGTATTATTTTCACATATTTTGTATTTGGCATCGGTGAAAAGTAAATTTCCAATAAGAATTTATGGGCTTTTTAATTGGTTGCCCTTTGAGTGTCGGACCCTGTATAATTTTAATAAAATTTCATTTCATTTCTTAAAAAGGGTGTAAATATAAAAAAGGCAAAGAGAAAATTGAAAAAAGCGGGGAATTTATTACTATTGAGTAGCGATGGCAAAAGGTTTCAGTGGTCATGGAGCGGAAAAAACCCTTTTTAAAATATTCAATTTGGAAAGTACGGTTAATTATTTTCTTCAATATTTTTTTTTTGCCTTTTTTTTTTAGAAATATTGAATGTCTTATTAATATTAAATTAGAAGAAAGTAACCCGCTGAGTACATAAAAACGCTACCAACATTAATAGTTTCCGTTTTTCTACATAACCTACAAAACTTTTGGTCAGCTCAACGGCAACACTTTTAAAATTTCTTCAATAATTCAAAAAGGTTTTTTTTTTCGAATATCAAGTGACGTTTTTGAATAATCTTACAAAGCTCAGGCTTATGTGTATACATATATATATTTATGGGTGTATGTATTTATATGTATGTATGTATGTATCATATGTCGGGATGTGTGTCGCTTAGCTTATCTCTGTTATACATTTTGTTTATTCATGAAAAATATTTATGTGCGGCTGTGTGTGCGCGCTTACGTTTATTAGAATAAATAGTTTCTGCACAATCTTACATACCTACATAATACATTAATCCATATTCTTGTATATCTATATATATATATATGTATGTACGTATGTATGTACAAGTGTGTATGTGTAGAAATCATGCAAAAACGCGGGCAACCCACGCATATTTTAGTATTTAGTGATTACGATTTTTTGCAGCACTTGCACATACATTTACACTTGAATATTTGTTTCTCCATAAAAAATTTGCGCGTATCCACACACATGCTAACATACATATCTACTATTTACGTACAAATTATAAGCACGTTTACAAATCACACTAATACAAATTTATTATTATTATATGCCCATGCATGTGATGGCATTTTTATGAATAGACACCAATACATGCATATATATGCATATGTATGTATTTTATGCAAGTGTATGTATTCACACAAATGTCTGTGTGTGTATATATAATATATTACTGTATGTTACTTTCCCCATTTCCTCATGTGTAGCGCGAAACGCTTCGAAACGCTGCGCTTTTAATTTGTTGCCGCTTCAGTTTATTTATTAGGTTATTATGCTGTCAAATGGCCGTCGACGCCGCCGACGCAACGTCATACAAATACATACTGTACGTACGTACAGATATGTGTACATATTTAGTAAGTATTAATTATTTGACTTTTAATTTGTTTATTTAGCAGCAAAACCATAACGAGCGCACAAACAGAATATAAAAATTTTACAGAGAGTCGAAAAATAAAATAAAAATTACAAAAAAAACAAAAAAAAAATTTAATTGAAATTTTTGAAAAATTCGCTGCAAATATTTTGGCATAGAAAATAATTATATTTAAGTGATTTACGCGGTGCCGAAAACGCGTAAATCTATTTGGAGAAAATTCAGTTATAAGGAATTCATGTTGAGGTGAACCACCTGCACGCACATCATTACATAACTGCATGCATACATACATGCTCGTCTAAGTAGCGCAGTGCGATAGAAGGAAAGTGTTATGTACGCATAAATAAGTAAAAAAAAAACATATATTTTTCAGCAGTAAAAATTGAATGATTGCCGCATTTAAGAATAATATTTATTTAATAATTTAATTTAATATTTCTTAAATTATTTTACTACTGCTTTACGCATAAAAAAATATTATTTTATAATTAAAAATTTAATTTTTGTCATTTTTAAGGAAAAATTTTTTTTAAATTTAATGCTAGCTTTTTATTGTTTTTGTACTCGTAAACAAATAGAGAAGAAATATATTTTAGCTCAAAAATTTTTTTAGTAATAAAAATTTATTTTTTTTTTACATATTTAAGGACAATATTTATTTAATAAAATTTTTAATAATTCTATTATAAATAAAAAAAGTAAAAAAAAATAATTTTTATTGTTTTTTGCAAATTTCGAAATATTTCCTTTAGTTTAAAATTCGCTTTGAAATTCGCTTTTAATATTTAATTAAAAATTAATATTATTTAAATAATATTTAGTTAAAAATATCATTTTTAATCGAAATATTATTACTCTTTTTTTAAAATATATTTTTTTGATGAGTTTTTTAAAAATATGTTTCTATTGATTTTTTAAATACGTTTTGGGAAGCTTGAAATATTTTCGATAATTTTGTTGAGATGTTTTGAAAAAGTTTTAAAATAATAATATAAATATATAATTGGCGCTTTGTAACCGCTTAAGCGATGGAGGGACCTGCAGTTATACTAAGCCGCCTCCGAACGGCTGATGATTTTTTTACGAAGAGCCTTTATTACATGTCCGAAATACACTCGTAGGGATGGACATTCCCTGCCGAGTGGCGCCCGCAATTAGAAAATTTAACTTAATTTTTTTATTTAAATTCATATTCCATAACTTTTGGATACTGATGATATCAGAATTGGAAGCCGAGCCTTCCGAATGCCACTCGTCTAGTGCGGCCGCCAATAATAAAAATAATAATAGATGAAATAAATTAAATACTAATACTTTAAATAAATAAAATATCTTCATTTTTTAGTTCCGTCCGTAAGTTGTTTTAGCATTTTTTTTTGGGTTTACTAATTTATGAATATATTTTTTTTACATTTCTAATATTTCACCCTTATTAAAATTTTCTTCAATAAAAAAATAGTTAAAATTAACTAAAAATTTGCAAAATATTTTTTTATTATATTTTCGCTAGTTTTTTTTTACAATAATAATTTAAATATAAGTCATGCATAATTTCAAATTTTCCTTTAATTTTCTTTTTAATAAAAATAAAATTCTGTGTTTTTGCGGTCCATTTTTTGTGTTTAAAAAAAGTGGTTTAATTAAAAAAAAAAAATTAAAAAACTCTACATTTAAAGTATTGTCCGACGGAAGCAACTACTTTTTCCCAGCACTATGGCAATTTTCGAATACCATCTCTAAAAAATGAGATCTCCCTATCTTCGAACCAATCATTGAGCCATTTTTCCATTACTTCAGAAGACCCGGATCGGTTGCACCCGAAATCGTTTTGCTTCCGTTAAAAAAAAGGACGGCTTAAGTTGTGAAAAATGCGACGGCTAGCATCAGACCACCCATAACATCATTTATAGTTTTTTTTTATTGTTACAGCTATGTGGTGCCGTACGTTGTCTCATCTTTATTTTCGGCCATTTTTGGTCCTTTTTCACGCAATGCACTACCCAAGAGCATTAGTTGTAGTTGCTAACGTTTCTCATTAATAGTTCATTTTCAAACTTTTTTGAATGGCTCCTGTCTTTGACGCTAAAATCACCATTTTAGTATCAAAACCACTCTTCATGACTTATCGGTCGACGCAAACTCGGGGTAAGCCTTCGCCGGGCGTCACAAAAAATTGACTTTTTGTTTTGTATTTAATAGATTTTTTATTTAAAATTTGTGTTTAATTTAATTAAGTATTTTAATTAGTTAATTATTTTATTTTCAAATATTTATTTTTTATTTTTTTTTATTTCATTTATTCTTTTATAAAAATATTTTGTTTTATCTCGTTTTAAATTCATTTATTAACATTTCCCTAAAACATCTTTAAATATGTGTTTTATTTTTAATGCTTTTTAAATTAAATTTTAATTATAAATTCCACATTACCTGTACTAATCAGCAAACCCTCGCCCAGCCATGGTTTGAAGAACTTATATTCCGATGATTTATCGATATAGACTTGGCTGCTCAGCAATATTTCAACATCACGCGGATCGTAAATGAAAATCACCAATTGCGGGCCGATCCACATTTTGGCAATATTTTCAAATTCAGCGCTTTTGCGAATAACAGTCTTAAATACCGCTGCAGAGAGGGAGTAGCAAGAGAGAAAACGAAAGATAAGTGATAAATTCTTAATGAAACAATTTTATAGCAGAATTTAATTTAAAAATGTCACACTTAAAGTGATTTATAACTGTAATAAATTTTATACAGTTAAAATAAAATTTCTCGGACACACATATGGTGATATGCAGATATTTTTCCTGCAACAAGTTTATAAGTTATACTTTTTTTTATAATTTTTAAACTTTGCTGTTTATTTAAAATATTTAGCTATGAAAAAAAATTCAAAATACAATAATATGTTTGTTTTTCTCAATTTTTATTACAAGTTTAGTACATTCAAATTAATAAAAATGAATACACTACATTTTAAATGCCTTTAAAATTTCAAAAACTTTTTTTTCCGAATACATTTATTAAACTAAAAGCGTTGAAGAAATATATTAATTTAAGATTAAATAATGAAAATGTATTTATTACTCATTTTTTTTTAAATTATTTAAAAAATCATTAAATAATACAAAAAAAAAAACAATTTTTTTCGACGCATTTTTTGTGAGTTGATTGTGATCTTCTTTTATTCTTGTAATAATAATGATTAGAAAAAAATATACTAAAAAAAATATTCTAATAAGGTTTGATCGGATTGTATTGAAAATGAATAAGTATTTAATACTAGTTGGTAAAAAAATATATATAAAATCTATTAAAATATGTGACATTTATATATAAAACCAATAACATTTGATTAAAAAGCTAATGATCGTAATGAAAATAACAATAATAAATAAATAAAAATTAATTAAACAACATAATAAAAAAAATTAAAGAATTAAATGAAATGATTTTAAATTTAAAACTAAATAAGCTTTGAAAGGACTAAAATTCTTAAAATTTTTAGATATTTAAAAATAATTTTTCGCTGATTTTTTCATTTAATTTAATTTATTTAAGTAACATCTGAAAGTTTTATTTTTTTGTACTAAAAATTAAGTGTGTAAAAAAGTTATTTTTTGAAGATATAGGGATTGTGAACGTTTATGTTGGGTAAAACATAGAAATTAAATAATAATAAAAAGTGTAAAAATTGAAAAAGACTTGTGAGCACCGCTCAAATTTTAAACTTTTAATAATTCAGAATTTTTTTTGTAAAATTTGTTAGTAAAAGAAAAATCTGAAAACCTGTAAAATTTTAGAAGCTTATTACACAAATTATTAATTAATTATTATATTATTAAAATTATTCTACAAATATTAACATTGATGATTGAATTATGAATCGCCTCCAAAATGTTTTCCTTCTCTGATAAAACAGTAAAAGTTAATAAATGATTTTTATGCAATAATTGAAAAATTAGAGCAATGTAAACAAATTCTGAATAGTCGGGGATTATATAATAAAAAATCATTCATATTTTAATTAAAAAAATAATAAAAAACATATAAGTTTTGAATAGACGGTGAAAGTTCTCCGAAATGTTTGCCTCTGGTTGATGAGAATGGTATTAATATAAAAATTTTGAATACAAAAATTTAATTTTTTCTCACTATATTAACATTTTCTTATTGGCTTCCTATGATTTTTTATCGAGAAAAACTTGTTGTTGGTTTTACTTGCCAAATCATTTTAATTGCGTATACGCAGTGGTGTATGAAATGCAACTTTTATATTTGTATTTAATGTGAGGGGAAATGTTTGGAAGAAATTAATTAACCACATATATTAATAATAGTGAATATTAAGTACTAAATATCAATTATTTAAAATTAAGTTACATTTAATTTTCAAAAACAAACAGATATTTTCATGACTGTATGATAATTCGAAATATATACAGGTAAATTAAAATTTAAATTATAAGGGAAATATGTATCTGAAGGTTTTGTAACAAAAATTTTGAATAATTGCTTGAAACTATAACTATTACTCTATAATTATATAAATTTTAATAACCGCTTTTTGTTAACTAATATTTTTTATACTCGTTATTTTCATCAAAACGACAAGTGACTTTTTATTTATTTACTTGTATTTTTATATATTTTTAATTATTATTTTATGCTTTTCATTTTTAATTTAATTTTTTTATTTTTTATTATTAAATATTAATTTTCAATTATATTAATTTTTATTTTAATTTTTAATTTTTATTCATAATTTCTTATTTTTATTTTATATTTTCAATTTTTAATATTTTTGAGTTGAAAAATTTGATTAGTTAAATTTTCAATATTATTTTTTTAATTTTTAATATTAATTTTTTAATTTCTAATTTCTAATATTTAATATTTTTAATATTATATTTTTTATTTTAATTTTTCATTTTTTTTCTTTTTATATTTTCAATTCTTAATATTTTTGAGTTAAAAAATTTCATTGGTTAAATTTTTAATAATAATTGATCCTTAATATTAATTTTTTAATTTCTAATTTCTAATATTTAATATTTTTAATTTTAATTTTTGTTCATAATTTCTTACTTTTATTTTATATTTTCAATTTTTAATATTTTTGAGTAAAAAATTTGATTGGTTAAATTTTTAATAAAAATTTTTTAATTTTGAATTTACAATATTTAATGTTTTTAATTTTTTTATTTTTTATTGAAAACTTTTAAAATTATTTTTTTTTTAATTTTTTATTATTAAATAATATTTTTCAAATATTTTAATTTAAATTCTAAATTTTTTGGTTTTTTAATTTTTATTTAAATGTTTAATTTTATGTTTATAACTTTTTTTATTTTATTTTTTCAATTTTAAATATTTATTTAATATTATTGTTTATTTTTGTTAAATCAATTAATTAATTTTATTCATTACTAATTAACAACTTCGCATTTTATATTTTATAATTTTAGTTTTTAAGCTTGAATATTAGTTTTACACTTTAATTTATTTTTATAGTGTTTCAATTTTTAAGTGCTTAGATTTAATTATTTATTATTAATTTTTAATTCTTTGTTATTTATTTTGTAGTTTTTCATTTAAAATATTAATATTCAATCCATAAGTATTATTTTTAAGTTTTGACTTTTTAATTATTAATTATCAGATTTTTATGTTTTTTTTTATTTATTTTACGTATAAAATTTCTTATTTATTATTTTAGATCTCATATTTTTAATTTTCTTTATATTTTGAAATATTAAGCTTTAGTTATTAATTGTTTATTATTAATTTTTAATAATTAACTAATAATTTTGAATTTTTCGTTGTTTTATAGTTTTAAGGTTTTAGTTTTCATTTTTAATCTCTTATTTATTTGATTTTAATTTTTAAATTTAAGTTTTAGTCTCTGAACTTTCATGGCTTAATTTCAATATATATTATTGAACTCTAATTGTTTGTTCTGTTTATTTTGTCTTATATTTATAATTTATATTCTTAAAGATATAATTTTTCATTTTAAAGTATTAAGTTTACGTTTTTATTTGTTATTATTATTTTTTATTGGAAATTTTTAATTTTATTTTACAATTTTTAAGTTTTCATGTTTGATTTTTAATTGTTGAATATTAATTTAAATTTTTAATTTTCTGCTCTTGGTTTTTTATTTTAAAGTTTTAACTTTAATTTTTTTTTTTTGGTGTTTAATTCTCAGTTTTTATTTTATTTTTTCGAAAACTATGATTTCATACCTGACTTTGTTTTCAAAAAATGTTAATTAATATAAGTACTCAATGCTTTACTCACACGATGCCGGCCCGAAAAAGTCCAACAAATGTCCAATAATCGGCAAACCCTTCGGTCCAGGCAAACGATCGGCCAACTGGTAGAGATGACGTCGCGATAGACGCCAATAAGTCAGCCATAGCAGAAAGGTGGGTAGCAAGAGGAAATAGAAGACGCTGCTGGGCGATATGAGGACGTTGTCCTTAGAAACTTCCAGTGACATATTGACGCACAATTTTCTTTTCACAAACTTTGAAATATTTTCCTTTTTTTTGACTTTAACGTTTTTTAAATCGACAATTAAATTTATTTCAAAGGCATTCGTATTTTCTTCAAAATAATATTCTATGAATATTATTATATAAGCCTGTAGGTATAACGTATGTTTTTATGTACGTTTAAATGATTACTTTTCGTATACTTTCTTTTAATTTCTTTTCAAAATCTTCTCAGACTGCAATTAATTAAGTCCTTTGGCCATTAAATAGTCCACAATTAATTCAAACACATACACATACATATATGTATGTTCAAAAATTGCATAATTATACACATACGTATGTATGTAGGTATTTATGTGTAATAAATCAGTTCGGACGTATGCACTTCAATGAATGTCGCTTTATATTGTACTTATATATATGTATGTATAAATGTATTTTTTGTGGGTATCTGAATACATATATACCCACTTAATTAGCTCTTTCCAACCTCTTCACTTTGCATACATACATATGTATATCTAAATAGATAGATAGATAGATATGTATATTTGTATATTTCGGTTTGTATGTATTTGCAATACATTCAACATTCACAAACGCGATTATCTACTACTCCTCTATTCGTTTAGTTAAACCACAAGGCAAGCACTTCCTCTTCAACTGCTACTATACACAGATAATTATTGCTTGTTGTTGTTGTTACTGCCATTCAATAATCCACGATTATATCCAAATGCCCGTTCGCGTTCAACTGATAGCGTCCGCCCGCATGTGGTGCGTTTTTATAGCTGAGCTTACCTCCACTGAGCTGAGCTTCAGCAAAATGTAAATCCACACACGAAGTCCAAAGTGACAAAAAATGAGGAAAAAATGGGAAAAAATTGCAAACTACGTGCCACAAGCGAAACGACCCATGAGTCGATGTTCAGTCACACTCTAAACAAGCTTGCATACATGTGTGTGTGTGTGTGTGTGTGTGAAGGCAGATTGTGCTGATGCAGATGAACCGTTGAAATTCATAGAGACATGCGCTAGCGCCGCGCGATTTTTGGATGAAAAATGCTGAGATTTGCTGAGCTCTGCAGAGCAACGCTTTGCCGTGTTGCCTGTAGTTTTGCTATTGTTGTTGTGCATATCACTGAGCAGGCACATTTTGATAAGCCATTGCTATTTGGTTTGCTCCAGTCCAACATCTACCTTATCTCTCTCGCAAAACTCACTTTCTCTGGGTGATGAGTGTTGCTGAGTGAAAGTGAGGCTGTAATTTGGGCGCTCAAATCAGCTCTTTGTTGCAACATGCTGCAGCTGGAGCATGGCAGGGAGTATTACAATTGGACTGTGGAAAGTAAAAGTATAAAAAGCTTTCGGTGAAATAAAGCTGTGCTTATGCACTTTTGGAGTGAGTTTGAATTCTTTTTTGTATATAATTTGCATAAATTTTATAATAGCGGATGTGTAAGGGAAAGATCAATATTCAAAGAAACTTAGATTTTAAAATTTCCTTCTGAAAGGAACCGTTAATCTTTTTGCATGTCGTTTGATCAAACAATGACCTATTGGCAACCCGTGAAACCTTACATATATACATATATAGATACATATTTCTTTCTCTTCAGTATAGTATATCTCTTATGATCAATTGTTTTCCTATATCGGCCCGATTTCGCGACAAACTGAGGCGTAGACTTACCACAACCAGGTTGTTTGGTTATACAAACATTCCTTTGGGAGTTATTTGCATATGGTAAATATTTAGCTGAATCAAGATTTAATTATGCATAGCTTATCAAGCTTAGCTTTTTTATAGTTCCACTACAAGTCTATGTGACCAAAGACCCTATATAAGTTTGCTCTACTCAGTTGTCTATGTACTGAAGAGATCTGTATGGTTCGAAAAAGTCGACAGAACTTGTACGAAAGATCATGGAATTTCTATTGCTTCATCCTTATCACTGAAAATGAAGTTATTTCTTCCCTAAAGTTGGCTACAATGAGTTCTATCATCTCAATAACAACAGAAATTTTGGTTCGAAATGCACAACAGTAATCAGACGGTGTAAATGGAGTTCCTAAGTATGCGCACCTTGAAAAGACACCAGCCTTCCTATTCTCTCCTCAGTGGTTTACTAGAGAATTTGGATAATTAACCAGTCTTTCTGCCAGTTATCTTTAACTGCTATCTTTTCCAATTATTTTCAAGGCCTCATTCTATATACACTTGACTCAAAAAATGGTTTCCAATAACAGGTGTTACTTTAATATTGAAAGAAAAAGGTATTTTTTGGGATAAATGATCGGATGTTTATTTGAATGTAAAAAAGAAGATATGACACTAATAATGGAAAAAATTTTCAGCTACACTTACAGCACCGTATCCTTTTTATGAAATTTTCCATAATCTAATCGCAAAGTGGCTGCTGTATGCCCTCGATAGCTTCACGAATACACTCATTGAGGCCTTAAATCGACGTTGGCGTGTTACCAGAGACCTGAGCTCGCACGTGACTTCAAAGCAAAAAGTCACAACGTGTTTAAGCACGAGATCACGGTGATCAATTGCGATTACCTATTCGAGAGAAATTAAAAATGTCATATTCTCTGTTGATTGTTTAATCGTAGTTTCTACCAGAACGACAATCTTTTTGATTTTTCTATATTAGATGTTGTCAAGTGACCAAATCACCGGGCCAAGCCATCTCAATTTTTCGGTGCTACGAAAAAAAAAATTCAACAAAACTGAAATAGAGAGAAATAAGTAAGAAAACATACTGCAAGATCAAGCGATATTTATAAAATCTTTGTAAATATATATATATATCTCAGTCTTTCAGACCATAATGCGCCATATATAAGTTTCAAAAAACTATTTTTAATTTTTCTAGGTGTCACTTCTATATAAACTGAAAAAATTGCGAAAAAGTTGAAAAAGTCTAAATTTTTTCGAAGTTTGAAAGAACTTTTCGCTTTTCTGAAAAGAAAAAACCACTTTAAGTTGCAAAAAAAAATTAAAAATTTTGTTCAACTTTTTTTTAGTTCAAATAGAAGACATTTTTATTCTGAAGCTAGATCACTTTCAATTTTTTTCACCGAAAGATAAAAACTCGAGAAAACGCACTTCAAAAGTTCTGCCTGAACATTCCATCCCGCTCGCCGTTCGGCCACTAAAGTTGCTCTCTGCTTCCAAAATATGTCGAATTGGCAAATGAAATTTTATAGACAGATTTTCGGATTATATTACAATAGTTTTAAGAAAAAAGAATGCATGTTTTGAGTCTTCTGAGGCAGACTACTGCCTTACATAAATATCTTATAAATGAAGCTTACTATTATTATATCCAATAAATATATTTTACAAACAAAATATTTTCATACATACATATGTAAACAGTGTATGACACATTCATTCGGACAACTTGCATTTTCACGCTTAAGTTTTTTTTTTTACTTTTTCATTTTAAGTAAACAAATTCATTAAGAAGCATTTAAATTGCAAACTCGTCGTTGTTTTGGTTTTATCGCTTTTCAGCTATAAACGAATTTGCCTCTATTTTCTAAATAAATATTGCACATACGAAAATGACGTAGATACACAGGTACATTTACTTGTTATTGTATATACAATATATTTTTATATGCTCATGAAGGTGACAGTACTAAAATTACATAAGTTTTAAGCACTTTTATGTTTGGATTTAAACATAAAACTATAAACTTGGCTGAGTAATAAAATTTTAAAGCATAAAAAAATATACGTTTATATGTTTTTTCGATATTTTTTGGTCTTATATAACTTAATCAGTATGCATAAAATAATTATTGGTCGTCCTGGAAAGGAATTTATCATTCCAATTTGTCATATGTTAGGAAAAATAATATTAAAAAAGAAAAAGAAAATTATTCACAATCATAAATTATTCAGTATTTTATATGCCGCCCATAATCAAAACTTTTAAACACTTTTGTTACGCTTAGAACACCATGCAAATGGGCATTAGATTTATATGTGATACCAAAATTTGTAAATAAATATGTTTGCATAAACACGCACATAATCTGAAAACGATTTTTTCGCTGATACCAGTGATAGCCCCCCCCCCCAGACGTTCACTAACTCGTACGCCCTCACACACACATACGTGTAGATACCATTTTTTTTGCTTCGGTGGTTTGGTGGTATTTTTTCCCTTATTGGTATCACGCAATTTTATGGGCGAAATGTGCTAAATGCTCTGACATTTATGTTAATATAGAAATCATGGGTTGTTTATGTGTCTCGCGCCAAAAAAAAAAAAGAAATAAAATAAAATAAATTTGTTGGAGTGAAAAATGGGAGTATAAAAGGTTATTATGAAGTTCATATGAAGTTACAATGATTTATTTGTTGGGAACCATTTTATTTATGTTAATATATGCTAAAATGGTAAATGTGTGCATATCTTTTACAGTATAAATATGGGTATGGGTACCATCTGTTAACAGATGGTGGTTACATGAGCACACATTAAGGTTGAACGATGGATTCTTAAATTTTTATTTTATTTTATTTTTACTTAAATTTGTTCAATTTTATTTTATTGTATTATGTATAATTTAGTCTAAATTATATTGGTTTTAATCACAAAAAAAAAAATAAAAAACTATTTTTTAATTTATTAACATTAAAATAACAAAATTAAATTTTATTTAATCATATTATTATATATTAATATTGAAATTTTATTCACCTTATTTAATTTAAAATTATTTTATTTTTTATTACATCATTTCATTTTGTTTTAATTTATTCACTTATTTTATTTTATATTAACTTTCTATTTCTTTTTCACTTTTATTAATTTTTTTATTTTCACTATATTTAGCTTAAATTAATTTATAGTTTATTTTTGCGGCCATGCTATATATTATTTTTTTTTAATTTATTCCGTTTAATTTATTTCATTTTTAATTTATTAATATAAACTTATTTTAGTAAGTTTTATTTTGCTTAATTAATTATTATAAAATTATATTTTTTTAAGTTTTTGCTTTATTTTAGTTTATTTGATTTTTTCATTATTTATACTATTTAATTTAATTTAATTTTAATTTATGTTAATTAACACTATTTTGTTTTATTAAATTTTATTATATATCATTTTATTTTTAAATTAAGTTCATATTATTATTTTTATTTTATTTGAATTTTTTTTTAGTTTTAATATTTAGTTTTTTGTATTTTATTCAATTTTGTTCCATTTTATATAATTTTTTTTATAATAAATTTTAGTCTATTTTAATTTACATTATTATATTTCATTTTATACTATAATAAGTTTTAATAATTAATTGAAGTCTATTTATTTTAATTTTATTTTTCTTATTTTTTATTGCAATTTATTTCAGTATCTCGTTTTTTTGTTTAATATTTTTTTTATTTTAATTTACTTTATTTTGCTTAAAATAATTTATTTTTATATATATATATAATATATAATTGGCGCTTTGTAACCGCTGAAGCGATTTAACGCCGAGCTTCAATTTATTTTTATCCAGTTTAATTTATTTTATTTCAGCAAATTTTCTTAGTTCAATTAATTTAATTGTTTTTAAATTGTATTTTAATCTATTTAATTAATTCGATTTCCTAACTTTTATTTCTTTTCCTTTTATCAGCTTTTACTTTGTTGTAGTGTATTTCATTTCATTTTATTATTTCTTTTTTTAATTGAAATTAATTTTCTTATTTATATTTTAATTTTGTTTACTTATGTTAAAATTTTTTTAAGTTTAATTTTTTTTTTTGCAATTTTACCCAATTTTTTTTATTTTAATTTATTCTAGTTTCTTATATAATATTTAACTTTGTTTTATTTCATATAATTAATATTTTTTATTTTTATTTTATGTTGTTTCCAAATTTTTTGGTTTACTGAATTTTAGTTCATTTTTTTTTTTTTATTTTGATCTATTTTATTTTATTTTATTTTATTTTATTTTATTTTATTTTATTTTATTTTACTTTATTAGATTTTATCATATGTCTTCTTTTTATTTCGTATAATTTTATTCTATTTTATTTAGCTTATTTTATTGTATTATATTTGTTTATTTTGTTTTATGTTATTTTTTATTGTATTACGTACGGTTTATTTTATTATTATATAATTGTAGCTTAATTTATTTTTTTAGTTTTTTATATATTTTTTATTGTATTACATTTGTTTTGATTTATTATTTAATTTATTTTGTTTTATTATAAATATTTTTTTTTTTTTTGATTTAATTTCATTTTATATTTGTTTATTTTATGTTATTTTATTTTATTTTGTATTATATAAATTGATTTCAATGTTTTTTTTTTAATGTAATTTATTATAAATAATTTAACTTAACCTATTAATTTTTTCATTTCATATATTATTTTTAATTTTTTTTATAATTTCTTTTGTTTTGTTTTGTAAATCGTTTTTTTTTTTTTCATTTGTGTTTCAATTAGTTTGTTTCTGGTTTAATTTAAACTTATTGCTATCCTAATTTTGTTTTCGGTTTTATTGTTATAATATTTGAATTTTATTCTAGTATACTTTGTTTAGTTTTATTCATTTATAATATTTAAATGCAATTTATTTTCTTATAAAAAACTTTTTTAATAAGTTTTTATTTATGTTAGCTTTTAGTTTTTACTGCTTGATTTACAAATTACTTATGGGCTTTATAATTTTTACATTAAGCATATATGCGAGTATATATGTATATTAGTCATTGTTTGTATAAATATCTTTGTATATAAAGTGCGTGTTCGTTGATTTATTTATTACATTAATGACTTTTCACGCGTCCTTAATTGTGGTTTTAACATTTTTGTGGGTAATTCCCATGCAAGTTTTTTCTTCCAATTTTGTTTATAGCAACCAAATACAATTTTTCGATTTTTGGGATGCCTTTTACGTTCTGGAAATTGTATTTTATATTGAATTTCTAAACATATGAGTTTTTATATTTATGAATATTTATTGGCCATATTATTAGTATAAAAGACAAAAGGTTTTCTATTTTTTATAATGCTTATTTTTTATTTTTTTATTCATATAATTAAATAATTCTATTGAAAATACTACTTACCTGCATTGAAACCAGAAACACCAAAAATCATCTTCAATATTAAAGTCTTTTTTATTAAAAAAATGTTAAAAAATATAAATAAATAATAACATTTTTATTTCTACTTAAACATAAATATAACTATATAATAAGCAACAATTAGCAGTTAAACAAATTACAAATTCTAACTGATGGAGATATTGAATAATCAGTTAATGCGCTGGCACATGCTACATTGCGTATGAGTAACTATTTTTTTTAATTCTAACTCAGACGAAACTGAAGAAAACGAAAAATTAATGAATTCCAATAACTGCATGAATTTTCGAAAATCCAATATGAGACAATTGAAACATGAAGTCATACGAAAGTTAAATATTATATTTGAATTAAAAATAATATCTTCTTATTTCTATCAGCTAATTCTACACACATACATACGGAAACGTATAGTCCTACTTATATATATATATTATATCTTACTAGTCCGTTTTAATTTATGGAAGCCTTAAACTACTTTACTAGACTTAGATATGCTTACAATCAATCGATTTACAAGCTTAAAATCACACGTACATACATACATATAAATGTATATATGTAGGTATAACTAAATGAAACTCGTTTTGTGCGTGTTGAACAACATGTTTGATGTTTGATGCGAGATGTTCGTTACAAATTATTGGAAAAATTACATACAAATTGCAAATCTTTACTACTTTTCTGCGTAAGCCTAAAAGTATGCTTCGATGTTAGTATTTTAGTCGGTTAATACAAATTACTTAAATGCTTATTGGCGAGTATTTTTGCTTTTAAAATGATTATTTATACATTTTGTCTGCTTTCGTGCATAAGACTTAAGGTAGAAGTAGTTTTTAAAGCAAAACATAAAAGTCAATAATTAAATAAATAGATTGAAAAAATAAAGAAATAAAAATTATATATAATATAATTAACTTATAGTTTTTTCATTTTATTATAAATGTTACTATTTAATTTATTTTTATTTATACTTATTTTACTTTCGTAACGTTATATATTATATATGGTATATAAAGCTAGACTGATGTTTCGTAAATGACTATTTTCAAGACTTTTGGTTTATTCTCTTGCGCTTCTTTGACTTCCTTAAGCAATGCATTGGTTATGGCCTCCAGCGCAGCAATATCAGCATTATCTTTTTTTCCGCTCGTATTCCATTTGGGCATTGAGACCTTTAAGGAAACGAATGGGATTTTTTCAAGAAATATTTATATACTTTTATATAAATTTAATTGTAAGCATTGAGTGAAGCAGCATCATACCTAAAATTGGGCCATTTGCTCTTATTAATTTTATACTAAACTCACACTATTCAATGTATATATAAAATATTAAAATATTTAAACCAAATATTTTTTTATTAATATATTTCAATAAAAGCAATTTTCATGCGTTTAATTTTCGTTCATTTTTTTTTAATTTTCAACCTCACGTCGCTTATTTTTAAAGGCTTTTTACTTAAACTTAAAGCTCCTCTTAATATTAGGTAATGATATAAAGCTTTAATAATGCAAAGCGTAACCCATAAGCGATTGAGCTTTTATAAAAACATAATAAATTGATGTTTTTATATTTGATTTGCAGTGTTTCTTATTTATACTTTCATGCAATGTAAATTTGAATTATTTTTTTATTTTTTTATTTTTTTATAAATGTTCAAGCCAAGCTCTTGGAAAAACTTTTCAACTTTCTAAGTTAAAATACAAATAAAAGCTTACGGGTAGTAATTTCTTTAATTTAACATCATCAACAGAACGCTGAGGTATTTCATTACACAGAAATAGAATTTGAAACATTTCGTTAGTTGAAAAAATGAAGAGGAAATCGATAAATTTAGTAAGAAATATACAAACTATTTGAGTAAGTAAAAGTAATTTGAAAATATTTTTATATAAAATACTTATCTTGTTATTTACAATTTATTTTTAAGAATTTTTGAGTAAAACAGAAAAATATAAAGCAGCTTTTTATAAAAGAACAGAAGTTGGTGGGACTTTTTTTATATTCGCAAACAATTTTCCACATTAATTATGTGAAATAGACCACAATGAATATTAAGAAAAAAACTGTCTATCTTTGACTGTTACAAATAAGTTGAAATATTTTTCTTAAACGTTTCAAACAAAGCTTTGCTAAGCTCCACTGATTAATTTTTAGAAATCTTGTGATACCTTTCGATGCTTCTAGTCTAGGAAAAATAAATTTTCCAATTTGAAAAAGGGACTTTGAAAGAAAGAGAGAGACAATAAAAGTTGAACAGATGAAAAGCAGCAGATCGAGCTTAACTTTGAACTTTGTTCAATAAGCATGCTTTAAGCACTTTCCTCTTGTTTACTAAGCTTTTGACAGCTTTAAGATCTTCCAGTGGTAACAGTAACAGCTAAGGCTGTCTAAGCTAAAACCTAAGTTACAGGTGCCATAACCAGCTCCAGTCTAATATGTGCTAAAATGTGGTCAAAATTTACCTCAAATTCCAAAGGAGATTATTTTAGTGACTTGGTGTTTTGCATATGGGGGCAATGTGTAGAAAAGAAAGGTTTTGACTGTCATTACCCGGGTTTGCATATGCTTCTAGCAGCTCGGGAAACACTAGGAGATGGTGAACTCGAAATCCCAATGGATAGTGATGGAACAGACGTTCCGCTACCTGACCATGTCGAAGTTCGAAATGCGATTGCCCGCTTTAAAAACAACAAAGCAGCTTGGCCTGACTGACATCAAACGAGGTTTCAGACAGGGCGACTCTTTATTATGTGATTTCTACTATTTGATGGTGGAGAGAATAATAAAAGCTGCAGAGATGAATTGAGAAAGTACAATCTTTTACAAGAGTGTTCTACTACTCGTGTACGCCGGTGAAGCGAAGGGAATGGGTCTCATGGGTGTCATCAAACAAGCAGTCATCGCATTTGCAACTCGGCTCCCATGTCACTGATGACAGTCATTACTTTTGTCTATCTAGGAACCAGTATTTACATCAATAATAACGTTAGCATTGAAATCCAACGCAGAATCAGGACAAAAAGGTGCTACTTTGAACTCAGGACGCAATTAAAAAGTAAAGTTCTCTCTCGGGGAACGAAAACCTAACTTTACAAGCCCCTCATCATACCCGTCCTACAGCATAGCGCAGAGGGGTGGATGGTGACAGCATCTGATGCGTCAGCCCGTTGTCTTCGAGACAAAAGTTTTGCATAAGATTTATTTGTATGTAGGCAACGGCGAGTACCGTAGACCATGAAACGATGAGCTATACGTGCTAAACGATGATATTGATGTAGTTCAGCGAATGAAGAGAGAGCTGCTACAAGGTCATGCTAGGTCATGTTGTCCTAATGGATGAAAGTAACCGCCGGTGGAAGCAAAGGATGGGGAAGACCTGCACTCTGTTGGAAGGGTCGGATAGAGAGAGACCTGGATTCACTTGATATTTCCAATTGGCGCCAAACAGCGAATGACACGCTAATATTGAGGCTGCTATAATCGCGTAAGCGGTGTCAACGCCAATAAGGAAGAAGGAAAAGTGTTTCGCATATAGTAATTCCACGGTTGAAACTTTATAAAAAAGTGAAATTTTATGATTCAAAAATATTTTAAACTAATTTTATTTACATTTATTTTCGCAAGCACAAAATGGATAACTCTATACTGATGGACAGCTGTCCAATCAAGCAGTAACTAGAAGAAAAACAAAAAAAAAAGTCAAAACAGAATTCTTCTGCATAAGAACTCTTGGTTGGCGATGACTAACCACCATAAGCAACAAATTTTGACCAATTATTTTAGCTGAGACATATATATATATAGAATATCCTTTACAAATTAATTTCCCTTTATGTAAACAACGAATAATAAAAACTTATAAAAACTGAGAGCAAAATAATTATTTATCGATAGAGGAAATTATAAAACTATTTACATAAATAATTAAGAATATATATCCGATAACTTTCAACACGCACTGCAATAAACAAACAAACAAGCACCGTACATACCGTTAGCACTTTCTGCAAGGCCATATAGTCCAAGCCATAACCAGCAGTTTCGCCGAGACGCCGCAAAGTCTCTGCCATCGGACCGGAAAGTTCCTATAAGCAAAAAAATAGTCGAAGAAGAAAAAGAAGAGAAGCAGAAAAAAAATCAAATGAAATGAAAGAAGCGACTTCGAAAACAGAGCGTTTGAGACAAAATAAAAGAGAAACAATAATGAAACAACAAATAAATTGAATTGGCACAAAAGTTTTGTAATTGACGTAGCACAAACGCGTTGAGAATTTATTGCCATCATGCAGCTAATAATGTGCGCTACATACACGTACACACGCACCATACATCGGATGCAACACTTACTTGCAACTTGGCCCAACTGGTGGCATATTGCCGACGCACCAGTTCGATAATGGTGGAGGTCAACGCCAGACCGATGAGAATGTATAAAGTGCAGAGGAGCATATAATTTGGTTTTTCTGCAAGAGTGGGGTGAGAGAGAGAGAGAGACAGGGAATAAAGTGAGATAAGTGTTAATGCGATAAACAATACAAAAGCATATTAAAATAAGAAAACCAACAACAAAAATTATGTCATTAAAAGCTACGTGACAATATTTACATATACATACATATTATTGTATATACATACTTACTCGGCACCAAATCACCAAAACCGATTGTTGTCATTGTGATGAAACAAAAATAGAAACCATCAAAGAAGGTCCAATCATCTTCCCACAACAGCAACAACCAAGCGCCCGCAGCCAAGTAGACGCCCAAAAAGCAAACCGCCGAAATGGCATAAATCCACGTTTTGCCAATGAAATTCGTAAAATTCGGTACCTCTGTGTTGGTGGACAGAAAAGTGGCAAAATACATAGATTATGCATTAGATTAGAACAAATGTGTAGGTAGAATGGCAAAATAGCTTTGGAGGCACAAAGTAGGTCACAATAATAAGTACATAAAGATCCCGACTGTCTTCCAATTGAAAACAAAAATTAGGAAACGAGAAAGGTTAAGCACCTCTGGTGGCATAAGGTAATAAAGGGTGTCCAATCAGAGGTGTTATTTTGAATAGTCTACCATTCCGGTATATGTCACCCTTGAAGCTATAGTTTTTTTTTCTGTTATTTAACAGGTTTACTCATTCCACATCGTTTTTTGCCATTGGGCATTCCACAAAAGTAGTTAAACAGTATTTTACAAAAAGGCTCGGATCTTATAGAGATAAATTAATAAGAGAACTCATAACTCAAGTAGGCTGATCAGCAAAACGTGATGTCTTTGCAAATTGGGTCCTTGAAATGCTTCATGCATAATTTGAAGTTTCATCAAAAAAATTATCTTGACTGATGAGACCCATTGGCACCTCGATGGTTACGTCAATAAACAAAGTTTTCGCATCTAGAACTCGGAAAACCCAAGATGTATTGTTGAAAAGTCTTTCCGAGCTCAACGGGTAAATGTTTGCTGCGGTCTATGGTACGGCGGTTTCATTGGCACTTAGTCTTTCGAAAATGAATGGATTACCCTTTTTAGAGATGATTAATTACTTTCTATGGTCGGAGTTGGATGGTTTTAATCCAGATAACGTTTACTATCAACAAGCAAACGAAATCATCGATCTTTTAAGGGAAAAGTTTCCGGATTATTTTTGCTCTCGAAGAGGTAATCGCAATTGATCACCGTGATCTCGTGCTCGTTGTAACTTTTTCCCTTGGGGTCACGTGAAAGTTGAGGTCTCTGCTAACACGGCAACGTCGGTTCAAGACCTCAATGATGGAATTCGTGAAGCTATCGAGGACATAAAGCAACCACTTTGCGATCTGGTGCTGAAAAATTTCATAAAACGGATACGGTCCCCGTAAGTTGCAATAAATTTAACATCTGATCATTTACTCCAAAAAAAATCCAAGTGTTTTTGCGTATCAAAATAATGCCTCTTATTGGAAACCCCTCTATATATGGTTAAAATCTGCTAATGTTTGTTGTATTATAATGAGTTTTTCGATTTTTGAATCTCAAATTGGACGAATTTCAAGAAGGAAACGTTACTAATATTTTGTTTTTCTCAGGCAGAAGGAGTCAAATAACCGGATCGATTGATGTACACTTCACAGACCCGAAAGTTAAGATTACTGAGTATTATTTTGGGTCCTAGAAATGGTTTTAAAAAATTTTGGATTTGTTTTTCGGCGAGTAACGTAAAAAACAAATTGCCCCTCGGCAGGGAATATCAACCCCTCCGAGTGTATTTCTGACATGAAATAAGGACTTTCTTAAAAAATCCGTCTGCCGTTCGGAGACGACTTAGTGTAAGCTGTAGGTCCCTCTATTTGTTGGAAAAACATCAAGCCGCAACCACAAATTGAAGGAGGAGCTCGATCGAAAATCGTTTCAGCGGTTAATATATTTATATATACACACATATATTTATTACATTTATAAAGTAAATTGCAGAAAGCACAACAGAGTAATTTGTCAAAACTGGTTCATTATTGGTCATCGAAATAGCCATGTGGCCCAAAATTCAACACCGTTAATGGCATAAACATAATTTTTTACCTACTTTATTTCTTTAACCCATTTGGCATTTGGTGTTTATAGATTGTGGACGATATTTTGAAAACTTTTCGTCAAACAGGTAATGCTGGCTATCAAGTGCCTTGAACAAATGTTACATTAAAGCCCACTTTCACCCTTTTATTTACCCGTTGTCATTAGAAATTTTGAAATTCAAAAACAAGTTGTTATTTTGAAAGAAAACCAGAAAAACCTATAAAATATATGCAATAGGAAAAATTTTCAAATATAAATTAATGATGATCTGTTATCAAAAAAAAAAAAAAAAAAAGGATTTCACAAAAAATCTATGAAAAGTTCTGGAAAGTTGATAAAAAATAACAATTTTTTTTAGCCGCAAAGAGATCGTACAAATACGGAGAACTGAAAATTAAAAAAAAAATCTCGTTACATCGGAAAAAAATGCAAAACTTTTATAACAAAAAGGTAATCGAAAATATGAACTGCATAAAATATCGATGAAATGTGGCTGACAAATTTTAAATCCACATATAGCGAATATAAATCGACAAATTAAAATTAAAAAAATTTAAATCCAAAATTAATTACAGAAATATTACAACAACCTATGCAACGTTTTAAAAATTACTTATCTAAAATTAATAAAAATTATTTTTGTTTGAAAAAATATATTTAAATACAGAATATAAAATATATATATAATTTTTATCGAAAAATAATCGTAAAATAAGGGTAGAAGTCACAAAAAAATATCTCATTAATGGATTGATTTATATTGGGAGTTAAAATCATAAAAAATCGCCAAAATGTAGAAAAAAAATGGAAACAAAAATAATTATTATTTTGGTTGAAAAATTAAAAAAAGTTCTAAATTCGAAATTATTCATTATATTTCATTGAAAAAGAAGTCTCAAAATAGGGATCACCTGTATTGGAAATTGTTAAGCCAGAAATAACAATTATTTGATCGAAAGCAAACCAAAAATTAATTTATCATCGAAAAAATAGAAATCTCAAAATATCGATGAAATATGAAAGGAAAAATTTAAAACCAAAACTAAATAATTTTTGATATAAAAATTATAATATATTTATAATATTAAATATTATATAATCGAAAACATTTATCGAAACATTTTATCGAAAACGTTAAAGTTGCATAATATCGATAAAATGGTCGTGGTCGAAAATATTCTAAGCCAGCATTTTAAATTAGATTTAGGTAATTCTTAAATTAAGAAACGATGATTATAACAAAAAAAAAAGAAAAAATCGATAATATGTTAAGGAAATAATTTTATTGCAAAACTAAAAAATAAAATTAACGGAATTAGCAATAAAAAAATCTAAAACTCACAAAATATCGTTCATAAATATATATGCAAATTTAGAAATAAAAAATGGGAATTATTGCTGGTCGAAAGTCACTCATAAATCAAAGTAATTGTAGCCAGAAATTAATTTTTTGTCGAATCGCAAACTTTAAATTTCCAAATAAAACTTTTGTGTCGGTAAATCGCAAAGCAACGACAAAATATTTTCGAAAAAAACTTATGTACGAGTCCTAAATTAAATATTGTTTTTAATCGACAAAATAAATTTAAAAAAATTTCGATAAAATGTTACAGATCCAAAAATAATGATTGTTTTTATTTTTATTTTTAATTTTTTAAAATATCAAAGGAGTAGATACAAAGAGAAAAATTATGAAATAATTTGATCTGAAATTTTTAAAATCTAAAGCAGTTGTTGTTTGATCCAAAAAAAATCTTATATAATTGGTAATTGGAAAAATTAATATGCAAAAATATTACTAATTTCGATCAATGAAAAGTTTAAATATCGATAAAGTGTAATCGAAAAAAATTACAATTATTTTTATGGAAGAAAGGGAAGTGGTAAAATCGATCAAATATGACAGGATATATATATCGATCGAAAAATAAAAAATTGAGAATAATATATTTTCAAAAACTCTGTTTGTAATTATTATAGTGACCACATCTATATAGAGATCATTCAATTTTGAGCATTTTTAGTAGTAGTTCTCAATAGTAGTTTTACATATTAGTATATTTTGGCTTAAACACTTACTTGGCATATATTTGCCCAGCACTGAGACGGCCGTCGCAAAGAGGCGACCCCAATCGGCGATGACGGTGAGCGTAAATGGAATGCCGATTAAAGCGAAGCAGATGCAGAAAACGCGTCCGCCCGTCGTTACGGGCACTATGTTGCCATAACCTAAATATAAATAACAACGGTAAATCTTATGCACGCCTGCAGGATGAAAGGAGGAACAACAACAGCAACAACAACAGCAGCAGCAAATATATTCAGCCCGCAGGATATGGCAAGGATGCGCAAAAAGTGAAATGTTGAGGCATTTAAAAGCATATAGAGCGAAAGTTATTTCTTGTCTTCAACATCACTTACTCCTTTTTTGCATGGTAGTGTCAATATATATGTATGTTATGTTCGGGTCTTACTTGTTTGTTTGTTATTCATTTATGTTTTTTTTATTTTTCTTCTTTGTTTTCTTCTCAACATCTTCATGCAAAAATAATATTTCAAATTACTTTTGTTGTCCCAAGTAAATACAGCTACTGTTGTTGTTGCACTCAATTTATGTGTTTATGTGTGAATATCTATATGTGTTTGTGTCTGTTTGGCTCGCAGTTGCTCTAGCACTTACCTATTGTCGTTAACACAGTTGATGAGAAGAACACAGCTTGTAAAATGCTCCAGCGCTCATAGGGCTCTGGAAAGTCTTTATCGGCCTCAATAAGTAGACCACCCTCTGCGGCCTCCTGTACGGCCTATGTGTGTGAGTGTGAGTGGTATGGGGTGAGTAAAATGGTAATGATTTGAGTATAATTATAAATACAATACCATAGTATGTTAACGGTACATTATGTCTTTATATGCATACTCGTCTAAGTGCTAATATGTGTTACTTTTTTAGAGCATACTTTCAGATAAATTTATATAAATTCGTTGTTGCAGACTAATATGTAAGTAAATATAAAGTAATAACATGTGAGGATATTATGATTCCATAAATTATAATTATCTGTTTTTGTGTTACAATTATTAATCTATTCTTGGCATAATACAGAAATTAATTACATATATAAAAATATATATAAAAAGCTTTTATGAAAATTGTAAATTTTTTTAATTTTTTTGCATAACATAAAGACATAAAATTTGCATTTTCAAATACCCAATAGCAAACATAATCGTTTTTATAAAATTAAAAATTTGCACTGAAAATATTTTTCATTTTTTTCAAAGTTAAAATTTTTTTCTGTTCCACATTTAATCATGTGTTTCATTTTCAAGCACCGCCTGATAGAACATGCTTAAGCTAAGACGGTCATTGACCTAGTTTCTTATCTCAAACCGAAAAAAACTCAAAATCCGTTCGTTTCGTTAGCTTGCAGCATAGTTTGCCTTTAACTAAAAGTTCTAGTGTAAAAATATGATTGCAACTGCTGGCATATTGTATCGGACCTTATGCTTATGTAGCGTTGGTGGTGTAATGGTTAGCATAGTTGCCTTCCAAGCAGTTGATCCGGGTTCGATTCCCGGCCAACGCACATGCTTTTTATTAATTTATTCATTAAATATAAGAATTTTTACGATAGAAAATTTTTAATGGACTAAATATAAAAGGGATACTCAAATAAAGTTAAAAGAATATTTTTTATTTTAATTATTAATTTTCAAATTATTTTTATTTTGCACATATATTATATTGCATTATATTTTATTTAGTTTTTTCTTTTTATTTCATTTTTAAATTTAGTAAATTTTAAATCGTCTTATTTGAATTAAATATAATTTGAATACCTTCTATAATATGTGTAATTTAATAAATTTTGCTTAATTAGACATAACTCAAATTCATTCTATTTATTGTATATTTATATATTTTATAATAATTTATTTAATTAATATGAAATTAATTCAATTTAAATCTTATTTTATTTTTCTTTGCTTAATTTCATTATATTTTTAATACAAATTCTATCTATTTAAATTTATTTTCAATTTTTTATGTTTAATTTTATTTAATCATTTTAATTTATTTCATCTTATTATCTTTTTCTTCTAAACTTGTTTTGTTTAGTTTATATAAATTTTATTTCTTTTCATTACATGCTGCTTTGTTTTATTTCATTTTTTAACTAAATCCATTTTATTTACTTATTTTTATTTATTTAATATTATTTGATTTTCTTTATTACTTTGCGTTTAATTTCAGTATATTTATTTTTACATTGTTACGTTTTTATTTGCTTTGTTTTATTTTAGTTTATAATATTTTACTTTAATTTACTTTAATTAGCTTTAAAATATTTATTTTATTTATTTTAAATATATTTAATGTATTTTGGTTTATTTGATTTATTTCTATTATATTTTATTTTATTTGTTTTATTTAATCTAATTTAATTAATTTTTAATTTAATTCCATTTTATTGTATTTGATTCTTAAATGTTGTCAAATTTGTTTTATACTTTTCTGTGTTATTTTATTGCATTTTCGTTTGCGTTGTTGCATTTTGATTTCTTTTTTTTATTACTTTGTATAATTTTACTTTTTTATTTGTGTTTTTTCCTTAAATTTGTTTTACTTTTCTTTGTTTCATTTAATTTAATTTAATTTTATTTTTTTATTTTATTCTTTTTTATTTTAGTTGATTCTGAAATGTTATCTTATTTGTTTCATTTTTTTTGTTTTATATTATTATATATTTTTTTCTTTATTATATATTAATTTGTTAATTTTATTTTTCTTTATTTTATTTTCTTTAATATTACTTTATATTAATTTATTTTTTTTATGCTCTATTTATTGTAATTGAATTTTGTTACTATATTTCATTTTATTTTGTTTTATTTTATTTTATTTTATTTTATTGGACTATTATATTTTATTTTAGTTTTTTTAAACTAATTTCATTTTTCTTTATTTTTATATTTTTATTTATTTTTTAGTTTATTTCGTTTAATATTTGTTTTTTTCGTTTTATTATTATTATTATTATTTGAAATAATTGAAATTATTTTATTTTAATTTAATTACTTTATTTTATTTCATTTCATTCAACTTAGTTTAATTTAATTTAATTGTATTTTCTTGTTTTAATTTATTTTATATTATTGTATTTGTTTTTTTTTTATATTTATTATTTTATTTTGTGAGTTTTTTCTATTTTAATGTATTTTATCTTGTTTTATGTAATATTGTTTAATAAAATTGATATTTAATTCTATTTTTTAATTCATTTGATTTTTTATAGACATTTTATTTGGTTAATTTTTTAAATGTAATCTATAAGGTTGTCAAATATTTTCCTTTCGCTTTTTTGCTCTTCATTCAATGCTTTATAAAAAGTGTTACAGTGATCGGAGTTAGTTAAAATATGCGCCGTTTTGTTCGATGATCTGTTTCCATCTAAATAGACGGCAACTTCATAATACCTTCCTCGTAGAAGCCCCCTCCTTATTTGCGAAGAATTCGGACATCCACTTTTCACAAGCCTCTTTTGAGTTCAACTTCATACCACCAAGGGCATTCGCCATGGACAGGAACCGAATTGTGTGGTCTGGCGTTGTCCTGATGGAACACTACACCCTTCCTGTTGGCCAATTTTGGACGCTTCTGGTCGATCGCCTGCTTCAAACGGTCCAGTTGTTCGCAGTAGATGGTAGAACCAAGTGTCTGGCCATATGGGAGGAGCTCATATGATTCCCTTCCAATCCCACCAAACACACAGCAAAACCTTCCTGGCCGTCAATCCCGGCTTGGCCACTGTTTGGGACGATTCAACGGCCTTCGACCACGACCGTATTCACTTGATATTGTCGTATGTGATCCATTTTTCGTCGCCAGTTACCATCCGCTTCAAGAATGGGACGAGTTCGTTCCGTTTCAGCAGCATATCGCAGGCGTTGAATCGGTCCAGAAGGTTTTTTTGCGTCAAATTATGCGGTACCCAAATATCAAACTTTTTTTTGTATCCAGCCTTCTGCAGATGGTTCAAAATGGTTTGGTGAATAACTCTCATCTCCTGGGCGATGTCACGAGATGCCATATGCCGGTCTAACTCGATGTATTCCATGATTTGATCGGTATTTGTCGTCACTGGTCTTCCGCCGGCTGGCTTATCCATAGTGTCGTTTTCACCGGCTCTGAATCGTCGAAACCATTCCTCCGCGGTTCGAAGTGATAGAGTACCATCCCCCAAAACACCATTAATCTCACGGAACGTTTCTCTAGCGGATCATGCATAGCGTTGTTTTGTAGGTTATGTCAAGACGACATAGCCGCGAAATTCCAAAGATAAAAAAAGCGGAAGGGAGATATTTGACAACCTAATAATTTAATTTAACTTAATTTAATGTTATTTTCTTTTTTATATTTTTTTATTTTATATTAGTATAATTTTTTATTACTTTTTAATTTAATTTTATTTTTCATTTCATTATTTTATTTTATTAAATTTTATTTCTTTAAATTTATATTATTTTTGGTTGGTTTTTAATTTTATATCGTTCTGTTTAATTTCTTTTTTTTCCTCTTCATTTTGTTTTATTTTAACTTTTGGTTATATTTTATTATACCTGACTTAATCTAATTTAATTTTAATTTTATTATGTAATTTAGTTTTATTTAGTTTAATTATTTTAATTGTATTCTATTTGAAAATTTTGTCATTTTATATTACTTTAATAAAATTATTTATTAATTGTATTACTCACCACTTCGTATTTTGCTAATTCTTTCGCTATAAGCTCATTTAAATTTAACACGTCTGTATTATTTAATATGGTAGTGATGAATTTTTCACGATGTGTCTTCACAACGCCTTTCAAATACTGTAAACGTTCCAATTCCGCAGGACGCTCCAGTTGACGGAAGACCTGCAAATTAAAGAAAAAATAAATGAAATTTAATTTGCTATTTTAATAAATATATAAATATAGTTGTTAAAATCTGAACTAGTTTTAAATTTTATCTATTTAAAGTGAGCACAAAGAAAATACAAGTCAAAGTGGAACTCAAGAAGCTTCTACACTTTGCTATTTGTATAATCTTCAACGGCGTCTGTTGTTTATCTTATGCAAATTGTGTACGGACAGCTTGTTTAAAGCGAAGTAGACAGCTGCTTGCTCTGCGGCGCGCTGCTGGTGTGATTTGTGGTAATAAAGACTATCTTGTAATTATACATATATGTACATATATAGCTGAATGGGTTATCGCGTATTTGATGAATTGCTTGAATCTTTAAGGAAACCATAAACGTCACTTTTGCTTACAAATCATGTGTGTGTGGTTAGTTACATACATATCTATTATATTGTAGTTTATGTTTTTATGTATATACGAGTACATGGATATCAGCTGATTTTTTCTCTGCGTAACAAAGTCAAAATTAAAGAACTTTGGAAAGTATCAATCTGCATCATATACTTTCATACATACATATGTACAATGTGTGGGCACAAATACGGTATTTTTGTATGTTTGTAATTTTGCTTACATGAATATTGGCGCTTTATGGTTTTGTGCTCATTTTTGGCGGCATTTTTGTTGTGCACGATTTTTTTATTGTATTTTTATATGGATAGCTCAGGCTGATAGTAAATAATAGGGACAAAGCATTTAAATACATGCACATGTGTAGGTATTGATATACTTTGCTATTTAGTATGAAATATTATTATTTTTATTTCTTAAAGGATGAAAAAATAGCTTTGCACCAAATATCAAATAAATCGAGTCATAAACCAAATATTTTGATATGGATCGTTATCTTGTCCACTTTCTGGAATTTTTTTTTCATTAAAAATTTGAGTCAAATTGGCCCAGTAATATAATTTTATTTTTTTGTCAGGTAACTCCAATATCGGGCTTCAATAGAGTTAGAGAATTTTTTCTATCATAATTTGGTTAATTAATTTATTGAAAATTTGACAACCGCATCGTTTTTTTATTATTTTTTAATAACTTTTATTTTTATTAAAGTAAAAAAAATTTAGCAAATAGAAATTGTGTTATCAGAATTTAATTATTTTTAGTTTACTGGGTAGAAAAGGTACAACCAAGAATTTCGTGCACCCGATTGAGTAGAAAATCGTGCAGTTTTTTTGATGTAATTTAATGTAATCATTGACCAATGTAGACTTATAACGGAGATCAGTTCTTTTGTTGAGATATTATTTTAGCCACTCTCATACACCTTCCTAGTTAACAATACCCAGACGTTTTCTTTAACATTTAGGTCTGAGGAGTATGGTTGCTGCTGGAGAATTTTTACATTTTCACTTCGTATTACTGAAAGTGCCCTTCCAGGTTTTCGAAAAACTTTTGTAAAAAAACTGAGATTGTAGTCTTTAAAATGTATCCATAATCTTTCGCGTTTTCTTTGGCTTAAAGAAGTGCCACCACTTGCCATTGCACCTCCAGCCGAAGTGCTTAAGTGAACCAAAAAATTATCCTCTTTTCGTAAATTATGATAATAGAAACTATGAACATCTCGTCTGAAAATACGAAATATTGCCTTTCCTGACCTCAAATCATGTGCGTTCGAGCAAAACTAAGGGCTAAGATGGTGCCTTTTATTTACTTTTTACCTTTTTAAATGTTCAGACTTTGCTGCTCTTAATTCGGTGAAGGAGTCAAGGGAGTTAGAGGCCTCTCCGAGTATGGACCTACGATCTGCTTCGATAATGGACGGTTATTGCTACCTTTAAAGTGCTTTCGATAGGGTTCTTTATTTTGAAAAAACTTGCCAATAATTTTGATATGACTTCCGGGGTTTCCAGCGATTTTACGGAAGTAAAGTTCAATTTAATTATGCACAGCACGAGTAGACTTTTTCGGCGTCAATTGCACAAAGTAAAACTCAAAATATGAAGCATTTGGTTGAAGCAGCTCACATCTTCCGGTCTTAGACCCCGCATCCCCTGGGTAGCCAACAAACATCCGTTTGGAGGCGAGCTAAAGTGAGAAAGCGAATCCCATGCGGTAGTGCGTTGGGTTTGGGACGCACCACATGAACAACGAAACCCAATAAAAAAATTAAATTAGCCTCGGATGAGGGACCCCCCTTTTGATAATGAATCCTTTAAGGAATTTTTTTTCTTACTCTCAATGAAAGAGGAAATGTCCATTAAAGAGCAGCAAGAAAATTTACGAATTTATTTGCAATAGAAAAATATATGAGAAAGGGGAAGCGATGTACATACATTAATTTTGTTTCACAAATTAAGGCAATATCCTCTAAAACCTGAAAAAACGTTTTTTTGCAATTTTTGGAAATTAAAGAAATTATTGCGGTCATCGAAATTTTCAGACAAAAATGTATTATATTTAAATTCAATAAAAGAGTCTTTAGTATTGAAAAATACTGAAAATTCTATACAAAAGTGTTAAGAAAAATAGCGTATTAAATAGTTTCGAAACATTACAAAAATATACCGCAAAATCTGCAATTTTTACCATTTTTGATACAAAAGGCGATTTTTTATGGAGATATCAGGTTTACCCTAATGCACCTTTCTTTGAGGTATTTTATTTGCTCGATATCTACGAAAGTAAGTTCAAAATAAATAAAAACTTTAAAACAAAAAGTATAGGTTAAATATATTATTGAAATATAAATAAAAGTTTTAAAATGCAAATTAAGATGGAAAGTCAATTCTATAGTTTTTTAAATACATATTATACATAATTATATTATTTGCAACATTTTCTTTATTTGTATGTATAAGCACGTGACAACGCGTCGTTGAACTGGAAGCGAGAATAAATTAATAAGTAAGTCACGTCGTTGCAGGGAAGCCTTTAAGACAGCTTACGGCAAAAGGACTTGCCTACGCTAGCGATTTCGTATTTAACAGTTTAATCACGTGCCACTAGCTTGTCGTTAAAATACAAACATCAATAAGTGTGAATTATGTATTTAACTCCCGTATTTACTTATGTACATGAATGCACATTTATATAAAATAAAAGGTATTAAAATAAAATAAAGTAAAATCACCTAAAACAAATTAAAACAAAATAAAATAAAATAAAATAAAATAAAATTAAATTAAATTAAATTAAATTAAATAAATTGAAATAAAATAAAATAAAATAAAATAAAATAAAATAAAATAAAATAAAATAAAATAAAATAAAATAAAATAAAATAAAATAAAATAAAATAATATTAAATAAAATAAAATAAAATAAAATAAAATAAAATAAGATAAAATAAAGTAAAATAAAATAAAAAAAAAATAAAATAAATAAAATAAAATTAAATTAAATTAAATAAATTGATATAAAACAATATAAAACAAAATTATATAAAATTTAATAAAATTATTTAAAAATATAAATAAAATATAATTAAATAAATTGAAATAAAATTAATTTTAAAAAAGGAAATGAATTGAAATGAATTGAATAATTATTGTATGTACGTGTACGTGTAGTAATGTACATTTTATGAGTGTTTCGTCTTTTTTGAGTTGTGTGCTCCGCTAACGGCACGCTTTTTCTTTTTACTGGGCATTAGCTAATCTATAAATTTTTTATTACATAAATATTCACACACATTTAAATTTAGATAGCGCTAAAAATTTGCTGTTGTTTATACTAATTAAAATGCTCAATTAAAACATAACTTTGCGTAATGTATCTATTCGAAAATTTCTATATTTATAGCAAAACAATGCGGATTTGCATAATTACCCATAATAATACAAACTAATCCAGTTTGAAGAATTAACATAAAAGAATTAGCAAAATTGAGTAAACAAACTTTTCGATATTTCACTCTTAAGATTATTTGCGCTTACTTATATCATACTTTCGTATAAATAAACAAAAAAAAAAAGCATTTCATGTACATATATATGTACACATCTTATTTTTGCACAATTTCCCGAATTTTCCGCAAGTATTTGAGTTATTGTTTATAATAATAAAAAAATGTTGGCAACTTTTCTTTGAAAATTGTTGATGGATTTGCCTCAAAAGGTAAAGAAATTTTTCTTTATTTAATTTCTCGATGAATACGTGCAGCAAAGGAATATTATTAAATACAAAGCATTTAGTAATGGCGAATACGAATAAAAAAGTTCAACTTGAATGACTCAGAAGAATGGAATACTGTTATAAAAAAATGATTGAAGCGCCTCTTTCATCTCTGCATGTGATTTGTCGAATTCTGTGATTAAAAATATTAGTATTAGCAATATTTTTTCGATGAATAGAAGTACAGTGCAGAATCAATGAAAAACTCAAGACAGTAGTCTGATTCACAGGATTCAAAAAATTATTTCTTTTCATAAATCTAACACTATACGCAAATATTTTAGTGGCGGAGCGTCACAACCTTGGAAATTTCTAATATTTTTTGATACTAAAAATTTTTTTTTGAGCTTAAATATGCACATTTTTGCCCGAAAGTCTCGTTTACCGAAATAATTTTCGTCCCTTCCAAAAAATTTCTGAAAAAACGTTTTTTTTTTGTTTTGGGTTATAAGGGAGACTACCAAAAGAACCAAGAAAATAATTTAGGAACAAAGCATTGATTGAACATTTTTTAATTCTCCCCCTTCCGCTGGTCCCAGTTCTCAGATTATGAAGAGAGCACATACAATTGGAAATGTCAATAACGAAGAAAGCTACAGATATACGCTAAACACTTAGCCGACAAGACTCATAGCCTAAAAAGCTCTCGATAAATTTGGCAGTCTACTTCAGGATTTGTGTCAAACAGGAGAATCAAATATAAGGTCACCTCCTTCAAAGTGAAAGAAACTGGAAGGTTGTCAAGCCAGAGTTAGACTTCGATACACACTCTCAAAAATGTTTGGATTGCTGATTTTTCGTATTGTAGAATAGTTTAGAAAATAGTAGTTTA